AGTTAATGTTTTAGGGAAATAGTTAATGCTTTTGTAGCGGACCGGCAATATTAAATCCCACGAATTCCGCTGGTACATACAGTAATCCACAGTCAGCGCTGAAAAGCAAGGCAATATCCCAAATCTCCCAGTAACCGGACGAAACACAGTTCTGAGAGTCAACTGAGGTCTTTATTTTCAGCTCCACAATTTATACAATTCCCCACGCAAGGGGTTTCCTGAGTCCCATCCCAGGGGCATTCCCAGAGTGGACTACATGGGGAACTTCCATTACAGAGCCTTTCTCCCATGAGGCACTGCTGCACGAGAGGGATACTCCCACTGGAATATACTGTTAAGTGGATTATCCCTCCGTGCAGCAGAACCGACAATTTATGTTAAAATACATAACTTTTCGAATATGCAGTCTATTTGCACGAATGGACGTTCGGTAGATAGCTGGGGTCTGAGCGCATCATTCGTGAGATTACCGCTCAGATCCCAGCTAAAACAACCGAACGCCGCACGAAAAACACATTCATTAAAATACATGTTCAAAAGACCGATTGAAGTCTAGGGAACATAATACCGAACGGCCCGGAACTCCCGGACGGCCTGGAAGCTCAGCGTTGTTCGCGCCGTCGAGTAGCCGTTTTTAGTACCATGCGCTTGACGACCAAACACCGCTGAGGGAACAAAGGATCCAAGATGGCCGACCGCCGCATGGTCGGTAGTCGAACGGCGGCCACCTAGGAGAGCCTCTAATTACCGATTGCAACATTGTTGCAATCGGTTAACAAGCGCCACACGCCTCTAAGTGTGTGGGCTGTTACATGGTGGTTTTTCGGTTCACGAACGGCCCGCAAAGGTGCTGTTCGTGAAACGAAATGAAATACAGCTATCTGCATTCGGTAGATAGCCAATACAGGAAATACAGGGTATTACAACCAGCATACCTTATACATAGTTAAACACATATCCCACAACCATACAGGCAACCCTTAAAGGCACAGTCTCTTTATATTGTCCAAGTGGCTAGGTTTGCCACAGCTTTGTATAGGTGAAATAGTGAATATGTAAGGTATCCAAGCATACACCAACTTTGCTTTGGACCAACCTTGCTTCTGTCTTCCATTGGTGGCTTTGCTGCACCAACCACTACTTTCTTCTCCACCAAAGATCAAAAGCAATCCTTAGTTTTACCCGAGTGCCAAACTTGGTGGAGGATGAGGAAAAAGATATGTCTCTCTTTCACTTACTCTCGTAAATAATAGGGATAAACTGATTATCGGTTCTGCCCACTATTAGAGATATTATAGCATTTTACCCATAATCAGTATTGGCCTTTTAATTTTCAGATATTACCGATAACTTACCTCTCCCAGTCATCACACACGGTCTTCTGCAACTCTAGCAGCCAGCCAATAAAGCGCCACGTCATGACCTCATGTTACCCCTTTTTGAAAATCACAGCATGCAGAGCTCAGCTGAAGGCAGGGCGGTGAGACAGTGAATAATCTACTATAATGAACAGGGCTGGTTGACAGAGTGATAGGAGTATGTTTGCTGTCAGTAATCACACTCCTATCAGTAACAGCACTATACATGCTGGGATCTCACTGATCCAAGCATGTATTGGCTGGCTTAGAGTTACAGGAGTGTGATTACTTTCCACATGTTCAGGTAAAGCCAGATTTCTGTAGAAATTGTGCTACTTTTTCAAAATGTTAATTTAACTTTAGTCGATCCCTAGTAAATATCGCTATCTTTCCAAACGGAAGGTTGGCTGACATGTTCCATCTTATTTCATTTCATCATTAACCCTAGTGTGTATATGCCATACTCATACTTTACCAAACTGTTGTGATTATGGTGCTTGAAGTGTTTCTTTAATTATTGTCAACTATCATATCTAAAAATAAATTATACGCTTGATTCTCTCCTCAGACTTAGTCCACCAAAAATGCTTTAAAGGAACACTATAGCGTTAGGAATACAAACCTGTATGTCCCTAAGTTTATCTGTCTCCCTGTGCAACATGAAAATAGTTAACAAATAGTTAACAAAAGTTATTTTGCTTACCTTTTTTTGGCTAGGTGTCCCACAGCATCACGGCGGCGGTGGGATCGAATGTGCATGCATGGTGTGCACCACGTGCAGCTGGTGCCCGCCATAGGAAAGCATTGGATCAGTGCTTCCCTATGAGGAACATATAAGATGTTAGACGTCTTCATGCAAAGATAGCGGAGTAAACTCCACTAGGAACCCAGAAGTGCTTCTAATGGGAGTCTGGAAACAGCCACTAGAGGCGGAGTTAACCTTACAATGTAATCACTGCAGTTTCTCAATGTACATTTAAGGGTTAAACAGACAAAGGCACTTCACTCAGACCACCCATGATGTAAAGTGGTGAAAAAAAATCTTTATTCACTTGCCTGATTCCAGCACCAATGTCCCTCAGCCCTGGGTCGGGCTAATCCTCTGCCAACATCAGCATGCGTGCATTAGCCCTTTCACATAGGAAAACATTACACCAGTGCTTTCCCATGGGGTTTTTGGAAAAGGCTGGATGTCCTCATACAAAGCGTTAGGTTATCCAACGTCATTTCATAGAGTCAAACTTCGGTAAAGGCCAGAAAGCGGCTCTAGAGTCTCTTAAACCTGCAATGTAAACATTACAGTTTCTCTGAAACTGCAATTTTTGCAGCTGCGGGGCTAAGGAGACAGGGACACTTCAATGGGATGGATGCCTATAGGGTCCCTTTAATGTTTGCAAGGAATGTTCAGTGTGTACATGACACAGATTTCAGCATTCAAATAATCTAGAATAAGCTAGGCATTGTTCCTATATGATGTTATTGCATGTGCTTTTTTTGAGCCAAGGAAATGTGTTATATAACAATAGACATTTCACCGTTTCCATTTAATGCCCTAAAATAATTAGCTTTTGTCATAAATCATATAGTGACAAAATTCACACAGTTAGTGTGAGAACTCCCTATACACAGAAGTGTATATCTTGATTTACTATGCAAGGGCAATACAGGTTTAAGACCTGTTAGCAATTAACAGTCTCCTGTGTGTACTTGTGTGCAATGTGCAGATTAAATGGACACGATAAGTACCATAACTACAACAACTTTATGTAATGGTTCTAGATCTAGGAGGCTTTGGGTACAGCCCCTCTGGTTTTTGTCAAAGCACTCGGACTTATTTGGAATGCCAACAAAAAGACTGGATGCTCTTATCAGAAAATGAAATGTTTTGTAACAGGAAACAGGTACAAACTGTAAAAATACATAGAACGCAGGGATTTATTCACTAAACAAGGAATTGTGAAGAATTAATAGGGAAATTGCTAATTTTGCTGAATAAAGTGGAATTAAAGAATTTCACAGCTAACCTTTTTGGTTCTACAATGCATGGTTCACAAGATTCTGTCTGCTTCTGTCATTCTGTTTTTAAAAATGGCATTTGAAATATAACAAGGTGCTTCTGCTTTAATAAGCATGTTAGCGACTATCCCATTAAGAGTGAATTGTCACATGATGTTGAAATGTGGTTAATCTAACTAGAAAAGCTAAAATTTCTGGGGAAATAGTGTGAAGTGTTCTTGCCTCCACCAGTAGTCTAGCACATTCAATTGCAACAATGTTGCACAGTTACATTAAACCATACATTTATAAAAACATTAGCAGGTGTTCAAAAGGCCCTGTCTATGACATCACTTGCTGCTGCAGCTTGACACAGGTCAGAGTATTTTGGTGGTTGCCATCTTCAAACGGTCGTATCTTAAAACCTATAACTCCTACAGTGAAGAGCTTTATATTGTGAGAATCACAAGACCCAGACCTACATTTTGATGCATGGTATGTCTCTGAAGTATTAAAAATGAAGGCACAGTCGCAGTTTAGAAATTGCCCTTCAAGTTTGAGCTGGCTAGAGTGGAGTTTCAATGAATGTCAATGGACGGCGTGAGTTGCAAACAAATGGTCATATTGTGAAAACTATCAGGACTAAAGCTTAGCCGTGGACATTTTTAGTGGCAGCAGGGATAGCTGGACGTTTTGATATAAGATTTGTGTAGGTGGGCCTGAAAATGAGTGAGTGGTGGCAGTTTAGAAATCATGTCCTGATTTTTCAGCTTTTGCCAGCTCCCACTCTAGTTTTGAACATTTTGCCATTCATTCCTATGGGACCAATTGCGCCACAAGAACGACGATATTCCGTGAACCATTCGGCGAAATGTTCCACAAAGTAATAGCAATCCAATCAGGAACAATCCGCATGTTTCGGTATATTACTGTCTATGTAGTGTAAAAACTGTGGGAGGAGTTAGGGTGGTAAATTTGGCTATAATAAGAATAAGAACTAGAAAAGCTACAATTTCTGGGGAAATTGTGTGAAGTGTTCTTGCCTCCACCAGTAGTCTACAACTGGAGTGGGCGGAGTAACTGTTATCATTTATATACCACATTTAATTGCAACGTTGTTGCACAGTTACATTAAACCATAGATTTATAAAAACATTAGCAGGTGTTCAAAAGGCCCTGTCTATGACATCACTTGCTGCTGCAGCCTGGCACAGGTCCGAGTATTTTGGCGCTTGCCATCTTCAAACGGTCGTATTTTAAAAACTATAAATCCTACAGCGAAGAGCTTTATATTGTGAGAATCACAAGACCCAGACCTACATTGTGATGCATAGTATGTCTCTGAAGTATTAAAAATGAAGGCACAGTCGCAGTTTAGAAATTGCACTTCAAATTTGAGCTTTGTAGAGTGAAGTTTCAATGAATGTCAATGGGCGGCGTTAGTTGCAAACAAATGATTATATTGTGAAAACTATCAGGACTATGGCTTAGCCGTTGACATGTTTAGTGGCAGCAGGGATAGCTGAACGTTTTGATATATGATTTGTGTAGGTGGGCCTGAAAATAAGGGAGTGGTGGCAGTTTAGAAATCATGTCCTGATTTTTCAGCTTTTGCCAGCTCCCACTCTAGCTTTGCCATTCATTCCTATGGGACAAATTTCGCCACAAGAACGACGATATTCCGGGAACCATTCGGCGAAACGTTCCACAAAGTAATAGCAATCCGATCGGGAACAATCTGCACGTTTTGGTAAATTTTTGTCTATGTAGTGTAAAAACTGTGGGAGGAGTTAGGGTGGCAAATTTGGCTATAATAAGAATAAGAATATATATGTGAGATAACATTAAGTGGTCTTGCTATGCAAGAACACTTAATAAGAATAAGAATATATATGTGAGATAACATTAAGTGGTCTTGCTATGCAAGAACACTTAAATAGGCCAGTTCTGGTTAGATGGTGGAATTTGTGTGGGGCTGGGTAGACCATGGACAAAACGTCTTTTCTGACGGTCCAGCATTCATGTGTAAATCCCATAATATCTGTGGGAGGCACTGACTGAGCCATCTCATGTATGCTAATTTTATTTCTTGTAAATCTTTTATTATTGAATGCATTTCTTTCAAACTCGTTCCACTTCTTATGTGTGTCACTGTTAGCATTAGTACAGAGTTGCACGTGGGTCATTTACCACACTGGAAATTGAGGAGAATTGACCAGGGATATATCCAGAATTCTCAGATATCTCCAGAATCTCAAGAAATCTTTGCTAAGATGTGAGGTGGAAGCTAATGGTTTCTGTGTTCCTTGGAGCTGATTCACTGAATATGTTAAACAAAGCATAATAAAATAAAAACACAGCCAGCCAGACAAACAGACGTACAGCCGGGTAGGCAGCCATACTACAAATGTCTGTCCTCTTCCTCCAATCAGCAGCCTCTATCTCCCAGAAGCTCAGCTCACATTGTTATCCATCTCCATGCATACAGAGTGGTGGAGGCAAGTCCAGGGACACAGACAGTGAAATGAATGCGTGGCTAAGGAAACAGTTAATGCTGCAGACATTTAAAAAACAAAACTAAATACAACTGAGCAATGGCAAAAATACAGTGCACATATGGGGCCAATGAGCATAAGTTGTGTTGGTGGCAATAATGTCCCTTTAGCTTAAATCCTGCCTCCGAACACTGTCCATTTAAATGCCAGGGTTCATTTGTGCCATATTGGGATCATTTGTCCATTATTTTATTTATTAATATTGTTTTTGTTTCTTTTTGTCAGCCTTGCGCTCCATCCAGAAAGAACGCTAGTTGCCACAGGACAGGTGGGAAAAGATCCTTATATCTGCATATGGGATTCATACACCGTGCAAACCGTGTCCATTCTGAAAGATGTGCACACACATGGAGTAGCTGGCTTGGCGTTTGATTCCGATGGACAGGTTTGTATCATTAAACATATTGGACAGTATCACTATATAAAATGGGAGATCCTTTACAGTTGAATAAATCCACTGCCTTAAAAAAAATGTAATACAGGGTAAACAATGTATGTACAAATCATTATTTTTATTGTATGTTGCATCACAGTGCAAACTGACATATATTACAATGGAACACTCATTACAGCCACTCCCAACGCCTGCACAGCTATATACATTATTGGGAATACATGTAGAATTCCCAATAATGTATATCCTCTGAGTGAGTAAATGAAAAATGATGTTACATAGCGTAATTTCAAAACAAAGCCTTTCCCACTTTGTTGGCCTAGAAGACTTGGATCTTTAGAAGTACTGCTAAATGTACGAGGATGTTCCTTAATTGATTATAACAAATTCATCTCTAAAGCATCTTTTATAATATAGATTATTTTTGCTTCCTGCAGTTGAGGAGCATTGCTCAATGGCCTCACATTCAAGCATCCACTTTAGCTCACTTGTCATTAAACTATGTCTTATCATATATAAGTATCAATTTATTTTAATTATTATTTACTTTATACCATATGTAATACCAACTTCAACTTTTGATTGGAAGGAACTGACCTGTATTTTCACTTAGAATACTGATATGGGGAATCACTTAAATCTGTGGATTGGTTAGAAATCTTCGTGGAATATGCTGTTAAATCATCTATATAAATATATATTCGCCCTGTGACTTCCCCAAAGAAACTGGAAAATCAGTACATGGATGCACTGTTCATGAGACATTGCTAAAAAAGGAATAATGGGGCTTTCTTGCACTAACACATATCAGGATTTAGAAATTTCCTGTGAAAATGCAATTCATGAGTATGAAAAACCACTAAATGGGGCCAGCACAGGTGAGAAAGTGGTTTACTGAAATATCTGAAAATACCCCATTTTGAATACCCTTGGTTTTCCAGCTTTAAACATTGTAATGTTACAAGAACAGAGTATTAAAGGACATCTCAATTACTGAAAATGTGCAGATCTCCCACAGATACCTGCTGGAGGATATGTAGTCTTCATGGTACATATCTGATCATGATAGACTCATTCCACTATGCAAACATGTTGGCACCTATTTGCCTGGATCTGTGGAAATATTTGTTATCTAAACCCTAACATTTACTTACATCTGTGGAACACGAATTGTGGAAATGGAATAAATTACTGTCTGGTCAATACACAAACTGAGCCTACAATAAGAATATACAGTAGTCTTTTTTTAGGGCAGTCACCTTAGATTTGGTTTTGCAACAAGTTCATATTATCAAAATAAGTTAATGTATTAGTAGGGGTAAATATGTGTAAACACATGTATCGCAGTTCCTTTATGTTTGTGTCCTGTAATTGAGTGCCTCCATGTTGGCTAATTGTCAGTGTTTGTTATAAGTTCCGCCCCTTTTCTGTCTTTGAATATAGTATGTGAAGATTAAACAATGGTTCTGTTTCTCCTCCATTAATTCAATGTGTGCCCTGGCTGTGCCTGAACTAAATTGGATTGTGATGTTAGGGTCAAAAATCTTTAAATAATGTACATTTTGTGGAAAGTGGAATATCACGTGTTATTATTATTTTTTATTGAAAAGTGAAAATATTTAAAAAATGTTTTACTTTTTAGAACTTGTTCGTGGCATGCATTAAGTTTTCCTCTCTCTATTTTTGCAGCGCCTGGCTTCTGTCGGACTGGATGCCAAAAACACAGTTTGTATTTGGGACTGGCAGAAAGGGAAAGTTCTTGCAACAGCCACTGGACATTCTGACCGGGTACATTCACTGTTATCTTTGTGTTCGTGTCAGATAATACAAAAATAAGTACAAAACTATTCATGTTTAGAAAATATTTTTTGCTATGACATAATATTTGATATGTGGGATCATTATATACAGGAACTTGCCTTTACCATCTGTGTATCATTACATTTTGATATTTAAGATCTTCCATCCATCAGTCGTTGGACTTCAGCTCTCACAGTTCTCATCAATACCACCTGGATTGCCCATTCTTAACAGTCAGCGGTGCACTGTTAAATAACACGTTACTGTTATCATTTTCCAGGCTGAGGCATGAGATTTAAAGGGCCACTATAGTCACCAGAACCACTACAGCTTAATGTTGTGATTCTGGTCTCTATAGCATGTCCCTGCAGGCTGAGGAATGGATGAATGATCATTGCAGTAGCTGGTATTGAAATCAATTGATTACTGATCATCAAAAATGCTCCGTGCATTCAGTCAATACGCAGAGCATACAAACCGTTTGACAGAATGACTTCAATATGTAAATAGTTTGAAGCAGTATGCGTGTCGATACAAGCTCAACTGAGAGAAGACACTCCAGGCCCTGATCCAGCAGCTGTGCCGTGTTAGACAGCCGTGCGATAGGGCATTTAAAAATCATAAAAACATCAAAAATGCAGACTTTGTAAGTGTCCCTTTCTTGGAGAGACAGACTCTGTTTGGGCCTAAATCCATCTTCCCATCTTTTCTAAAAGTTCCAAATTTCTGGTGTGTATGAGTGTATAACTGCCATAATTTGTATAAATGACAGTCATTATTATATGAATATGAAACCAAAAATGTCTCAGAATACCCCACCCCTTGACCGCACCCAACTAAATTAAAACGGCCCCCTTTTGTCTCTATGAAATGTTGGGAGGTAGGAAAATTACATCTTGAATTGTAACGAAACGCAAACCAAAAAGTGAAAAAATATGGCACAACTTTTTGCACCTGCTACTGGTGCTAATCTACCGGTATATACTCACATTTTTGTGAAGAAATAAAGTTGGGTTTGTTTTTTCGTTTTTAAATTTCATGTTTTCTGTTGGGGTCATGTACTGTAACTTCAGGTTTCATTGGAGAAAACATAAAATGTCATTTTGTGAAGAAAAGGTTGTATGAGAGAAAATGCATGTTATCCACATTAATAAACCAATAGGAATTATTTAAGGAATCAGTAAAGGACCCACTATACATTATAGTTATGTACATTTTCTATCAATCCAATTTATGTCATTAGTCAGAACCTAGTCTTTATCCGTATTGGCATTTTCTGTGTTTTTATGGTTCGTTATGTCTGCTTGTTTGTTGACAGATATTTGATATTGCTTGGGATCCGTATCAGCCAAACAGATTGGTCAGCTGTGGGGTAAAACATATAAAGGTAAGTCGTAACCAGTCTCTTCACAGTCCTTACACTAAATGCTCAGCAATGCAGTGTCCTGTATAAGGAAAAAAAAACTGATTAAAGAACATTTGCAGGCTTATTCACTGAAGTGAGAATTCAAAGTGAATTTGAATTGAATTTCAAATTCATGGTAAAAAGAGCCAAATTAGACGCAGCCCCAAATTTTAAATTCAGTTCAAATTAACTTTGAAATTCACCCTTTAATGAATAATCCTGTTGGTTTTATTAAGTGAGGTGGAGAAATTAATTTTAGAAGTAAAGTGGATGAATTCCCATTTTTCATGGTATATTTAATATTTTAAACGCATTAAATGATATAAAGATATGAATAAACACATGGTATAACGAACATTTGTATGCAACTGAAGCATGATGAGTTTGGGAAAAATATAGTTCTTTCATCTGTTGACTAAAGTAAGCAAAAGAACAGCAAAGACATGAAAAAGTATTAATGGTACAGGTTACGTAAATGGTTTGTAATCTTGGGTATAGCAGAGAAATAAGCATTCATTATATACCTAGGACCATGTGTTTCTGTTAAATAGTGATGCTAATGAGCAGTAACCAGCAGTTATGTCTGTTTTCAGTTCTGGACTTTATGTGGAAATGCTCTCACAGCAAAAAGAGGGATATTTGGGAAAACTGGTGATCTACAAACCATCCTGTGCTTAGCGTGTGCAAAAGAGGACATCACATACTCAGGCGCTCTAAATGGAGACATCTATGTATGGAAAGGGTTAACATTAATTCGCACCATCCAAGGAGCGCACAGTGTAAGTATATCTTTATGACAAGATAAGCTTTTCTAGTAAGCTACGTTTACATTACTTCTACATGAAATGCATCCTACCCTTACCTCTTGTGCCACTTTACCCCACTCCTTCTAGAATGTAAGACAGTTTGAGCAGGCCATCAACATCCTCTGTTACTGTGCTTCCAACTTGTCTTGTTGCAAATACATGTCTGTTAGTCCACCTATTGTACAGTGCTCCAGAATTTATTGGTGCTTTTTAAATAATAATAATCTCATCAGACCACCAGTCCCTCTAGTCTCACATTGCTCAATTCGCTGCCATTTAGGAGTTAAATCACTTTGTTTATCCACATCCACATCTCCTGCCTGTGACTTGCACGGCCTCCCTACACACTTCCTGTAAAGAGAGGTCTAATTTGTAAACTTCCTTTATTGCACAGTGTGTTTAATTTAGAATGTATTTTCTCCTGCTCTGTTAATAGCCTGCAGCCTCCTGTGTGATTAAAGTTCAATTAACAGAGCAGGAGATAAACAAAACTTCTAAAGTAAACGCACTTTGCTGTAAGATCTGATTGGAAATGAAACATCTTTTTCATGTTGGCTCTGTGAGTCACAGACAAGGGAGTCTTAAGTGAAGAATTGAACAGTGAGACTGCAGGACCATTTTACACCAAAACTGCTTAATTAAGCTGAAGTTGTTTTGGTGTTTAGAGTGTGCCTTTAAATTCTACATGGCTACTCACCAAACGTCTTGCTGTTTGGTGAGTGGGACTCCTTAATATTTTTGTTAACTCACCATATAAGTAATATTATCATAAATATAAATACAGACTCGTGCATTTTCAGAATGCGTGGTAAATTGAGAAATGTTGCCCCATTCTATTTAATAATACAAAATTAATGTAAGGAGGCAAATGAAAATAAATTGTTTATACATTTGCAGAGCAAATCCTGGTATAAAATTAGAACAAAGGTTTCATGATCCTAAATTCAAGAAAACATTTGCCTCCTGTAACTGTACATACAATTCCACAGCAATATGCTATCCCATAATCATTTTGCCTTTTAGTTAATATTTTATTCGCATTCTGGCAATTCGCTATTTTTACATAGAGAGATATTAACTGACTGTCTGGGAGAGCCCAATCTTCAACGCATATGAGATCCTGACATTTACTAATAATTAGAAAAATATATTCGATCCATGCACAGTTCAGTATAACCATTCACAATACTCTAGGCATGTTTTTATGACAGCAGAATTTGATTGTATATGTGTTTGTTCCTCTGATGCAAAATATGGTCTTTATAGAATGACTCATCCTTGTGCAACTGTGCATCATCCTTGTGCAACTGTGCACAATATAGAAACTCTTTCTTCTAGTTATTAAATGTATTAGAATAATAAATTTTCCTTAGAATAATCTTTATTTGCATTCTACAAGTATTCAAGTAGTTTTAACATCTCCCAATGTATTCTCTGATGTCCATAAAGGCAGGGATCTTTAGCATGTATGCTTGTGAAGAAGGCTTTGCGACTGGCGGAAGAGATGGCTGTATCCGACTGTGGGACGCAGACTATAAACCAATAACTAAAATCGATCTCAGAGAGAGTGATCAGGGTTATAAAGGTAAGCAATGATTTTATATAGATCTGTATACACGTAGCCCCATTTGCACTCTTATGTTATACGGTGGAGTCGTGTTTTTGCTGCCCCGATGCATTAACTCGGGGGTCCTCAAACTCCGGCCCCCCAGATGTTGCTGAACTACAACTCCAATGATTCTTTGAATTACATAGATAGCCAGAGAATCATGGGAGTTGTAGTTCAGCGACATCTGGGGGGCCGGAGTTTGAGGACCCCTGCATTAACTCATCACAGAGACATTTACTGGTGTTTTAATTCAATGCATATGTTTTGCTAACTAATATACCTTGTGGTTTGTCGGTAATTATTCACAGTGATTCTTTTGGGATTATTTTATTTTTAATTATTTTCCTGCAGGTAATGAATTCTACATTCTGCAGGGCAGTATTTGTCTTTCAGTGTCCTAGCACCCGCAACTAGTATGTGTCCTAGATCTGGATAGCTAGTCAAAACCCTGGTTTGTAGAAAAGCACTATATCTGGCACTAGACATGAGCAACACATTGCATGGGGCAGTAAAAAAGATTTTATCTTTTAATAATAATTAATGTTTTTAAAAGAAGTGGAATACTGCTTTTATGAAAATTCAGAAATCAGACAATTCTTTTTTTAATTGTGAAATTGTACAAACCATTAACTATAAAAGTTGTGCGTATTTATGTTGTGATGCTATTTTGTGTTTAGGTTTGTCTATCCGGAGTGTGTGCTGGAAAGCAGACAGGTTATTAGCGGGAACTCAAGACAGCGAGATATTTGAAGTAATGGTGAGAGAAAGAGATAAGCCAATGCTGATAATGCAAGGCCATTGTGAAGGGGAGCTCTGGGCACTCGCTGTGCACCCTAAAAAACCCTTGGCTGTCACTGCAAGTGATGATCGTTCTGTAAGGTATGTTAGATGTGTGCTCCTTTGATAATTTCCTCAAACACTAGAGAATGTGGCACTTTTCAGAGCAGGAGAACAAAGCTTATGTGGGTATACACAGCCATCTTAATAACACAGTAAAATAGGTCTTCATCAGCGTGTAAATCAATTTAAGAGCAAATAAGAAAAAGTTGTTTGAATTTTGGGGATCTCTTATCAGGGAGATTAACACATTTTAGTTCTAATAATTTTTAAAACCAGATATATTTCTGTAAAATGTAGACACCTGGGCCAAAAGCTGGGATTCAGACACCATTTTGTTTAAGCTTTGAATACACAAAGAATTGAAAATGTGTTGGGTACACAAGGTGCTCGGAGGGTTAACAGTCATCAACACATGCATATACACACAACCTTGCATTTAATTTAATGATCAATTACCTCCCCCTGCTTATTGCAAATTCCCGTTAATTATCCTGTTAACACTATTTGGTTTCATTCCATAGATTATGGAGTCTTGCAGATCATGCACTGATTGCTCGCTGTAATATGGAGGAAGCAGTACGTAGTGTGGCTTTCAGTCCAGACGGGGCCCAGTTGGGGCTTGGGATGAAGGATGGTTCCTTCACTGTGCTCAGGGTCAGGTAGGAACGAACACCTCTGTAACACACTTTTTATAAAATTGGTTTTTTTACATCTTAGAGAGGGTGGAATGAGTGAAATCTTGAGGAAGTGAATTAATTTAAACCCATATGGACTTAAAGTATTAAACGGATACTATAGGTACGAAAACAACTAACAGTTTTGGTGTATTGATCATGTCCCTGCAGTCTCACTGCTCAGTTATCTGCCATTGATGAGTTCATTCACTTTGTTTGTGCCACCCTAGTCACACCTCCCCTGCATATGATCTACACCACATCCCGGCAACTTCCTGAAAATGAGTCTACATTTTTTATCTTCTTTTATAGCACATTTTGTTTCATTTTGAAGTTCTTAATTCCTACTCTGTTTAGAGCCTGCAGCAGCCCCTTGTGTGTGATTAAAGTTCAATGAACAGATCAGGAAATAAGGACATTCTGAAGTAAACACACTGTACTGTAAGATCTAATTGAAAACAAATTTTTTTTTTTCCTGCAGGCTGTGTGAGTCACCGCCATGGAAGGTGCGGCTACAGCTGCATAAACAGAAACTAACTTGATTTAGCTCATAAATGGCAGAGGATTGAGCAGTGAGGCTGCAGGGGCATGTTCTATACACCAAAACTGCTTCATTAAGCTAAAGTTGTTTTGTTGCTTATAGTGTCTCTTTAACATTTACATGATCGGCTGAAGTCAATAAACAAGAACACCCATACAGTTACATCTCCCAAGTTTTATTGCATCCCAATTGATCCAGATTGTGTTTGGTTATATCAGAAGCTAAATTTTCATTCCTAGTGAGTTCAATCCCTAGAGCCAATATGAGAGCTTGGTAAATCATCTTTGTGTTGCAACTCCATTAAATTATGTTAAAACACATATGAATTTAGATAACATACATAATGAAATTGGAACAAGTATAAACCTACTTTTTTATCTAATAGAAAATGTACTATTTAAAATCAACCCTGACTTCCAAGTAGGTCAGATATTATCCTGTGTGATCTGCATTACAACGTAAGCCAACAGGGAAACTTTAGAAAACTGCTATAACTTGGAGAGAACAGCTTTCAATATAACTTTCTATAAAATCTACGTAGGTTGCCAATGTGTTGTATTTTTTGCTGCAAAATATTCCAGTTAGTTCTATTTGTTTTCTGTAGTATAATAGATAGATGCAACACACCACTGTTGCAGTATATATTGAGCAATTTATTTAAAAACAAATTGGGGACGAATAGTGGGTTCCTCCAAAGGAACTTAAATGCCTTAGTTTGTAAGGTTGTAATGAAACCCCTATGTCTTCAGAATCTCCAAACTGAAATTATATATATATATATATATATATGTAAAGGCAGTATGCCTGGAGTTGTGTGAGGGATTTTTACCAGCCTATATCTATATGTACTGCCAACATTTGGAACCTCACCCTCCTCTTATTCATCGGTTTTGCACACAACAACTGACTTGCTCTTACTGGTATAGCTCAAATCTTATTGTGTATGTATATTGAATATAAACATATACAATAAGGTTTGAGCTATATATTTTATTAATGCACCATTATTCTCTTGCCATTTAAAGATTTATATTCATTCCACTAACATCATCTGATGTGAAGAGCTCATGTGTCCAAAATCTTGAATCATTATTAAAAGTACTTGTGTATCCAAGCATCCTTTGCTTTGTTTTCAGAGATATGACAGAGGTGGTTCATATCAAGGACAGGAAAGAGGTGATCCATGAAATGAAGTTCTCACCAGATGGATCATATCTTGCCGTGGGCTCCAATGATGGCATGGTGGATGTCTACTCAGTAGCTCAGAGATACAAAAAAATTGGGGAGTGCAATAAGTCTTCCAGCTTTATAACTCACCTCGACTGGTCTGTGGACAGTAAATACTTACAAACCAATGATGGGGCTGGAGAAAGACTCTTCTACAAAATGCCATGTATGTACTTACTATGAGCTCTGATCTTTTAAGTGAATTTATAAGAAGTGATTTGAACGTTATTTCCCTATCTTGGGCTATCAGGATTGAAGAACTGTCACTCACCCTTTCTAAACTAGCACTATGATACTCTTAAACCTTTAACGCTTGAACTGCAGAGAGGAGAACAGAGCTGCGTTTTTTAGCATCTGGCACTAAGGTGGATAAGAACGTCAGTAATTTCCCTGATCTATGATACTTTAGCTCTCCGAGGCAGTTACATGTATTGCACAATATGTACATTTTGCATTATGATATACATACGTATATACATCCTTCTTTAAGTCTGAATCTAATAAACTCCCAGAAAATCTGAGCACTGTGCTCCCACCTAGTTTTTCTAGATTTGGTACAGTTTAGCAGGACATGTGAGTGTTGTCAAAGATGCAACACATAGGTTTCTGACCACACAGTATGTTACATCCATGCTGATATAAATATTTTCTACATTATTGAACTGTCACTTCAACCTCCTCTTCAACTGCAGATAGAGTTAAACCAAAGGTGGACCAGTTGCTGTAAATTCATGAATGAAAGTTTGTTATTCAATGTGTAGATTGGCACCTTATTATATGTTAAAAACAAAAAACTAACATGGAACTGGAGGATTACTGAACAAACACAGGAGGGACTGTATTAGATTATGAAGCAGGTTATACTTGACTGCTGGTGGCCCTTGTGGCATGCTTGACATTTCTGCTTTATATGTATATCTTTTGGGGGGTTTGCAGTAATTGAAGTTTGTATGTTGATTCTAAGTATTTATAATACTATGGTACAAGTCATGTTAGCGGAATGTGTATGTGGAGCGGTAAGCATGTTTTGTGACCACAATATATATTTTCCAGCTGGTAAACATCTTACAAGCAAGGATGAGATCAAAGCGATTCATTGGTTTTCTTGGACTTGCGTGGTTGGACCAGAGGTGGATGGAATATGGCCAAAATACACCGATATTACGGATATCAACTCAGTGGATGCCAATTACAATAGCTCTGCATTGGTAACGGGAGATGACTTTGGACTAGTTAAATTATTCAGGTTTCCAAGTTTGAAAAAAGGTAAGCTGCTTCTTTTCTCTGTTGTTGTCTACTTGATTCAGGTCCACAAGAGCCTTCCATTCCACTAGTTATGGATTATTGCCAAATGACATTCCAATAGGAATACTGATAGCACTGTCAGGTGTCCTGTGATGATTCTCCCCTCCTTTAAATTGATAATGGTTATTTAGACTGTTAGTAATATAGGCTGAAAAAAGTTCAGCCTCACGTCTGATTCTGCAGTCAATTCAAAAGTAGGAAAAAATTGTATTTTGAAGCGATTTTCAATATTGCCACAAAATGAGAAAAAGATTCCTTCTTGACATCAAAATGGCAGTCAGATTTCTCCTAGTGCCAACAAGCTGTTACCCATATATTAACTATTGTATCCTTGATTGTGTTGTTTATTAATTAATTTTTTTGTTTGCTTATATTTTTTTTTAAAATGCATCCAGGCATTGTTTAAAAAAATCTGTACAGAAACTAATAAAAAAAAACTAATCCTTAACCATTGAACTGGTTACTGGAGAGCTGTTTTTACTGGCTCTGTATATATTTATGTAATATTGTCACATTCCCTATGAGATTATTTTCTAAAGTAAACAAGTTTTCTTCATATCTAAAATCTTTCATTCCCCTTCTTAATTTTGTAACACGTCTCTGCACTTTCTAGTTCCATAATATCCTTTTATTAAAGTGACGGTGTGTGAATATGTAAACTAGCCAATGGACAAGTGTATGAGTTCTAGATCGTAAGCTCTCATCAACCTATTGTTTCTGTAACATTTTGTAATTGTCTAATTTATTGTTACATTTCCCAGTTTGTAATATTGTAAAGTGTTACAGAATAAGTTGGTGATATATAAATAATTTTAATAACAATAACAGTTCCCTGCATGTTTAATGGACCCGTCTTCAATTCTTTAATTTTATTGAGATTTCTGAAATACATGCTAAAGAGTAAGTTTTACTGACTCCGTGTTTACCTTTGTAATTAAGTAAACTTTGTTTTTAAGAACAGTTTTAGCTGTAGGATATCAGAAGTGGATAGGACTGATTCTTTTATTATTGATCACGATGCTCAATAATGCACCTGATGTGATAATCGCGCCGTTCTGAATTATTATTATTAACATTTCTATGGCGTCAACGTAATTAACATATGGAATGTAACATAGGCAAGAGGTGAAGAAGGACCTGCTGAAACGAGCTTACAGTGTATGAGATAAATTATGACTTTGTTTACTGTATAATAAATATTCATCTGCCATTAATTTCTTTTCCCATCATCCTCATTCAACTGGAGGATTACTGAACAAACACAGGAGGGACTGTATTAGATTATGAAGCAGGTTATACTTGACTGCTGGTAGCCAACAGGCAGTCCTATAGCTTTAGATAATAGAAAAAGAAACAAATATATACACAAGAAATACAAATGCACCTAACCAACTCGGTGGTAAGAATATGCAAAGGTACTTAACTGAGTATAAGGTCGATACAGCTTCCCAAGAGGTTTCCCCCAAACGAACCTCAAATACAGATATATGAATAGACAAAATTGGGATACAGCTGAATAACTAAAAAACACAAGAAAACATAGCACATAGTGAAGTACAATCACAATAATAAAATATAACCCACAATGATTGCACTCACAAAATAGTGATGAATAGTGCGCCTTTAAGCCCACATAGGGCTGCAGTAGCGTTCACCCTCCACGAATAGGTTGCTCTGTCTTCCAAGAAATGGGAGTATGCCAGTAAAATGTAAAAAAATCCTTTTATTATTAAAGGCACTAATAAGCCTATATCAAAGATCAATAAATGAAATATAGGAAAAATACTGCAATCTAACGCGTTTCGTCCATACAAATTGGACTTCCTCAGAGACAATTTTGCAGTATACACAGTATATAAAATACAAAGCATGCATAATTTCCACCCCCAACAGAGTCCCTTAAATACAACCAGTCCATATGTTGATTGGAGGACTTCTTCATAGAAACACCTCTTCAATAAGGGAAATTTCTTCCAGGTGATCTTCACCTTAAAAATCGCGGCTAAAAACAGCTGGTTATCCGTCCGTCTCTGTGTTAATATTATGCGTTCCAAATGTCAACTTCCGGTTGCGTTCCACATACGTATTTCCGGTAGCGGATATCAACGGACGTCATGGACGCTGACGTTGCGTTCCAAAACAGGATGTATGCGTTCCAAATAACAAGCCACTCGAGTGGCTAAAAAGGCTAAAAAAAACAGTCTTAAAATAATAGCAACAATAATATAACCATTCTCATGTTACAGATTAGAACACATACACTACAGAAACAGATCATCATCAAATGGAAAATGGGATTTACATCCTCTGCCACTAAAAGAGAATATTGAATTAAAATATAAAAATGAATATGAAAAAATATTATTAATGAATATACATATATATATATAAAAAATATATATACATAAATATTAAATAAAAATAATATTAAAAAATGAAATAAATGAATAAACAAAACAAAAAAAGAAAACAAATATGAAATATGAAAGTAAATATAAATAAAATTAAATGAAAAAAATACAATAAAATAAAATAAAAAAATAAAAATAAAAATAAAAAATAAGAATAAAAATAAATAAATATAAAATAAAAATAAATCAAAATAAAAATGAGTATAAATATAAATGAAAATAAGAATAAAAATTGTAAAAATAAAAATAAATTTAAATAAAAATAAATGGAATTAAAATAACAAATAAAAATTAAAATTAAAAATAAAAATAAAAATAAAATAACAATTTAAATGTGTATAAAAAAGGCAGAAGATGGAAATCCCCCATCAAATAAGCAATAATGTTATACCATAAAACTAGCCAGATCCACATCTATATTTAAACCTTTGGGTGGCAAGGTATCCAAATGGTAAATCCAATAGGTCTCCCGTTGTGCTAGTTTCAATTCCCTGTTGCCTCCTCTCCAATGAGGGGACACATGTTCTATACCACAACCCTTGAAATCCCTCCAATTAAAGGCCTGGCATGTGTTACAGTGAACTGGCACTGAATGGGTTGTTATACCTTTCCTTATGTTGTTAATATGTTCCATAAGGCGTACTTTCAGGGGTCTCTTCGTCTTTCCCACGTATTGTTTGCCGCACGGACACTGCAATAAATAAATCACAAAGTCCGTGTGGCAACCAATGCTGGATTTTACTGGGAAAGAAACCCCAGTGGTATGACTTGTAAACTGTAGAGTTAAACCCAAGTTCATCCTTGAGCAAGCCTGGCACATTTGGCATCCTTTAGATCCCTTCATATGAGTGATAACTTTCTTTTTAGGGATATCTTTTCTAGGATAACTTGGAGCAATTAAATCTTTCAGATTTTGACCTTTCCTATAAATAATAGATGGACGATCAGGGAGAATATTTCCAAGAACTGGATCCTGGAGTAATATGGGCCAGTGTTTTTTAAGGCACTTATTAATTTTCCAATGGTCAATATTATATTTCATTATAAATGAATATCTAAAATGTTCATTTGAATCATTCTTTGGATGGTCCTATAGCTTTAGTAGATGTAATATTCCCATGATGCTCTGAACTGCAATGGGTATGATGCCTTGTTATGGAATAGGGTGGCATTGCATGATGGGAATTAAAATACTACAAATAATGGACGTTGATCATATCAGGTAAATGTGGGCTGTATATCTCCTTCCTGAGCGTTATGTAACTGATTTTACACAGCTGTTTTTATATTGTTTAAGCCTGGTCAGACTGAGTGTTTGTGCATCAGCTTTGAAGGAAAGAGCTTTAATAAGCGAAGTGAAAAATTCTAATCTAGATATGCAAGGTTCCTAGATCTCATTTATAGTGGGAACTTCTTTAAATATTTATATTATAAATAAAACAGAAATGCTGAGAGTATTTCTAGAATAAACCAGCTTTTTATACTTCTATGATATGATATAAATAAAACAGAAATACAAGAGTGTTTCCAGGCTATATTAACGTTTCATTTATATGATTTTTTAAAAAGCAGATCTCACGCAGTACATGTAGCTGATTTCACTAAGAATAGTACGTCGAGGGATGCTGTATCCCCATATTCACTAGTGCGCTGGACTGATTTAGCACATGGTTACACATATCAATTGTACAAACTGTGCTGGGACTGATCTATGTACAGTTAAATAATATTTTATATTAAATGTGTAAGACAGAAACAACGTAACAGGTTAACTTCACACTAACACTTCAAATACAGAATAGGTGTTGTAGAATAAGGGTTTGTAGGGGACTACTAGCATAGACGAGGGCTGGACCTCTGCATTAGCTAGATAGTACTGTATGAGAATTGATATCATGATTGGATACATTTTCATTGATATGTTTAAAAATGGAACAGTCTTTTCCAAAAATTGGAACTCCCATAACTTCCAGTTTTCTCAGATTCTACAGGTCAGTTCCTATATGATACCCATGCCCTATGGGACTTACCTTTTGTTGGTTTCAAGTGAGATCAGTTGCTGCACTCTACATGTGCATAAATACTCCTGTAGCACTTTGCTTATGGGCAGTTCTGATAATGTTGGCATTGTTTGTACCTGCTTTAAAAAAATTACCCTACTGTATCAACTTGAACACTTGTATATGTTGGTTGGTAGGTCCCCTGTTTCTACCATTCAGTAGTTCTGCATATAAAGAAATAGAAATGCTGTCGTAACCCTAGCTGTCTTGTATACCAGATGTAGTCTTCCAATCCTTTAAATCCAAGCAGCAGCATCATTCAGGCCAATGCCTGTAGAAGTGGGTCTACTTAGACTTTATGGTCCATGCTGTACCTCATTCACTGCACCTGCGACATTCTGTCCCGGCCCTCTATTATTCTCATTTTCGTTAATACCCTTAAGGAAGTACATTTTAGTTAGGCAACTACACCTAGATCCTTCAGCACACAATTCATGATGCAAGATATCATCAGGTCATGATAATTTATGTTATCTATCAGATATAAACTGTAAGCCTCAACGAGACATTTAACATTAACCTATTTAAAAAATATGTATATTTTGCTTCTTCAGTGTTTAAAAGGTAACCTGTTTTTTTACCCCACAGGAGCAAAATTTCGTAAATATGTTGGTCATTCAGCACATGTAACCAATGTTCGCTGGTCACATGACTTCCAATGGATTTTGAGCACTGGTGGAGCTGATCACTCGGTTTTCCAGTGGAGGTTTATTCCTGAAGGAATCACAAATGGCCTCATAGAAACTGCACCACAAGGTACGATCTATGTTATTTCCAGTCAGTTTATACAGTTGTTTTTTCCAGTGCTGTGGTAGAATGTCAAAACATTAGAAAGTGATTTTTATATCTTTAAAATAACATGACCAAACTGGACCTTGGAAGGAGTATAGATTAAATGACATCTAAAAAAACAGGTTTTCAGGATTTTCTTACTGTTAATGGGACATATTATACTTCTTGTCAGCAATCAGTTTAGTGTACTACGGAATTATGTTTGAAATTGGTTTTTTAAAAATATTTTCCCTTTGTGTCTCTCCCACCAGCACATGTTTATCTATTTTGCCCCTTCTTAAGCCCCTGTCTGTGACTTTTGCCCATTCCCCAGCCCCGCTATGTCTTTGTCCCCTCCAGCCCTTCTGTGTATCTCGTTTTCCTCCAGTCCCTTTTGTGTGTCACATTTTCCCCTTCCCAGCCCCCCTGTGTATCTTTCCCCCAACACTTTGTCTCTTTCTCCCTCCAGCCCCTCTGTGTCGGCATCTCCCGTTAACCCCTATAGGTGTCTCCCCTCAGCCCCTGCCTGCCCTGCCCCTTTCCCTAGTCTCTGTCTGTCTCTTTTGCCCATTTCTCAACCCCTCTGTGTGTTTGTCCCCAGCCCCTCTGTATGTCTCTTTCTTACCCAGCCCCTTTAGTGTGTCTCTTTGTGCCAACTCACCTCCTTCATATAGTGTGGCTGAGCTGCTGACCGTAGTAGAGGAGCTCCTGTAACCTCTGCCTGGTGTGAAGCAATTCGGTGCTCTCTGTGTGCACTTCCTGTCAGACTGGGTAGAGGAAGCTACAGCTCAGCCATGCGACATGGAGTGACAGGCAGGAGGGGAACGCACACCACAGCTGGTCGAGCCCTAAGGTGGCCGACTTATGGTACTGCTGGCCCTGTCCTGGTAGGCCTTTTTTGTCCCCTTTTGTGGAATGATACACCTCTAGTTTGATGGTGTAATGCTTATCACAGTGCAACACAGTAACAACATTTCAACTGCAAAATCATTTGTTTCTTGCTGAATTATTACAGTGTTATTTATTAAATTGTGCATGCTGGGAATTTACCAATGAATTTCACATTATATGCAAAAAGAGTGAAATAGAAAACTGTTTCTAGTTCAGACATTTGCCCTAATATGTGATATTCACTTGTCAATTTCTGACAGATTCCTTGCTTGTTACTTGAATAGATATTAGCTAGTCAGGACAACACCAAAATGTTCCAGAATAGTTCCACCAATTGAGTTACGTCGTCAGTCACACTTATTAACAATAGGATCTGTTTCAGATTGTTTGACAGTAAATCTTCCTTCCTTACAGAAGCCATTGTAGATTCCTGCAGTGAAGAATCCGATTCTGATCTGTCTGACGTGCCCGAACTAGACTCTGACATTGAGCAGGAGACTCAAATTAATTACGACCGCCAGGTCAGTTTTAAAGACTGTCAAACTGAGTTCAACACAAGACTGCCAGTCAGTTACAATGCATCATTTTTATATCTTGAGATCGGAGGCCAATACCATGAATTGTCTGTCATTATTACTACTGTGGGACACATTTACCAATATTTTGTTAAAACAAGTTACACATAGAATAGTTTCCCAATTTCACAACACTGTTATGGTTGAAATGGAGATACTGGTCTCTAGGAGTGTTTTTTATTTAATAAATGTAGTCTTGTGGCATAATTGATTATTCTTATTAAATTAAGTCAAAGCCTTGATTTCCAGGCAGAGCATGTACATATTGTGACACATTGCTTTTAAAAATCATTCCGTATTTTTAGTCTGTGGCAAACACCCTTATTTTGCAAATTGCATGCAAAGGATCAGACACCCACGTAACTGTAATCAGATGCAGTTTCTTGTCCTGCATTATTGACAGACTTGAGCAAGGCTTATTGTCAGCCAGCATATCAAAGCAACCTTGATTTAATCTAGGTACCTGGTCTGTTGCATGCATTCTGATTGCAGAGCTAACCGCCTAAGGCCGTTTGATACCAGGAAGTCATCTTTTCTGCTGTGTAGTGTAGATTTAATTTCTTGGATGCAGCTCCACTTAATTATATTTAATGTTATTGTGCAATTGATATTTAAACATTATATTATCTGTTTCCAATAGTTTCTTTACTCCAGTTTGGCTGGCTCATGATTGTTGCAACTTCAGTACATGACCTTTTTTCACTGCTCAATAATAGTAAAAGTGTTATTGAAAAATATTGGCATGGTGGCATTCTGATCGCTTCATTACTCTTAACAGCCAGTAAGATGCCGATGAATATCATATATGCCAACGTAATTTCTCTAAACGTTCCCAGATTCAGCTGGCGTATTAGAGCCTGAAGATGACACATGTCCAGATAATCAGTTGACCTTTCACTGTCCATTTGTCCTCTGATTAGTCAATTTAAACTATTGTACCCTTTGGGCTGGTTTGGCCTTGTATTCCTTTCTACATTTGGTTTATGTGGGATCTGTCAGTCTGGCTGTTGCCCCACTTCACATTCTGGTCCAAAATTGCGTTTGCAAAGATCTTCCGGATGGCTTCCTACTGACATTACAGCATTTATTGGCCAAGCACTAATAAATGTTGTACTTTCTTTTTGGATTGTGGTTGATTGACTCAGCTCCATTATTTAGGAAGAGACATCATTTCACAGTTTGTCATTTGTAACAGTGCCTTATCTCTTTCCCTTCTTGATCCTTCTTAATTATTGAGGGCTTATTTGACCTACTGTATTTTATAAAACTGCCGAGCTACGTATTTATTTTTTCCTCCCATCTCCTTGTATCTGTAATGTTTTCCTTTAAAAGTGTAAATAAACTGCAGACATTTTGAAGAGTTTAACTCTTTGTTACAGAGTTATGAGCAGTGGAATACATTAAGTCCCCCACCCTCCCACACCCACTACACCAAGAAGCAGCTTGTTTTGAATGGCAACCTATACATAAAATAGCACAGTATTCAGTTTGACAGTACACTCTATTATGACGTTTATTTGCCTGCATATTGTGTTTTTCCTCTCTATTCTTAGCCTGCTGTCTGTGTTATAGAAACATCCCGTTTTCTAATTAGAGTGAAAGCTTGGCAAACCATTAATTCATAGCAGCAATGACAGCTCATATATTGTATGCATCTCATAGCCTTCAGTCAGCAGAACGGTTAGCCTAACGATTCTCATTCACTGAACTGACAAGGCTCCCTCTTTAGCTATTGGGAGGCCTGCCGCTGCTTGGAGCCCGACTCACACTAACACCAGGCTTGCTTTAGAGTTGATGTGACCTGTAGCAAAGAATAGGTATTATCCAGCATTATTTATACCCTAAAAAAGGCCCCTCTCGCTCATAAATAAATATTTTAGGATGTTGCGTAGACCACAGGGGTAAAATATGAAAATGAATGATCCTGTGACTTGTGACAACAAGGAAGGTAATGCCTTTATAATAAATCAAGATTGAGTTAAGTGAGAATTTAGAAAGAGGGCGCTAGCAAGACAGGAAGTGGGTTTGATCCCTCAACTCCAAATTGTAGTGAACTTAAATCCAAATGATGACAACTGATTTGTAAAAGCTTCTAACTTGGCTGTAGTCACAACTTGGCAATTTAGACCACAGTTTGAAATGTGGATTTAAATCGCTTGCAATTTGGTGTTCAGTGTTGTGGTAAGCCCACTGTAGAGACTGTCACGCCAATATATCGGTGCTCTTTGCACCATAAACAGTTTTTTTTTTTTTTAATTCTTTATTTTTGTTGTGCAGGAGGTTACAAGACATTGACAGACGCCACAACAGCATATTGTAAGAGTTACTAGAGTTAGGTAGTGGCTTTAAAGTTTGCACTTTTTTTTATATATATTCACAGTTATAACCATGCTTGACTATACTATTAGAACTTCAGAATAAAAATATAAGTAAATAAAACGGTTAATGCCTAACATCGCTATTCTAGCTATGCCATTATAGTTATATCACAGGCTAAGCATGCTTGCATATTTTTTATGGTTAACGTAGTTTCTAATATGCTAGTCAGGGATGTCTAGGTTGGATGAGCTTGTAGCAGGTTCATGAGTAGTTCTAGACAAAGGTATTATAAAAATAACAAATAAGAACATAATAAATATAATTAAGCAATAAGTCGTGCGTTTTAGTTGACCTTCCATTCGAGTTAAGTATTGCATATCATGCCTATTCTGGTACACATGCTGTCACTGAACGTTGAGATAGGGCTTACACTAGACACGCTATTCTAAGGACTCACTGCTGCATATCATTCTATGGTTGTACAGAGAATTGTAGATCAATGTTTATCGTCTATTAGTTTAAAAAAAAAAAAAAAAAATAAATAAATAAATAAAATAAAATTGCTTGCTGGGTGTGTGAGTATTTGCGAGTGTAGTTATATGCCAGCGCGTAACTTAGTTAATGCGCCCCCAAGCGCGGTATGGGCATTAAATCTCCCTGCAGTGTGTGGGGGATAGAGAGGGAAAGTAAAGTATAAAGGGGACCAAAACAGAATACTCTAAATTGGTTGGTCAGCGTGTCTGCCATCTAGTCTAGTGCGCCAGGGTGGTAATCAGAGAGAGTACAGTTTTAAGTGGCTTGTGGTGGAGGTCCTTAAACACTGTTCAAACCGATAGTCCCAGTAATTCTTAGCCGGAGGGAAGGTTCATACATATTCTTGGCAAAAAGGGAAAGACGTCCCGGTGAGCAGTCACGAGCTTAGAGTCCCAGTTCAAGTAGTGGCTGCTGTATTGGGTTCCGTGGGTCGTTGCCGTGGCACAAATTCTGGTGCTCTGGCCGAGTTCTTCCCAAAGCTGCTGCTTGTGGGACCTCTCTGCCCCATTGCAGATTCCAGGGTTGTCAGAGGGAGGTTTAGCTTCTCTAAGGCCCCTGCGGCCTCTTGTAGGTTCCGGGCTAGCACAGGGCCACTTGCGCCCTCTATGCGCAGTATCCGGCCAGGTCCCCAGCGGTATCGGATCTGTTGCTGCCGTAGGCGGGTGGTGATCTGCCGGAGGCACCTTCTCCAGGACAGTGTACCACTCGATACATCTGCATAGAAAGAGAGGGACGTTTCTTCAAAGGTATATGCTGACAGGCCCTTGATGGCGTTGAGTACTGTCCTTTTGTCTCTTGCTGTTTGGAAGCGGAGGATCACATCCCCAGTGGCCGCCGGTGGTGCTGTAATCGGCTTTGGGATACGAAAGATCCCATCCAGCGTGATCGTTTTTGCCACTTTTGGGGTCAAAAGCGTGGTTAGCAGTCGCCTGGCGTAGTGAGGGAGCTCTGCCTCTGGTATGGAGTCCGCGACCCCTCTTAGCTTTAGGTTCTTTTGGCGTCTTCTGTCCTCTTGTGTGTCTAATTGTTGTTCATGAAGTGTCACTTGCTGTTTCAGGTCGCGGACTGCCGCTTGCAGTTCCGCGATTTGGCTTGTGTGGTCTTTGGAAGCGCTTTCCACAGTTCCCAGCCGGGCGGACAGGCCTTTCAAGTCTTCCCTGATCGTTGCCACCTCCGCTGAAATTTTCTCGTGGTGGGTGGCCATAAGTTCCGTGATAGCCTCCATGGTTACCGGTGTGTGGGTTGATGTGGGTGGCTGTGGTCTCGCAGGCGGTGGTAGTGCTCTTGTTGGTATGAGGCCCCCTTCTCCTTCGTCGGATGTCTCATCCGAGAAGTCTGTACATCCCCCATGCAGGGACTCCATTGTTGCGCCCGCGGCCTCGTGGGCCTGCCTCCACATGTCCCCGATATTCATCCCCTGACGGGGCTTGTCGGGTTTTTGTTTCTTTGTTTTTCTGCCCATGTCAGTCAGGTGTGTGTAAGGGCACTTTGGGGGTCCGTTGGGCCGTGTTGGGCGCCGATATCAACCAATTTGAGCTGTTTAAATCGGGAGCTCCTCGGCCATGCGACTATCCGTGTCAGTAGCTAGACTCCGCCCGCACCATAAACAGTTTTAATACCCAGGGTACTCTTTACCATTAAGACCAAAAACCTACTCCTTTTTAGAAGATTAACTGAACAAAGTTATTCCTTACTGACTGTACTGGCCAGCTAAGCTGGTTTATTGTCACAAAACTCAGAATTTCAAATGACAAAGTTTTCCTACCAACATTGTCTTACGTTTCACTCTCAGTACCTGTAGTCAGTGCCCATACTGAGATCTCAGCTGACTATATAGGACTGGACAGCTACTACTATTGGTATCCCTAGAATTAGGATACTTTCCCTCAGCCTGGGTTTGTGTCTGCCCTTAGTTACCATATCACAGTGTAGAAAACCCACAGAATACAAAAATTCGTAATAAATTAACAAGATTGTGCCAAATGTATTAAAGACGATACAATTTTTTTTTTCTTTTTTTAAATCTTTATTTTTCGTGCAAATGTGAACAGTTAAGCTTCATATACCACAACAGCTCTATCAAGCATAGTAATACAGTTATAGGGTATCAGTAACATGGCATTAGTAGGGATTGCACCTTTTTGTAGTATAATGACAAACGAATAACAGTAACATAGTGGTAAATGTCAGTTGGTAATAGAATCTCTATGGTTAGTAATCAGGCTATCTTAACTGACGTGGGTGCCCTGGGCACTGAGTGAGTGAACAAGCTTAAGTATACAACCATAAGTATAATAGGTTATGGACCTGCCTCAAGTTTCATACGTTTGCGTTATTCCTTGCATACTTAGCCAGACCAGGAGGGGGTTTTGGTATCAAGACTAGGCTACACATGCTGTCGACAATATTCATTATATTCAAGGCTGCAAGCATATAACAAAATAATAAGTCACTGCGGTCTGGGTTCCGCTCTTAGGGGGTTAAAGCTCTAAAATCTGAGTTTCAGTTTAGATTCTTGCCAGTGCTGTCATTTGTGTTTGTATAAGTAATAAACAGATTAACACAGGTTAGGTTCCACTCTTACATGAGAACAATTACTGATCGCACTGACTGTTTCAAGAGCAAGCTTAGTAAAGTAAACAGAGTGATTAGGTATGCTCCTAAAATTGGGTGCAATAGGGTCCAGGAGTCAAGTCACTTAGAAAGGCTTCTCTCTGTTTAAATAGTTAAGTGTTAAATTAGTCTAAGTGACTTGACTCCTGGACCCTATTGCACCCAATTTTAGGAGAATACCTAATCACTCTAATTCTAGGCGAAGTATTTTGTGAAACTTCTGCCCATATCCAGTTTGAGACTTTTCACTGCAAGTCGGACTCCCTCACCTCTGGGTGTTGCAATAGGCATACCAGACCATTCCAATTTTAGTAAAGTAAACAGTCTAGGTACTATATGTTGCAGGTGTCACGTATTGCTACGGCATCAGGTACTAGCTAGTATGTTAAACATGGCGATACGATTTCTTATCAGTAATTGATAGGATTGTTCTTGTATCTGGATTGTTCCCTAAAAGCTGGTCTCCCAAACCCACATTATACATATCTCTGGAGTCCTATTGGCAAGATGGCAAGTGGTGATGCAATTCATAGCATATAATCACATGTGTGGGAGGTGAGGTACCGACCAGAATTCAGAAATAGCATTAAAGATATTCGGCACGTCTCCAAGGACTTAGCATTGTATCAGCAGTCGTTAATGATTTTAACCTCATCTGCATCAACCATGTTCCACAGGAAGTATACCAGAACACGTGTTTAATGTGTCATGGAGAGCAATGTGTCCCTAATGACATGATTAGCCAGCCCCCTACTATCTGCCCTCACATTAAAATGTGCCTAAATTACTATTCATTAGCAATGAATTAATAAAATTGGGTATAAATGAAACTTGACCAAATCAATTCATCTGGCAGAAAAAAAGACATTTGATCGGGCGAGCTGAGGTTTGTCCTCGTTGCATTTTGGTTTGGATAAATCTGGTCAGTGCACTCATTTCAGTAAAAACAATACAAAAAAAAAAATACACATATTAGTGTTCTGCTATGCAAAAATCTCTCACAAATTAGTAAAATAATTCTAAATCAATGAATCATAATTGCCACTAGTAATGGCTAGGCACAGCAGTAACCTAACCACCTCACTAGTCTCACACAAGGATCAGCGACACAGGCTGTCTCCTATTCCTAATAGCTGCAGTTAAAGTGTCTGTAGCAATCCTGCTTGGGAATATATAGATTATATTTTTCATGATCCCCCTTTTCCCTCTATTGATCACTTCTTGATCTCACTTGATCCATTAAAGAGATACTATAGGCTCCAAAACAACCTTAGCTTTATTAAATGTTTTTTTGTACAGATCATGCTCCTACTGTCTCACTGTTTAATTCTCTGCCATTTAGACGTTAAATCACTTTTGTTTCTGTTTATGCAGTTCTAGCCACACCTCCCCTGGCTGTGACTCACACAGCCTGCATGAAAAAAATGGGTTCAGTTTCAATCAGATGTTAACTTACTTTAGAAGTTTTTATCTCCTGCTATGTAAATTGAACTTTAATCACACTCTTTTCTGTACGTAGGCATCCTCCTTTCTGTATGTGGGTTTTCTCTTGCCTGTATGTGGACTTACCCTTGCCGTATGTTGGCTTTCTCTTATGCTCTTTTTGCTTGTACGTGTGCTTTCTCTTGTGTGTATGTGGGCTTTCTTTGGCCTATATGTGGAATTTCTCTTTTTCTCTATGTATACTTTCTCTTGTCTGCATGTGGGCTTTCTCTTGTCTGTATGTATACTTTCTCTTGTCTGCATGTGGGCTTTCTCTTGTCTGTGATGTGGGATTTCTCATGTTTGTATATAGGCTCTCTCTTGTCTGTAATGTTGGCTCTCTCTTATTTGTATATGGGCTCTGTCTTCCTTTACAGACTCTTCTCCTACTGGTTGCTACTGATAGTACTGCATTTATACACTCACAAACACAGACCGACACTGTTTTTAATCTTTTACCATTTCTGGCTTTAAAAGCTTGAGACCTCAAATTTGTTTTTAATTATCTTCGTAAAGTTAATTTTATCTTAGATACATACTGGCTGTTTGGTAATTGTTATTTCCAACATTATTCTAGGAGTAATTTCTATATAATTAGTGACAGCTAACCTGTGCACTGCAGATATTTTTAAACTATATTTCCCATGATGCTGCTTAGCCAATCATCACTGCTATCAGGGCTTAGACATTTAAGTCCTATGCTACTAGCCAAGAAGTAAAAGTTACTTGCCAATGCAAGACATATCATGCCTACTCACCAGGGCTTAAATTTCACTCTCCAATGGTTTTTGCCTCTCTGACTTTAGTCACTGTCTAAAGCTAGCATTGCAAACTGTTAAAGGTACATTATAGTCACCAGAACAACTACAGCTTAATGTAGTTGTTCTGGTGAGTATAATAGCTCCCTTCAGGCATTTTCATGCAAACACTGCCTTTTTAGAGAAAAGGCAGTGTTTACATTGCCCCTAGGGACACCTCCAAGTGGCCACTCATCAGATGGCCACTGGAGGTGCTTCCTGGCTCAGTGCTGCACAGTAAGCAGCCCTGCCGTTCAGCGTCCCCACGCTCTGCATTGGGACGCTAAATTTTCCTCATAGAGATGCATTGATTCAATGCATCTCTATGAGGAGGTCCTGATTGGCCAAAACGGCATTTGACCCTGCCACGTGCCGATTTTAGCCAATCCACGGCGCTGGAAAAAGATGAGTTTTATACTTTTATAAGGGAGCCAGGGGGGGTAAGCCACCTAAATTGTGGATTAAACACTATAGGGTCAGGAATAAGTGTTTGAGTTCCTGACCCTATAGTGATCCTTTAAAATAAATACTCCCAACAAACTAAACGTTCATCAGGCTGCTAGAGATCCACAAAACGTTAAAAGGACTATACTGCTAGCTTATTTATTCAACAGTCATGTCCTATGCCTTTACCTTTTAGGATGTATTTCCTAATGTGAGAATTCACGTGCTTTCAGTTCTGTTTTTGTGTCCTATAATTTGAAATTCAATATGAATGCTCACTTTAATAAATAACGATGTTTTTGGTAACGTCTTTTTTTTTTTTATTATTCTTTATTTTTGGTATGCAGGTAGTTACAACAGTGCCTGTGACGCCACAACAGCATTAGCAGGCTCGATTTTTATAGACATATGATAGCAGTATTGTGGCAGGTTGGATATGCATACATTTTTTTAAGTGAAAAAGGTAACGATACAGCAAACGAGCTATTAATAATATGCTTTAAGTTAAATTAGTGCGAATAGCTTGAGGCATCATGTGAGATCGACAGGCTATACTTAGAGAAAACAGTAATGTACAATTCGCTTGCCGTGTTTTAAAACGCACAAATTTTGGTTAACAAAACTGGCTAGGCACATGTTGGTTAGACATAGTGAATTACTTGATTGTTTGGTAACAGTAGCTTAGGATTAGCGATTATAGTGAATGTCGTCGCTGTATATTATATGAAAATCTCAAGCTATTAAACAGCGTTTTTATGGTGGAACATGCTAAGCTAGACATGTATAGGACATTGCGAATTGCACCTAGGGTATAAAGCAGGCTAGTTGTTTAAACGTATGCGCATTTAAAATAAAGAAAGAAATAAACAACAAGAGAAGTAATTGCTAGACCATTCGTTTGTTGCAGGTTAGTTGCTGGTTTTAACAGGTTTACCGTGTTGGCTAGTCTGCGTGCTATATGTGACGTGTGTGATTACCGCTGGGCATTTAAGTATACTAATTAAAGTGTTGGCGCAATTGGGGGGACATCTCATTGTGGTTAAGGGTCTAGAGATGGGGCATTAGGTCTAGAGATGGGGCATTAGGTCTCATAATCCTCTTGGGTGTGACAGCTTTGGTATCCCTGACTTGGTATGAGGAATGATTTGTGTCTCCCGAAACCAAAAGGGTGAAGTGAGCTGAGCTCCCCGTTAGTTATCACATGCACAGTTATGGTGGAGGTAAGGATCGAGCTAGGGTATCACTGCGTGACTCTGAAAACTCCTGGCTCATTACTAGTCTGCCCCTGCTGTGGGAGTCGCATAGTGGGTTTGAGTCAGGTTATTAGTAGAGAGCATGTTAAGGGAGAGTTAACACAAAACTAAACAATAACATATTATATTGCAGAATCATCTGGTAAGCGTGTTAATAAAAATAAGACGTCTCCTATCTGATACGCTGGGAGCCTGGCTGTAGTCAGATTAAAGCAACAGAGTAAACAAGTAAAATGTCATATGATTATCCGGCATAACTGTATCTATACAGTGGGGTGCAAGAACGAAAAAAAACAAAAAACCCTCAAGGTTATCGTGCGCAGGGAGCACTGTTAGGCTATGCTTGTTATTTAGAGGGAGGTGGCAGTAATATCTAGACTGTTAATAGAATGACATTGGTAACATCTTTTAATAAAAGAGCACTCTATATTTACTAACATTCTCTCAACGAATCCTTTTAGGTTTACAAAGAAGATCTACCTCAGCTAAAACAGCAAAACAAAGAAAAGGACTCATTGCCTTCCCTAAAAAGAGAGAAAGCCCCCGAGGAAAGCCTGAAGCTGAAATTTGTGCATGGGTAACTATTAGCTAAATCCAATTCAACATATTTATTCACTAAACAAATTGTACTGAATTAAAGTGCAAACGTTATGCAGAAATAGCAAAACGATGACTTATAGCAGAAGTTTAAATCTGTGTGGCCCTCTTGTGTCAGTCCCAAGTACTGCATGTAATGGTATTTCCCATAGCAAGGCTAGTGTAATTGTATTACTGTTTGTGCACACATTCCATTATCGTACCTACCTTTGTAGGGCAACTCACCAAGATGTTTAAATAAAGTATGCATATAACCTAAACATTGTTATATAGAAAAATGGAAATATGCTGAAATACAAGACTCCTTAAGGACGGAGGCGATTGTCCATGTCGTAAACCAAAACAAAACCTAGAATTTGAGCTACATGTCTGTTCAACCATAATTTACCATTTTCATGTTAAGTGCAGCCACACTTATTATATATCATTTTATTCTTGATAAATAGGGCTTTCATTCCATATAAAATATTTTTATATGGTACACAATTTCATATGAATAAAATCCCAAAAAGTGTGAGAAATTAGGAAAATGTGTTACTTTCCAAGTTCTGCATGGCATTTTAACTGTTAATGTCCCAAGGGTGCCACCCTTGTACAGGTTTTAACGGGGATTTAGAAAGTTAAAGGGTCAAATAAAGAGCTTGCCAATTTCAGTTTTTACACTTTGTTTTGCTGGGCCCATGTTGCCTTTAAGACTGTATGGCAGCCTGGAATGAAAATTACCCCCATCATGGCATACCATTTGAAAAAGTAGACAACCCTCATCAAATCTATATCTATCTAAACATAGTGTTCATATTTGCTTCTTGCATTTTTTTACACAAAAAGGCAAGTTCCCCAATATATATATTTAATAAAACAATATAAAATACAATTAGAATGAAAAAAAAAAAATATATATATTCCTGGCCAGAGTGAGATAGTTACATAGACCGAAAAAATGCCCATTAAGTTCAGCCTTTCGCACATCTGTTTTTTGCTGTTGCTCCCCAAAAAAAGGCAAACAAAACATTTTTTTTCCAGTTTTGGAACAAACCAGGAAGAACTTCCTTCTTATGCCCAGAATGGTAGTCTGATCTCTCCTTTGATCAAGAAGCTGTTAGCTCACATATTAAATATATCCCCGAACATTATGTTTCTGCAAGAATTCATCTAGTTGCTCTTTCAAAATCTGTACAGACGCTGATAAAATCACATCTTAAAGCAGAGAACTCCACATCATTATTGTTCTTACTGTAAATTACCCTTTCCTTTGCCATAGAATAAATCTAATTTCTTCCCGACTAATGTGTGTCCTCATGTCCTTTGTATCTTCCATTCCCTTATTAATTTTTGAAGCCCACCTCTGCACTTTTTTCTGCCATAATATCCTTCATTAGAACAGGTGCCCATAATTGCATGGCATATTCAAGGTGTGGTCTTACTAATGATTTTATAAAGAGGTAGAATTATAATTTTGTCCCGACATTTATTGCAACTGCAGTTTTAGAAGGTGACTTTGCATTGAACTGTAGTGAATTTCCAGTTTGGGCATTGTTCTCCGTGAATGTTTTTCACCTGCCATTATACAAAATGTTCATGCAAGTCAACCTTCAGCAGTCAGATATATTTGTAAGGATACAGCAGAATAGAAATTTGAAGGTGCTGATGGGTGGAATATTCAGGGTGCTGGGAAAAATTCAAAAGAATTTAAGTTGGTTTATTGCTCATTTCCTCCACCACATGTTATTTATTTTTTTACTAATCGATTGCTGTATGTCTTTTCTAGCTACAGAGGCTATGACTGCAGAAACAACTTGTTCTACACTCAGACAGGAGAGGTGGTTTACCATGTGGCCGCTGTTGCTATGGTTTACAATAGAGTGCAGCACTCACAACGGTTCTACCTTGGTCATGATGATGACATTCTAAGTCTGGCCATTCATCCTGTGAAAGATTATGTAGCTACTGGTCAGGTATGGACTTTATGATTTTGCTTGCAAGCTGTGTTGTGGGTCTGTACTATGGTGTTTGGTGTTGAATATCGGTCCCATGACAATTTTTTGTTTTTTGACCCTTTCTATAGTTACTTATTGTGCAGCATACAAGGTGCATGGTTCATCATGGTTGTTTAGTCACAGAGATTCATGTCTTCTGCACCTTTAAGATGGCGCTGGAAATGAATTGACGCTGTGTCATTCTGGCATCAGTTTTAAACAGTCAGACCTGCATGGTATTTTGGAGCCCACAGCCATGGTCATGTCTCATTTCTGAGATGCGCATCACAGACCAATCAGCACTGACTTTAGGTTATTTGAGATTACTCCTTGGGTTGCCCTGTTTTGCGCTCATATACCCAAGAGTGCATTTGTTCTACTTGATTATTTGGTTACTGAATTGGCTCGATTTCCCAGAATTAGGATCTCCCTGACCTTTGCAAGTTTCTCAAGAAGTCTTATCAATAAACTGCAATCTTTGAATTTGGATTCCAATATTGTTGAATGGGTTGGGCAGTGACTGAGTGACAAGCAACAGAGGGTTGTAGTCAATGGAGTACATTCAATTCAAGGTCTTGTTACCAGTGGGGTCCCTCAGAGTTCTGTTCTTGGAATCATTCTCTTCAAAAATTTTATTAGTGATATTACAGAAGGTCTTGATGATAAGGTATGTCTTTTTGCTGATGACACAAAGATTTGAACAGGGTTTATGTTCCAAGAGGGATAAGCCAAATGGCAAATGATTTAGGTAACTAGAAAAGTGTTCAGAGCTGTGGCAACTGACATTTAATGTGGATAAGTGCAAGATAATGCATCTTGGCTGTAAAAAACCCAAGGGCAGAGTATAGAATACAGAGGACAGGGCTTTAGGGATAATTTTACAATAGGGTACATAGAGCACTATAGTACAAGAAAGGGTGGGGTCAGACAATAGCAAGGGCAGTTGGGAGATTAAGGAGGGACAAAGCAGCTAGTTTAAACTCGTCCCTGGGACAATGCCCTGCTATGGAAACAATAGGATAGGAAAAAGGGGAAGGGGTAGAGGCACATTCAACATACTCCTCCTCTGTACCTGAGAGATAATTGAGTCAGGAACTGCACAAACTCAATTATTTTCAGTTACAAAAAACACACAATTTCACAACACCCCAAAATTCATGGAAACCCCTCAAGAGTCACATGCCCAGATAGCCCTGATCTGAATGACCATCATATCCAATAATCACTCAGAACAATGGTTCGGATTTTCCATGTAAGTCAACTTTTAACATGTCTTTCTATATGGCCCATTGTCCTTGGGCAGGAGGCTAGCCAGCAGGCCCCTCCAGAAACACGTGGCAGAGGCATCTTTGCTACACTATGTTTCTGTGCACTGACTTTGGCCTGTTTCTTGGACTACCCTTTGTCTTTCTTCAGACTGGCTACTGCCCTTAATGTAAAGCAAAGCCATTACATAGGATATATGTTTTCTGACCGTTTTTCCAAGGTTTGCTTGAGGTCATTGACACAGAGATACTGTCTGTGTAATAAAGGCAAAACCATATTTAAAGCATTCTGTTATTTACATTCTTCACTGGTATGCCAAATTCTTCATGGAGACACCATTTCCATCTGCACTATAAATAATAGAGAATGTGGAAGGGTAGACAATTAAAGGTGCTTAGATCACATACTGGGAGGGTACTCAGCGGGAGGTTACAACATGATAAGGTGCCGTGTGAGAGTTTATGCAATGATTGGAGATTACATGAGGTGGGTACCCTGAGAAGTTACATGATTGTTGCGTGCAAAGAAAAAGGTTACATAATAGTAGGGTACCCAGTGGGAGATTACATGATGCATGGATACCCAGTGGGCGATTACATGATTGGTGGGTACCCTGTGGGAGGTTACACAATGGTAGGGTGCCCAGTCGAAGATTACATGATGAGTGGATACCATATGGGATGTTACAGGATTGGTGGGTACCCTGTGGGAGGTTACATAATGAGAGAGTACCCAGTGGGAGATTACATGATGAGTGGATACCCTGTGGGAGGTTACATAATGAGAGAGTACCAAGTGGGCGATTACATGATTGGTGTGTAACCTGTGGGAGGTTACATAATGAGAGAGAACCCAGTGGGTGATTATATGATTGGTGGGTACCCTGTGGGAGGTTACATAATGAGTACCCAGTGGGCGTTTATATGATGAGTGGATACCCTGTGGGAGGTTACATAATGAGAGAGTACCGAGTGGGTGATTATATGATTGGTGGTACCCTGTGTGAGGTTACATAATGAGTGGCATATTCAAGGTGTGGTCTTACTAATGATTTTATAAAGAGGTAGAATTATAATTTTGTCCCGACATTTATTGCAACTGCAGTTTGGGCGTTTATATGATGAGTGGATACCCTGTGGGAGGTTACATAATGAGAGAGTACCGAGTGGGTGATTATATGATTGGTGGGTACCCTGTGGGAGGTTACATAATGAGAGAGAACCCAGTGGGTGATTATATGATTGTTGGGTACCCTGTGGGAGGTTACATAATGAGAACCCAGTGGGTGATTATATGATTGGTGGGTACCCTGTGGGAGGTTACATAATGAGTACCCAGTGGGTGATTATATGATTGGTGGTACCCTGTGTGAGGTTACATAATGAGTACCCAGTGGGCGTTTATATGATGAGTGGATACCCTGTGGGAGGTTACATAATGAGAGAGTACCGAGTGGGTGATTATATGATTGGTGGGTACCCTGTGGGAGGTTACATAATGAGAGAGAACCCAGTGGGTGATTATATGATTGGTGGGTACCCTGTGGGAGGTTACATAATGAGTACCCAGTGGGCGATTATATCATTGGTGGGTACTCTGTGGGAGGTTACATAATGAGTACCCAGTGGGCGATTATATGATTGGTGGGTAACCTGTGGGAGGTTACACAATGGTAAGATACCAAGCGGGAGGTTACATAATGAGAGGGTTCCATGTGGAATGTTATATGTTGGGATTATACATAACCCAATACATAATGGGAGATTAACAGATGAGCGGTGACACAGTGAGTACCCGGTGGGATTCCCTGGTTTCTTCTTTTTTTTTTTTTTTAGTTGTCTGGAATGAAATATTTGCTTCCAAGTCATAGTTCTTTATTAGCTTCTCCCTTCCAGTGAATTCTATATTACATAGAGCAGGAGCAGGTGTATGACATCATATTCCTGTGTCCACTGTTGTACAGAGGATAGTGGGATTAAAGAGCAGGGGAGAGAGACTGAGAGACCTATTGCATTCAAGACATTTGCAATTAACTCTGGTACCTTCACACAATGACCAAATGTGAATGTGAGAGATGGTGAGTTAGTTGTTCTTAAGCTCCATGCTGTAAGAAGGTTTTGGTGTTTGGTGGCTTCATTTCCAGATGGACAAATACTCCACCTTCCTCTAAGGAATATAGTTTGGTTTAGCCCACAGAAACTGATTAATTGTCACATGTTGATACTGGAGTGCTATGTGAAATTCCATGTTTGATGTTTGTATTGTGAATACATGATCCTTTGTAATATAGGTTGGAAGAGATGCAGCTATTCACATATGGGACACGCAGACGCTCAAATGCTTATCATTACTGAAAGGACAGCATCAGCGAGGAGTCAGTGCGCTGGATTTTTCAGGTAGGGAAGATGCCTGTGTATGTTTCTGTAATAATAATTGCTTTCTACGCAAATTTTTAGATAAATTCACTGATAACAGAATAAAAATACTGTGACGGTAGTAATCTGTATCACCGTCTGGTATTCCCTTTTTCCCAATAGCAGAATAACAACAATAATCCACAGGGTAAAATAACGCTGGTATCGCCAAATAATCCACACATGAGCCAAAGCTTAATGCTGGAACAAGACTGATTTACTGGAAGCAACAGGCATTCAATTTATACAGTAACAGACTCCTCCTCTGGGCCAGGCTAGATAATTGGGTTTCAGCAACATACTAAACTCAATTATCTGCTGGCCAGAAACATTACCAATTTTCCACATTTTTAGAAATATACTTTATACATGACATAGGAATATAAAAAAAAAAACACATCCCTGGGTAGCTGAGGATACTGGGAGTAACATATCCAAATTACACGAAAATCCGTTTGGTAGTTTTTCGTGTCGCATCGTGTGAAAGTTTGCCATGTGGTTGTATCCGAGTTAGAGTTCCATGAAATTGGTAGCAGGAGCCGGTCTCCGTTCATGCAGAATTACACGAAAACCACCACAGTTATACGGTATCTGGTTACATGCGAATGCTCCCCTCATTCGGTTGATTGAAACTCCCGAACGCCAGTCTGATACTGTGAGCGGAAATCGGTCAGACGGGACTTCCATAGAGACCTGGTGTTCATGTGGTTGCCATGCCGAAAATGGTTCCAGGCAATCCACAAGTAAGTCCTGCTGGCCGCATTTGGGAGATTTAAGATGGCCGCCATCCTTTGTTCTCGCCACGTGTTCGTATGCCGAATGGCGCCAACTAGAAGCACTCAATTACCTTGCGGTTTTCATGGTTACTTGGTGTTCTGAGTTCTGATTGCTACCCAGGGTGGTCTCTGTTCAGTAGAACGAATAAATGTCCCGAACACAGAAACAAACAACGAATACTTTAAAGTCACTTACCGCTAAACACAAGGAAATCCTTTACAAATACTTATTTATTATTAGATTTAACAGTTTGTATTGGAGAAAAGTCGGCTGGTACATGGTGATGGAACAAATATTAGATACAGAAAAATGGGTACTTGTCTAAACTCCTGTCTCTCAGTCAGACAGCTTGCTGGAAGTGGAATTTAAGTTGCTGCATGAAAATTACATCTTAGTGAGCAGTTTACTAATACCCTTACCTCCCCCCTTCACTGACTTTAATACCCACCCTATAGAGGGTGCAGAGCCTGGTTTGCCAATGGGTAGTGAAAGCAATCTGCCTACAGGTACCTGTCAACTTCGTGCACCTGCCCTGATTCCAAACGTGTGATTTGATATTCCATTTTGCAATTTTCTGAGAATTATGTATCGACAGTCACCTGAGATGTAAATGTGTCCCTGAGAGGCTCTATGAAGAATAGTACTTGTAACCGCAATAATAAAAGCTACTGGACCATGGAGACAATACTTAATCATTTTCAGCCAGTTTTGGCTTTCTCGGATACAAAATCTTTGCAAAGTAATTCTGCTAGTATATAAAAAGGTCATTAAATACTCCCAGCTGCTTTCTTCATACCGTACAGCTTTCTTAGCAACAAAGACATTTTAAACACCGTAATTAAGTGATAACGACTTTGGAATAGTTCTGTGCATGATCAGATAATGATTCTCAGCTGCACGGAACATGTCACCGGAACCAGACATGGTGGAAAAAATAAAGTATACTTGAAGCAGCTAAAAATACAGAGATGGCATGAGAAAGGCATGGTATGTTTACCTGATACTCAACGAGTTAGTTGTCAGTAGCTTTTCAGCGCAAGTAGGATTATTTACTAAAGGAGAATTCAAAGTAAATTTCAAATTTAATTCAATTAACAAAATGTAGACAAAAATAGTTGTGACTTGACTATTTATGCCTAAAAATTGTTGGAGAATTTTTCAAATAGGTTATTTTTGTATACATTTATAAATTTGGTTTTCAATTCACTACAATTTAGCAATTGGTGACTAACCCCTACGTGTTTACCAATGATCTGTTTTTATATCTGTCCAAGTCCATTCACCCAGGGCCAAGGTTTCATCAGTTTTTACGGTGATACTAAACCTATTACAGTATATGAGGATATAGAAAGTCATTTTTTTAAAAATATTTGCACCATCATATTTTAAAATCTGCATTGTATTTATCATTTCTAAAATGACTTTTATCTGTATCTATAATCTATGTATTGATTTTTGAAATCTAGTTTAACATCGACACGTTACTTATTACAACATATTTTCCCTAACCCACAAATCTATGTCTTGCAGCTGATGGTAAATGTTTAGTGTCTGTTGGTTTGGATGATAACCATACCATCGTCTTCTGGGACTGGAAAAAAGGAGAAAAAATATCAACTACGCGGTACGTTCATGTTTATTGGAGGTCAGAGTAGCAAAGATATAAGATGTTAAGATTTCGAAATTTGGAACACTGGTTGTTTACTGCCTTATATTTTGTTATCTTGTCAAATATATAAAACTAAATAAGCACCGCACGCCAAACAAGTATATTTTATTAGTCAACACAGTTACAAATTGCTGTTGAGTACTTGTTTTTATTCAATACAAATCCTTCTACATAATTATCTATCTGTTAGAGAAATTCATAGGCATAAGACACTTGGTAGAATCACACTGTCAGCACTTGCCAAAATATAAATACCCCTGTTACAGTATTTCTCTGCTCGGTTGTGGTACTGACTGCTGATAAAAAAATCAACATATTGCAGCAGGGCAGCCCTTTTCATGCACTGTCCATTTTTATGATTGGTATGAATCAACTCTGGATCTTGTAACCTTTGCGTTAGACATGGAGGCCCAATCCCATGAACCATTGAAAAACAACACACGTATTAAAATGTCACAATAGCATCTATGTTTTTCAAAGAGAAATATTAAAGTGGAACTGTCACATGTCTATTTGTGACACAACCCAGTAGCTAACTATAACTTAAATATAGGTTGTGCTTTTATATTTTAATAAAACATAAATCAATATAATTTGTTTATTAATTCATATTTACATTTTGACTAGGTCACACACATTGTGTATGCTCCATACCTCACTAGCGATACTGTAAGAGAAAAGTTGGTCTCGTTAAGGTGTGCCTTAGTTCTTAAAATATTGGGGGCTACTGTTGTAGGAAGCTTCTCCTGCCTAGCCTTGTGCTAAATAGCTCAAAGCTGCACCTTGTGGTTTACTGAGTAACAGCACTGGTTAGTAGGATCTTGATCTCCAGCCTTACACTTAGTATTGATTTGTAGTAAACTATATTTCATTGTCTCACAGAGGGCATAAGGATAAAATATTTGTGGTGAAATGTAACCCCCATCACTTGGATAAGCTGGTCACCGTTGGAATGAAGCACATCAAATTTTGGCAGCAAACAGGTACTGTTAGTATTAAGTTTTCTGTAATTAGAATTATGAGTCCTACTTGTAACTTCCTTTATGACTCAGGGCAGGTTTGTTAGCTAATTACAGTTCGTAGTAGATAGCGGTCACCATCGCTTATATGTAATATTTGATATTTTAAAAAAATCTTGATATATTTGTTTTTTATAAATTATATATTTTTTCATGAATATTAATATTTTGAAAGTGTATCCAAAAATTTGAAAACATTTGGAAAGCTTATCTAACAATATAAAAAATTGAGGTCTTTGTTGGTATTGTTTAATCATGCTAAATATTAATAAATCACAATGTGATGCTAAAATCTTTTCCCATTACTTTAAGGTAAGATATGTTTTCCTTATGTTCTGTACCTTAATGGACATTCAAACATTAAACCTATCTGGTTTATGTATCCAGAAACTAATATTCAGCAGACTTGCATTAAGCTAAAGACATTGTAAATGTATGGTGAAAATAACCAGCAGATAACAGTTTTGGTCAAATTTTAGGAATATTTGATCATCCATAGAAGGCTATATTGATCATTTGTGTTCCTTATGGCAGGGGGTGGATTCACAGCAAAGCGAGGTAATTTCGGTAATGTTGGAAAACTGGAGACCATGATGTGTGTTTCGTACGGACGCGCAGAAGAATTGGCCTTCTCCGGAGCGGCAACAGGAGATATTTATGTCTGGAAGGATGTTATTTTGCTAAAAACTATCAAAGCTCATGATGGGCCTGTTTTTGCCATGTACGCATTGGATAAGGTGATCATTTTTTTTTTTTTATACATGATAAATTTCATTCTCACATAAATGTATTGCCAGGAGCTAGTCAATGCTCAAGTTCTATTTACAGAATAACGTGAAGCACAAAAGATCCTAAAAATAGACCTGTGACAATTTGAAAAGTTACTCATCAACCTACAACAGTCCATTATTTAGGGACTGTTAGTTTTAAGATTCAGCCGAGCAGACTTTTCAGGGACTAACTGCTTTTTGAAAGGAAATCTGTGCCTTTAGAATATGACAGGATCCTACTGCATTCTCCCTATTTTCCCAGTCACATACTACTTGCATAATATTTGGCTTTAACTCATGGTTGACATACTGCATACCACTCTACGTTTCTTGCTTTTTCTATCCTTCCTAAACAATGTGTAATCATTACAGCTAACTGCCCAATCATGTGTCTCATCCCACCATGTTTCTTTTATGCCTATTATGTCATATTGCTTAGTGTATGCAATTGCCTCTAGTTGCCCCATTGTGTTATTTGAGCCACTTGTACTGTATGTAAATTTTTATTACATACTTTCACTCTTCTGATTGTACCCCAGACTCCATCTACACCCCCCTTGACCTAAGCTAAATCCAATCTTGTTTCTGTTTTATCTTCAATTTTGAAGCATACTTAGCATTCCCAATTAATATCACCTGCATACTAATGCCAGGGCCTTTGTTTTAAACGTATTGTCCTTTGTCCTAATCATGCTATGTCTTTAATATAAATTACAATATGTTTTGGGACAGGGCTTTGTAACAGGTGGCAAAGATGGAGTGGTGGCACTTTGGGATGATATGTTTGAAAGGTGCCTTAAGACGTACGCCATCAAGAGAACAGCTCTTTCTCCAGGTTCAAAAGGTAATCCTTTACCATTGTTTTATTTAAGAGATTATTGTATTTTTAACATGATGTGAGAGAGGCCAAGTATAATATGTTAACATTCTTTAGTTGTGTGACTGTTGATAAGGATCATAGAAAGGTGGTAAAAATAGATATTGTTGATTAGGAAGAGCAGTTTTTAGTATTTAGTAGAATTGGAAGCTTAAAGGTTTACTCCAAGCACCATGGCCCCTTCGGTGATTTGAAGTGGTCATGGTGCCCGGAGTCTGTATGCGGCATTTCACAATGAAACGTTGCATGAACAGAGATCAACCCCTTAGTTTCTGGATGTGAGACTCCACCTCTGGCGTGTCATTTGCCAGCCCAGAACATGCTGGCCTTGCTAATGTCAGTTTAGTGCAAAATTGGCATCTGACGCAAACGCACAGCATTCTTGTGCCAACCAGCTAATGACAGCATGCCTCACCTTCTGTGCTGCTCCTCCTTCTGTGCTGTCCTCCCTTAAGTCTGTCCTACCTCCCCTAATGGGAGTTGTGTCAGCAGAGTAAAATTGAGTGAAGATGGAAGAGAAGTAAGTTTTAGCGTTTCTTTTATTTATTTATTTAAATTTAGTGAGGATTGCCACCAGAGAATGGGTTACTCTAACCAAAACCAGTATTTTATAAAAGCTCTGGCAATTTGTTGGAGTAATTCTTTAAGGGACAATACCTTGGCTGCTGAGAGGGGTCAGAAAGTCAATTTATATGGGAGAGAATATTAAACGTAAACTTAAATATGAAAACTGATGAGATTCAAAGGCTTCCAATATCAGAAGACACCAGGCCAAGCTTAGTCAGACTAAATGTATTTCCCTTCAGCATGGAAAGACTGCATAGTATGAGATGGTATTTTGCCAAGAGCTGCCATAGGTTTAGGAAATGTGAACTTACCATATTGTTGTAAATATTCTGTAGGTCTACTTTTAGAAGATAATCCTTCCATTCGTGCTATCACTTTGGGGCATGGGCACATTTTGGTGGGGACGAAAAATGGAGAGGTACTGGAAATAGACAAGAGTGGCCCAATCACACTCCTGGTGCAGGTAACAGTTTATTTTTTATATTGTGAATATTGTGACAAGAATATATGTATGTTTTAATGTGAGAAACCCTTTGTCTTATTCATATTACCAAAGTCATTTTGTTTTACCATGTTCCATGGATCATTTAGATGGCACTGTTGGAGTTTGATGCTTACAGTACTGATAGCCATGCATGGATCACTGTTTAGGTTTTACTCATTTACTAATTGTTCCTAATTGAAAACAAATAGGTAATTCCTGACAGATGACCTTTGACGACTGTTTTTAGAACCACTGACAAGCCATGCAAACTAAGCTTCTAGAAGTAGAGTATTTGATTTGTGCAGAGCATTGTGGGTACGGGCCTCAGAAAACATGTAACATCCAAATCCTGGAGCACTCTACATGAATTTCACAAAATATGCAAATATATGCATAGTATTGCGTCAATGTGCATAACCAGGGTTTAACCAAGTTCATAGCCTTTGGAACCTGGGCTCTTTAAATTGTCAGATGTTATAAGGTTACAGGTGCTTTTTGATACTTGGCATTTAATGAACTGATTTTATTGTCATTTTATTTTTTTTAATTTCTCTTTCTCTTGTCTGAGTGAGGCTGTTGCAATTTTCATGTTTTACCTGGATTCCCAAATATATTTATATATGAAACCAATATAGTGTGTGTGTTGTTTAGTTTAGTTTTTATTTTTGCAGGTTTTTGTTTTTTGCAGTTTTATTATAAAGTTTGCAATTTCTTTCCTGACATTTAAACCCCACAGTTTCATTGTGCACGATTATACATTGTTATGTTTTCAGAATGATGCATTATTACGGTTCTGGCTGATATCATTATTATCTTAGAAATTGAATTATCATCCATAGTTCCTGTTGGCATAGAAGCCCAGTTTGAAGGCAGAAGCCTTTGTAATGTAATTATATATAGGCTAAATGCATTACTGTGCACTCTGATTGGATCGATGGGAGCATGTCTTGACTAATCCATGATGCGAAGAATATTTGAGATGTAATTATAATCTACCACAAATCAGTAATAAGCCATTGGAATATGAAACAGAATTCATCAAGGCTGTAGTTATCAGTTTCTCTGGGGGTGCTGGAAGAGTAAAACCCAACATCCTCATAGATATCTCGTCCTAACACATCCAGCAATGGCCTAGGATTGCCTTCTTATTGGCTAATATGTGGCTCTTCACTTATTCTGGTCTGTGTTACCTACGTGGCTCATGGGAAATGTAGTCCATAATGACTGGAGAAACAAAAATGTGTCATCTCGGCCCTAGGGTCTCGATCAGAGCTGAAAATGATGTCCCCTACAATGTTATAGAGCAGGAGTAGGCAACCTTTTAGCAGCACTGTGCTGATGTAGGATTGTGATGTCCCGTAGCGTGCCGGTCCTATTTTCTTTAAATTGAGGTGTGTATGCTGCCGTATTCTGCTTGTGTTATTTATACTGTAATTGCTTTGTATTGTTGTATTTGTGCGTATATGAGCTATTATATTGTATATGTTCAGGAGTAGTTTGTGGTATCGTGTATGATACATATGAATGTGGGCTGTGTATGGGGGCTGCTTGTGGAATTGTGTGTGTGTGGATGGATATGTCACATTGTGTGTTTGGTAGTGTGTGTATGTGTGGGGGCTGTTTGGGGTATTGCATGTGAGAGGCTGCATGTGGGGTTGTATGTATGTATGTGGATTGTTGGTGGTGTTACGTTTGTGCAGACTGTGTGTGTGTTTGTGTGTGGGCTGTTTATATTATTTGTATGAGGGGAGGGTTATTCTGCAGCTCTGCGTATATCTAGCAGTGTGGGTGGCTTCCCTGGGTTCCAGTGGGGACCAGGCTGGTCCCCACAGGTCAAGGACCGGAGCTGCAACAGCAGCTGCAGGCTGCACTACTACTGTCTGGATTCCCATTCACAAGTGCTGGGAGGAAGTGATCTGAGATCACTTACTCTATGTGCTGCAATGCATAAATTGAGGATTGTCCTCAACCATCTTTTCGTATTAACAGATATCTGAAGTTTCACTGGAACTCCTGATAGGCCAGTGCCTGTTTGGCTCTAGCAGCCTTGAGTGCCGTGCAAAGACACCTTGAGTGCCGTGCATGGCACTAGTGCCGTAGGTTGCCTACCCCTGTTATAGAGGGTTATAGCATCATTTTGACCCATTCAATATGCTTCCCTTTAATTACATGTACAGGCTCTGCCATAGCTTTCTAAGAGAGCATTTGCAGGATATTAGCATCGTACGTTGTCCTGAATATTGTTGCCATGACTATCTTCATTCATGTAAAACTTAAATGAACCTACTTGCTGGGTTAAAGGAATCTGCCTGATGGCTTCTATGAAAGAACAACTGTCATCACATTTTCACTTCTCGTTTTTTCAAAGTTTATTATATTTAATGGAACATAATGATATATATGTACCGTATATTTTTAAAATTCTTTTTAAAATGTAATTTTTTTTATTTTTTTTGCTTTGACAGTCAGCATGAAATGTAACAACAATGATAAGACATAAACAGAACATTAATTTCTTTGTGTCTCAACATTACATCGAAGTATATAAAATTATGTATATCTCACATTTTGTTTGGCTGAGCAGCCATATTAGATCAGACTCTACTGTTATCTGTTCAACTGCTGATCAACCTGTTGTCAGGTAACAGTAGAGTCTGACCCCATATTTTCTTTTCTGCAAATAAGGGACACAAAGTGTGTTTTTTTTGGTTTTTATTATATTTTTGAAGTTTTTTCAATGCTTTACAGTACCATGATAATCCAATAAAATGGGTTTGTCTCCAGGCTTGTCATAATACTGTATGTGAGAATGAACCACAGAGAATGATAAGAAATCTTTTCTAAAACAGGGACATATGGAAGGAGAAGTCTGGGGTCTTGCTACACACCCTCTGCTGCCTTTATGTGCTACAGTGAGTGACGATAAAACGCTCCGGATCTGGGATCTCTCTTCCCATCACCGCATGTTGGCTGTACGCAAACTCAGAAAGGGTGAGTCTCTGGTGAGTGAGTACAATTCATGAGCACGTGAAATTGGTCTAAGCTGTAAATGAAAGACAAGGTACCATGTAGACGGAGAACATGGTCTCCCTGAATATGTCGTACGTGGAGGACGTCACTAATGCAGATTTGCTCAAGTTATCATGTTATCATGTTTGCTCAAGTTATCAAACTCATATTGGGACCCACCAATATTTAATTATAACACCCAACGTGTGATATCCATTGCAAACGTTTGTCCTTATTCTGAATACTATTGTGGATCTGTTTTTCCCATTTAATGTTTTTCTAAACAAGAATATGGAATTTTGGGTATAAACTTGGCTTATGGCTCCTGCTTGATAAGTCAACTGGTTTGATGTTTTCCAGGTGGACGATGCTGTGCCTTTTCTCCCGATGGGAAAGCCTTAGCAGTAGGCCTGAATGATGGTAGCTTTTTAGTGGTAAATGCTGACACTCTTGAGGATATGGTGTCTTTTCATCACCGCAAAGAAATGATCGCGGATATAAAATTTTCACCAGGTACTTTATATATCTGCATGGCATCACATTTCTCTTCTAACATGAGCCCACAGACTTACATCATCTTCTAAAAGCTATGTTCATGTTTATTTAAACGTTAACACCATCAAACTAGATATTTATAGGCACTTGGCTTTTGTAAGACGTATAGCAGCAGCTCACATGTTTCATTTTAGATTGGCGATGGTTTAGGGCAGTAGTACTTTAGTTTCGGGTTGAGGAGATGGATGTGTCTATCCCAATGCGTCAGATGAACTAGTGGGCAATTTTCAAGCCGTTCCAAGTAGGGAGAAGCCATCAAACCCTAGTAAATTAATTGGAATAGAAACGTCAATCACTGATGTACTGGTGGCTCTTTAGGTAAGACATTTTAGTTCTTCTTGCAGTAGGACTATATGAAAGACTGCAACATATAAATCAACAGGAGAAAAACACTAATGTGGCCCACTAGGTGTTGTTGGACTACATCACCCAGAATTCTCTTACAGACCGTGGCTACCAGAGAACTCTGGGTGATATAGTTCACACACCTGATGTAGACACCACTACTCAGATTTCATCAGTCAGCAATGATTATCATTTTATTGATCAATATAACAACAGACTCCATCGTTATAATGAAGTAAAAATACATGTGTTTTGTTTTTTTCTTTAATTCTTTGTAAACTCATTTAAATAAAAATCGATAGAGTACGTATAAGAAGAATTGGAAAGGAGGGAACGGTTGTTTTATTTTTCTAAAATAAGCCCAATAATGTTTTTAATTTTTTTTTGCAGATGCTGGAAAATACATGGCGGTGGCTTCCCATGATAACTTTGTAGACATTTATAATGTGTTAAGCAGCAAGCGTGTTGGGATTTGTAAAGGGGCATCAAGTTACATCACCCACATTGACTGGGACTCTAGAGGTGAGATGCTGATGTAGTTCACTATAAATAATGCACTAATTAGCAGTATGTTTTCTTTTCAAATTATTTTTATTGGACAATTTTAAAACATGTTACAAAACTATTAAAATAGCGGCATAAGGTTAAATGATCAAATGTTTACATAAATAAAATGAAAAGCAGAGTACATATTTTCTGGATAATCATGGATGAACTTTACAGATGTGTTTGGAATATTCTATCATGGTATTCTGATGACCCAGCTAGTTATTATACACAATCGCCTTGTCATATAAGACATATCTGTGTGTGTGCAATTGTCTCATATTTATCTTCACCAAACATTTATGTGAGCCCTGAAAATACAAATTTGCGTTAAGATTGGCCCATATTCCTAAATGTTTTCGTTTTGCTGTCAGTTTATCATAGAATAGAGGGCAGTTATCAGAATTGGGCATGTGACACAGAGAATAAAAAAAATAATTTGCTCATGATATGTAACACAACGAAGGGATGATACGTTAGAGGTGATGAGAAGAAGTGATACAAAGAACAGAAAAGCTTGAGCTTATTAGCAAAACAAAACAATGGATTGTTATTTTCTTCCTTAAAGGGAAACTGCTGCAAGTTAATTCCGGTGCCAGAGAACAGTTATTTTTTGAAGCTCCTAGAGGGAAAAGATACGTTATTAAACCAACAGAGGTATGGCTTCTCTTTCATTGTTACACAGTATATATAAATATAGCTCTACACACAGCTCGTCAGATGAGTGACCTCAGAAGTTGGTCAGATTTGTCTGCTTAGAAAGCCTGAGATAACACATTCTGCATGAATCCTATACAGAACAACTATGACCTATGCACCCAGCAACATTTATTTAATACTTTGTGATACTGTATATATTTATTGTAAAATAAAATGACACAGATGTGTGCTTGCGTTTTATTTAAATTGATACTAAAGTGCAGGTAGCGTACTTTTAAATAGTCTGTCTAGGACACTGATGCTGTCTTGATGTGAAACGAGTAGGAATTGACATGGGAACAATACATTGTAATATAGTAGACTAAAATATGTTAATATACACTGATCAGTGGCAACATTAAAACCAATGACAGGTGAAGTAAATAACATTGATTATATTGTTACAATGACACCTGTCAAGAGGTGGGATATATTAGACAGCACGTGAGCAGTCAGTTCTTGAATTTCCTGTGTTGGAATCAGAAAATGGACAAGCGAAAAGATGTGACTTGAGTGACTTTGACAAAAGCCAAATAGTGATGGCTAGACAACTGGGTCAGAGCATCTACAAACGGCAAGTCTTGTGGGCTGTTCCTGGTATGCAGTGGTTAGTACCTAACAAAAGTGGTACAAGGAAGAGCAACTGGTGAACTGGAGTCAGGGTCATGGGCACCAAAGGTTTATTGATGCACGTGGGGAGTGAAGGCTAGCCTGTCTGGTTACATATTTCTTTTGACACAACTTTGACCTTTAGTACCAAGCACATGTCATTGTTTATGTCTCTCTTAATCATTGTCCAATGTCCACAGATGGAGAGGATAGAGTGGCACTCATGGACCTGTGTTCTTGGCCCTACTTGCGAAGGAATCTGGCCTGCACATAGCGATGTGACTGATGTCAACGCTGCCTCTCTTACTAAAGACAGGAGAGCTCTGGCTACTGGAGATGATTTTGGATTTGTAAAACTGTTTTCCTATCCAGTAAAGGTAACATAAAATAATCAGCTATTGGATGCTCAGTGTGAGTCCATGTTAGTGTTACTAAAGAACAGTTTTTTAGAAATAATGTTTTTTTGCCTTAATGTCTATTTAAGTTCTGTTTTCTAAAAGGGAAAATTAAATATTGAACTTTCTAGGATTTGTGATACCTGTGACATTTTCTTTTGATCACATATTTGATCAGACTTTGCAGATTATGTTTTCTTAGTTGAGAATATGTTTTTAATGCAGGGCCGTGATGCGAAATTCAAGAAGTATGTTGGTCACAGTGCGCATGTGACCAATGTTCGATGGTTGTATGATGACTCCACTCTCCTCACCGTTGGTGGGGCAGACACGGCTTTGATGACCTGGACACGAGAGGCTTTCGGCAGTTTGGACAGTAAACCTGTAGACAGTGAAGAGTCAGACACAGATGCTGAAGAAGACGGAGGTAAGCAGACATTTCCACCACCATTTCCTTACTCCTCACCATTTTACTCTGCCTTTTTTTACACCTCACATGCACTCACTCTCCAGTTCCTGCCATGTTCATCTCAAAGATATAGCTCACATTTTTCCAGTGCAATAGACAACTTCACTAACTTATTTCCCATCTTGTTAACTGCAAATCATTGTTCACTGGTCTCATATATGCTTTTATCAACCTGTGAAAATCCATATCGAATGCTGCATGCAGTCTAGTCATCCCTACCTACCTCTTTCCTCTCATCTCCTTATCAGTTACACTGACTTATTGTATCCTCTAAAATGACATAGAAAATCCTGGTTCTCACGTACAAAGCTCACAACAAGTGTGCCACAAACTACACACTCAGCATGATTAGCAAGGGAGGCTTTTTTGTAGATACAGCACGGATGAATTAATACTAGTTCTAGTGGGAATCCTTTACACAGCATGGCATTGATTAATTCAGATCCTGACTCCATACATTCATGCCTTGAGATTAATTTACTTTAAACAGTGGGTAAATATGAAGGCAATGTTGACTGTAGCTATTTGCATATTGCCCGTGGCATTCTGGGAGAGTCAGACTTTGCCAGAGCTGTCATCTGTGTCTGGGAGATGGATGGAATGGTGGATACACGTTGGAGGGAAATGTAGTATAATTCAATACAAAATATGCTTTCTTTCACAGCTGTTTGTGAGTAGCCAATGATATATTAATGTATTTTACCTTTAGGTTATGACAGTGATGTTGCAAGAGAAAAGGCTATTGATTACACCACTAAAATCTACGCGGTGAGCATCAGAGAAATGGAAGGAACCAAGCCTCATCAGCAGCTGAAAGAAGCATCTGTGGAGGAAAGGTACGTCATGCAAACAGTTCTCCTCATTCTTTGTGGAGAGTTAGACACAATATGTGTAAGTTTTGTATAACAGCAGGTTTGTGACATGTCAGTACAGAGAACAGAGTTCGTCATGTCTTTTATCTAGTGTTCCTCTCAGACATCTTAATGTTTTAGTTTGTCAGTTATAATGTAACATATCCTCTAGCTGTGTCTATTAATCTATCTATTACATGTTATTCCAGAATTAATATCTACTGTATGTGCCTTAATTTTAAATGTATCCATTTTTAAAGTTGCTTTAATAATAATCGAACGACCCAGTAGGTGCCAAGAAAGCCATTTCGCAATTTGTGAGCTGAAAAAAAACACATTCCCGGAAGGCAAACATTATTATAGATATCATCAACGTACCTTCCTCTGCATTTACATTTATAATATTTACATGCACTTACTATATCCCTTAACGCAGCTGAGGGATAGAGATATGTAAATGAATTATGTGTGTGCTGTTTCTGAATAGAAATATATTCAACAAAGTTTCCCAGCACTATTTATATTGCACACATTTTACATCTCATGCAAACGTTCCATTATTGAAAATATAGATGTTAAATGCCCTTTAATAACACCTTCCTGTTTAATAATTGGTTGTGAAAGTAAAATGTTCTAATTTTAAACTGAGCTGTTTGAACAAAAAGCTGAAGAAGAGATGTACACTCCTTTCTTCTGTCTCTCTCTATATCTTGTCTTTTTCTCTCTTTTCCTGTCTTCTCCCCTCTCTTTTTCTGTCCTTTCTGTGGGCATTAGGTTCAGATACCAATGTAACCTGCCAAAATCAGGTGATAATTTTGCTGTTTGCCAGTATTTTGACCCCTGCTCATCTCTAATCTCTATGATCATGCAATTTCTGAAAAGGTAAGTATTGTGCATGGATTCACACGTTCGTGAATCGTATGCTTCCTTGCACGTGGCATCAGGAACGATGCAAAGCTTTGAATTCTAGAATGCAATATGACTGCCAGATGTTGCATTTCACCAATACATGCATAACCACCATTCGGAAGCTAACTGATGGCTGCTTCTCTATGCTGATTTTGTCTGGGCTTTTTTTCCTATATGACCCTTTAACACACATGTTCATCTTATAGAACAGGAAGTCACAAACTGACCCCCAGCTGCTCTGCATTATGAATGCCAGGATGCTTACTGTTTAGCCGTAGTGCACAGGTTTCCCTATTCCTGGTTAAGGTCCAGTCATGGAATATGTTTTGTGTCATTCAATAAATATGGAAACCTGTATCACAAACCTTGCTTTTTAACCCACTCACTACAATGATGTGCAAAACAAATGTTCGCTACAGTTTGTACTATTGTTACATATTTCCCCATTTACACTAAATCCTTTTGTATAGATTATAATTCCCCCAAGTAATTACTGAACCTTTTCACTCTGACATTGATACAATCTCCATAACATAAATTGGCCTTCATGAGTCACTTTGTCTTCATATATAGCTGCACTCCCTTCATATACACAGTATTCACATCCTATATACCTGTATTCCCTTCATATATACCTGTATTCTCTTCATATATAACAGTTTTCCCTTCATATATACTTGTATTCCCTTCCTATATAACTATATTCCATATATATATATATATATATAGCAGTATTCCCTTCATATATACCTGTATTCCCTATATATAGCTGTATCCCCTTCATATTTACAGTATTCCCTTCATATATACAGTATTCCCTTCACATATACCTGTATTACCTATATATATATATATAGCTGTATTCCCTTCATATATACCTGTATTCCCTATATATAGCTGTATCCCCTTCATATTTACAGTATTCCCTTCATTTATAACCATATTCCCTTCATATATAACAGTATTCCCTTCATTTATAACTGTATTACCTATATATACAGTATTCCCTTCATATATTCCCTTCATATATAACTGTATTCCCTTCATATATTCCCTTCCTATATAACAGTATTCCCTTCATATATTTCCTTCATATATACCTGTATTCCCTTCATATATACAGTATTCCCTATATATATACAGTATTCCCTTTGTATATAACTGTATTACCTTTATATACAGTATTCCCTTCATATATAACTGTATTCCCTTCATATATACTGTATTCCCTTCCTATATAACAGTATTCCCTTCATATATTTCCTTCCTATATAACTGTATTCCCTTCATATATACCTGTATTCCCTTCATATATACAGTATTCCCTATATATATACAGTATTCCCTTCATATATAACTGTATTCCCTTCCTATATTACTGTATTCCCTTCATATATACAGTATTCCCTTCATTTATAACCATATTCCCTTCATATATACAGTATTCCCTATATATATATATATAACAGTATTCCCTTCATTTATAACTGTATTCCCTTCATATATAACTGTATTCCCTTCCTATATAACTGTATTCCCTTCCTATATAACAGTATTCCCTTCATATATTTCCTTCCTATATAACTGTATTCCCTTCATATATACCTGTATTCCCTTCATATATACAGTATTCCCTATATATATACAGTATTCCCTTTGTATATAACTGTATTACCTATATATACAGTATTCCCTTCATATATAACTGTATTTCCTTCCTATATAACTGTATTCCCTTCATATATACCGTATTCCCTTCATATTTACAGTATTCCCTTCATATATAACTGTATTCCCTTCACATATACCTGTATTCCCTTTGTGTGTATATTTTTATATATATATCGTATTCCCTTCCTATATACCTGTGTTCCTTTTATATATACAGTATTCCCTTTATATATATACATATAGTATTCCCTTCCTATATATGTCCTTCATGTATACAGTATTTCCTAGTATGTAGTCACATTGCCCCATGGGTACTTCCTCACGTGTGGTCATATTCTTAGTGCAATACCTTTTTTATTCCTGATCAGATAGAGATGATAAAGACATGCGTACAGTAAACATTTATCACAATAAGTAATTTCTCTACAGGTCTTGAGCTACAGACCCAGGTTCTCCAGTCATGAGTAACATTTGAAATGATACATTAAGTAAAAGAGAGAACTGCCCTACAGAACCAAAAAGAATACACAGAAAGGGGAGAGGTGCCCAGGGCAAACACAGGGACTCTCATGCCGATCCGACTCGTTAAGATATTATAATTCATTTTTCCTACTACATTGCCTGCATTTTGTCCCCTGCCTCCACTGCCCACATAGTGCAGCTACATTGCCCCCTTGCCCACATATTAATGCCACATTGCCAAACATTGTTAATCTTACTTACAGCTCTGCTTCCTGAGTTCATCTTCACTGCTACCCCTGCCATGCACTGTGCCCAGGTTTACTTAAATCACAGTATGCAAATGTAAATCTCAATAAACAAAATTATTTCTCACTAGAGAGAATGTGTTGTAAGGGTGCCAGTCGTGTATACACAGTGTTGGAGTATGACTGTATACCGTTATATTCATGTATACCTAGTGTTGGAGTATGAATGTATACCGTTATATTTATGTATACAGAGTGTTGGAGTATGACTGTATACCGTTATATTCATGTATACCTAGTGTTGGAGTATGAATGTATACCGTTATATTCATGTATACCTAGTGTTGGAGTATGAATGTATACCGTTATATTTATGTATACAGAGTGTTGGAGTATGACTGTATACCGTTATATTCATGTATACCTAGTGTTGGAGTATGAATGTATACCGTTATATTCATGTATACCTAGTGTTGGAGTATGAATGTATACCGTTATATTTATGTATACACAGTGTTGGAGTATGAATGTATACCGTTATATTTATGTATACAGAGTGTTGGAGTATGACTGTATACCGTTATATTCATGTATACCTAGTGTTGGAGTATGAATGTATACCGTTATATTCATGTATACCTAGTGTTGGAGTATGAATGTATACCGTTATATTTATGTATACACAGTGTTGGAGTATGAATGTATACCATTATATTTATGTATACACAGTGTTGGAGTATGAATGTATACTGTTATATTTATGTATACACAGTGTTGGAGTGTGAATGTATATCGTTATATTTATGTATACACAGTGTTGGAGTGTGAATGTATACCGTTATATTTATGTATACACAGTGTTGGAGTATGAATGTATACCATTATATTATGTATACACAGTGTTGGAGTATGAATGTATACTGTTATATTTATGTATACACAGTGTTGGAGTGTGAATGTATATCGTTATATTTATGTATACACAGTGTTGGAGTATGAATGTATACCATTATATTTATGTATACACAGTGTTGGAGTATGAATGTATACCATTATATTTATGTATACACAGTGTTGGAGTATGAATGTATACCATTATATTTATGTATACAGAGTGTTGGAGTATGAATGTATACTGTTATATTTATGTATACACAGTGTTGGAGTATGAATGTATACCATTATATTTATGTATACACAGTGTTGGAGTATGAATGTATACTGTTATATTTATGTATACACAGTGTTGGAGTGTGAATGTATATCGTTATATTTATGTATACACAGTGTTGGAGTGTGAATGTATACCGTTATATTTATGTATACACAGTGTTGGAGTATGAATGTATACCATTATATTTATGTATACACAGTGTTGGAGTATGAATGTATACTGTTATATTTATGTATACACAGTGTTGGAGTGTGAATGTATATCGTTATATTTATGTATACACAGTGTTGGAGTATGAATGTATACCATTATATTTATGTATACACAGTGTTGGAGTATGAATGTATACCATTATATTTATGTATACACAGTGTTGGAGTATGAATGTATACCATTATATTTATGTATACAGAGTGTTGGAGTATGAATGTATACCGTTATATTTATGTATACAGAGTGTTGGAGTATGAATGTATACTGTTATATTTATGTATACACAGTGTTGGAGTGTGAATGTATACCGTTATATTTATTTATACACAGTGTTGGAGTATGAATGTATACCATTATATTTATGTATACACAGTGTTGGAGTGTGAATGTATACCGTTATATTTATGTATACAGAGTGTTGGAGTGTGAATGTATACCGTTATATTCATGTATACCTAGTGTTGGAGTATGAATGTATACCGTTATATTTATGTATACAGAGTGTTGGAGTATGACTGTATACCGTTATATTCATGTATACCTAGTGTTGGAGTATGAATGTATACTGTTATATTTATGTATAAACAGTGTTGGAATATGAATGTATACCGTTATATTTATGTATACACAGTGTTGGAGTATGACTGTATACCGTTATATTCATGTATACCTAGTGTTGGAGTATGAATGTATACCGTTATATTCATGTATACCTAGTGTTGGAGTATGAATGTATACCGTTATATTCATGTATACCTAGTGTTGGAGTATGAATGTATACCGTTATATTTATGTATACACAGTGTTGGAGTATGAATGTATACCATTATATTTATGTATACACAGTGTTGGAGTATGAATGTATACTGTTATATTTATGTATACACAGTGTTGGAGTATGAATGTATACTGTTATATTTATGTATACACAGTGTTGGAGTGTGAATGTATACCGTTATATTTATGTATACACAGTGTTGGAGTATGAATGTATACCATTATATTTTGTATACACATTTGGAGTATGAATGTCCATTATATTTGTACTATACAGGTGTTGGAGTATGAATGTATACGTTATATTCATGTATACCTAGTGTTTAGATATGAATGTATACCGTTATATTTATGTATACACAGTGTTGGGTATGAATGTATACCATTATATTTATGTATACACAGTGTTGGAGTATATGTATATTTATGTATACCTGAATGTATACGCATTTTATGTATGTATACAGGTGTTAGTATGAATGTACGTTATATTCATGTATACCTAATTTGGGTATGAATGTATACTGTTATATTTATGTATAAACAGTGTTGGAATATGGATGTATACGTTATATTTATGTATACAGTGTGTTGAATATGACTGTATACGTTATATTCATGTATACCTAGTGTTGGGTATGAGAGTATACCGTTATAATGTATACCTGGTGTTGATATGAATGTATACGTTATATTCATGTATACCTAGTGTTGGAGTATGAATGTATACCGTTATATTTATGTATACACAGTGTTGGAGTATGAATGTATACCATTATATTTATGTATACACAGTGTTGGAGTATGAATGTATACTGTTATATTTATGTATACACAGTGTTGGAGTATGAATGTATACTGTTATATTTATGTATACACAGTGTTGGAGTGTGAATGTATACCGTTATATTTATGTATACACAGTGTTGGAGTATGAATGTATACCATTATATTTATGTATACACAGTGTTGGAGTATGAATGTATACCATTATATTTATGTATACAGAGTGTTGGAGTATGAATGTATACCGTTATATTCATGTATACCTAGTGTTGGAGTATGAATGTATACCGTTATATTTATGTATACACAGTGTTGGAGTATGAATGTATACCATTATATTTATGTATACACAGTGTTGGAGTATGAATGTATACTGTTATATTTATGTATACACAGTGTTGGAGTGTGAATGTATACTGTTATATTTATGTATACACAGTGTTGGAGTGTGAATGTATACCATTATATTTATGTATACAGAGTGTTGGAGTATGAATGTATACTGTTATATTTATGTATACAGAGTGTTGGAGTATGAATGTATACTGTTATATTTATGTATACACAGTGTTGGAGTGTGAATGTATACCGTTATATTTATTTATACACAGTGTTGGAGTATGAATGTATACCGTTATATTTATGTATACACAGTGTTGGAGTGTGAATGTATACCGTTATATTTATGTATACACAGTGTTGGAGTATGAATGTATACCATTATATTTATGTATACACAGTGTTGGAGTGTGAATGTATACCGTTATATTTATGTATACAGAGTGTTGGAGTGTGAATGTATACCGTTATATTCATGTATACCTAGTGTTGGAGTATGAATGTATACCGTTATATTTATGTATACAGAGTGTTGGAGTATGACTGTATACCGTTATATTCATGTATACCTAGTGTTGGAGTATGAATGTATACTGTTATATTTATGTATAAACAGTGTTGGAATATGAATGTATACCGTTATATTTATGTATACACAGTGTTGGAGTATGACTGTATACCGTTATATTCATGTATACCTAGTGTTGGAGTATGAATGTATACCGTTATATTCATGTATACCTAGTGTTGGAGTATGAATGTATACCGTTATATTCATGTATACCTAGTGTTGGAGTATGAATGTATACCGTTATATTTATGTATACACAGTGTTGGAGTATGAATGTATACCATTATATTTATGTATACACAGTGTTGGAGTATGAATGTATACTGTTATATTTATGTATACACAGTGTTGGAGTATGAATGTATACTGTTATATTTATGTATACACAGTGTTGGAGTGTGAATGTATACCGTTATATTTATTTATACACAGTGTTGGAGTATGAATGTATACCATTATATTTATGTATACACAGTGTTGGAGTGTGAATGTATACCGTTATATTTATGTATACAGAGTGTTGGAGTGTGAATGTATACCGTTATATTCATGTATACCTAGTGTTGGAGTATGAATGTATACCGTTATATTTATGTATACACAGTGTTGGAGTATTGTATACCGTTATATTATGTATACAGTGTTGGAGTATGAATGTATACCATTATATTTATGTATACACAGTGTTGGAGTATGAATGTATATGAATGTATACACAGTGTTGGAGTATGAATGTATACGTTATATTTATGTATACACAGTGTTGGAGTGTGAATGTATACCGTTATATTTATGTATACAGTGTTGGAGTATTGTATACTGTATGAATGTATACCGTTATATTTATGTATATGAGTGTTGGAGTATGACCGTTATATTACCATGTATACCTAGTGTTGGAGTATGAATGTATACCGTTATATATCATGTATACCACAGTGTTGGAGTATGAATGTATACTGTTATATTTATGTATACACAGTGTTGGAGTATGAATGTATACTGTTATATTTATGTATACACAGTGTTGGAGTGTGAATGTATACCGTTATATTTATGTATACACAGTGTTGGAGTATGAATGTATACCATTATATTTATGTATACACAGTGTTGGAGTATGAATGTATACCATTATATTTATGTATACAGAGTGTTGGAGTATGAATGTATACCGTTATATTCATGTATACCTAGTGTTGGAGTATGAATGTATACCGTTATATTTATGTATACACAGTGTTGGAGTATGAATGTATACCATTATATTTATGTATACACAGTGTTGGAGTATGAATGTATACCATTATATTTATGTATACACAGTGTTGGAGTATGAATGTATACTGTTATATTTATGTATACACAGTGTTGGAGTGTGAATGTATACCATTATATTTATGTATACAGAGTGTTGGAGTATGAATGTATACTGTTATATTTATGTATACAGAGTGTTGGAGTATGAATGTATACTGTTATATTTATGTATACACAGTGTTGGAGTGTGAATGTATACCGTTATATTTATTTATACACAGTGTTGGAGTATGAATGTATACCATTATATTTATGTATACACAGTGTTGGAGTATGAATGTATACCGTTATATTTATGTATACACAGTGTTGGAGTATGAATGTATACCGTTATATTTATGTATACACAGTGTTGGAGTATGAATGTATACCGTTATATTTATGTATACACAGTGTTGGAATATGAATGTATACCGTTATATTTATGTATACACAGTGTTGGAGTATGAATGTATACCGTTGTATTCATGTATACCTAGTGTTGGAGTATGAATGTATACCATTATATTTATGTATACACAGTGTTGGAGTGTGAATGTATACCGTTATATTTATGTATACACAGTGTTGGAGTATAAATGTATACCATTATATTCATGTATACCTAGTGTTGGAGTATGAATGTATACCGTTATATTTATGTATACACAGTGTTGGAGTATGAATGTATACCGTTATATTTATGTATACACAGTGTTGGAGTATGAATGTATACCGTTATATTTATGTATACACAGTGTTGGAGTGTGAATGTATACCGTTATATTTATGTATACACAGTGTTGGAGTATGAATGTATACCGTTATTCCCACAACATTAAAGGACCACTATAGTGCCAGGAAAACATACTTGTTTTCCTGGCTCTATAGGGTCCTTGGGCCCCCCCCCCCGACCCTCAGGGTCTCCCTCCCGCCGGGCTCTAGGGGGGAGGAAGGGGTTAATCCCTAACCATTTTTCCAGCGCCGGGCTCCCTCGGCGCTGGGGACTCGCCTCCTCCTTTCCCGTCATCGGCTGAATGCACACGCATTCAGCCAGTCCATAGGAAAGCATTCTCAGTGCTTTCCTATGGACGCTGGCGTCTTCTCACTGTGAAAATCACAGTGAGAAGCGCGGAAGCGCCTCTAGCGGCTGTCAATGAGACAGCCACTAAAGGCTGGATTAACCCTAAAGTAAACATAGCAGTTTCTCTGAAACTGCTATGTTTACAGCAGAAAGGGTTAATCCTAGAGGGACCTGGCACCCAGACCACTTCATTGAGCTGAAGTGGTCTGGGTGCCTGTAGTGGTCCTTTAACCCCTATAAGCTTCTGGAATAAAAGGGAATCATGACGTCACACATGTCATGTATCCTTAAGGGGTTAGGTTTCTTACTTTTTGGTGAACTATGAAAAATAATAGTGTTTGGGAGATGTTTGTTAGGTATTCCAACCTGATAGCTCTTTCTCGGTCTGTATGAATGATAATAGGTGTGCTAGTCAGTGATACCTGTGTTTATTTCTTGGATCAAGCTGTTGATCTTGGAGTCTGTCAGGGTTCCAAATAGTTAGACAGTCAACAGCTATCTGCATTTCTTCACAACTGAGGCAGGCAGGCTGTCATAAAGACTGTGTGATATTACTTTTTACCTCCATGTATCCTTCAAGGCGATTGGGTGACAGTTGTGCTTTCAATCATCCCAGTAAATTAGGTGTTTTTACATCATTTCCTGAAGGTGAATATCACGTAAAGTTATCTCCGACACGTCCGAGTACTAGCACAGAGAGTATGCTCAGATGTTCCACTTGCATGTGACTGCTTCAGCTTCCGATCTAAGAGAACCCGCTCCCAAAGTGTATTTATATATCATGCTCCCTTTACCACTGAGTTATTATCTCCTTAGCACCTATTATCCTGTGATTTCATGCTCCCAAATCTGAAATATTCATTTTTGGTAACATCTTTATGTTCTGTTTATTGTAGGACTTAATTTGTTAGTTTCAGAATAGTATTATTTTTAACAAGTGATGAATCAATGTTCTAGACATTGCAATTAGACAAATACAGTAAAGAGGTTAGCTTGTTTTTTTTATTGTGAAGGATGTCATTTTCAGAAAAATGTATAGGATTGCTCATTACTTCCCTCTTACCTTTAGTTTGAGCAAGTTCCAATATTAATATTGTGAGACGTGACTTGACATCCCTTCTTTGTATAGCTATATCTGAATTACAAGTCAGCAGACACAAACATGCAGCAACGTAGGTGACAAGTTAAAACAAGACACAATTCTCTGTCAATTCAGTGCCTTTCTGAGTGCACCAAATGTCTGAATTACAAGTCAGCAGACACAAACATGCAGCAACGTAGGTGACAAGTTAAAACAAGACACAATTCTCTGTCAATTCAGTGCCTTTCTGAGTGCACCAAATGTTCCCGAGACTCATGTAGAGTACGTGACATGATATTGCACCCAGGAAATAGAAAATATCTTATTTTTTTTGGTAAATTAAGTTTTTTGAGAGTTGTATTGATGTAAACAGTGATAACCTACTGCAAAAAGGATAAATGACATTTTCCGTTTAAATGTGAACATGTGGTGCACGTCAAATTCTCGCTAAACAAAATCATTCTAGGTTTGTCTAGTATTATATAACAGTAGTAAAATTCAATGCGAGAACCTGCTGTAATACACTCATCCAGAACAAGAGAGTTGAACTGGTAAGAAGGGTGTGTCAAATACAGCACAATGCGAGTTACGTCAGCCCCATAATAGTCCCGGATCTCATGGAGATACTCTTCATCAATGCAAATAAATGACTTGATGAGTAAATTCCTCTACATCTATACATCATGTGTTTCCCTCCACAGGAAGTGATGTCACAGTTCATTAGCACTTCTATACCTGTTGACCACATACAAGTATCTTTTGGCATTGAGGGGGGTTTTGATAATACAGAAGCATTCTGTTGAAACTGTGGGATTACAGTGAGGCTGATTGGAAATAATGCAATGAATAATATTTAATTAAACGTGCAAATAAAATAATGATGCATCTTGGGAGCCAATATTGTCAATCACTGGTGTAGAAATGATGACACCTATTTCCACATGTTATATTCATGTGGATGAATTAAAAACAAGAAAGTAATCTTTGAAATGATTGGCTTTAATAAATAAATAAGACAGAGCATAATATGTGTTTTTTGATGGTACTAGATTTAAAGGTTGATTCAATACATGAAAGAAGGTGAATTCTAAATGCCAAGCAGAAGATGGCTTACAAAGCTGTAAAATGAAGACCCCTTAAAGTTGCATGCCGTAAATCCCTTCCTAATAGTTTAATATATAATGTAGTTAATAAATGTTTCATTCCTTAATGTCTTTTTATTTTAGCCTTACATTTGTGTTCATGAATTATTCAGCCGAGATGAATCAACCATCTCCTGTTTGGCCTACTTGTTTATAAATGGATAGTTGTGTCTTTCAGACTAGAAGGAAACGGTTAATATTTGTGTTGTGTTTTAATTTGCTTTCCTTTGGAGGCAGGGAATTGTCAAGTAAGTACTGAACAGTAACATTTTATATAACACCTAGCATTACATAATTACATGGACACATGCTGACATTACTGTATCAGGTTCCATATGTGTAAATATATAACCAATAAAAATATATTTTAATGGTGACATGCTTCCCTTTACTGCACATGCTATAATATAATAATAATATATTATTTGGTTTGACCTTTTTACTAGTTCCTAGATTCATCCCGAGGTCTATATGTTATTACTTAGCCCAACATAATGGTACGCATTTTATTGACCTTGGAAAGAATAAAAGGCCTAGTAGATACTGTGACACTGATCTACTGCAGTTAGAGCACTATCCACTAAGCTGTCTCATTGGCATATAATGTAAAGTATGATGTCCTAACAACCTGCACACCTAATTCTTCATTTGATCCATCTCTGGGTGCTTGCGTTAATGTATGCTAAGCCACCCCATATATCCATACATTAAATTATAGCGCTAACTCCCAAACAGTAGACTGTTGCCCAGTTTTCAGTTCTGTTAATTCTGTTAGCGTAGGGTAATATAGAAAGAGTTAAAGAGTCGCTAGGTTCCAGCCATGCCATGTAGCTGTTCCAAAGTGGAATTCTTTGTCATCATCTAGTGATGTCACCTAGTCAGTGGTTGGACCTTCCCACTATCCTTCTGTTGCAAAGTATTATGTATATATTTCTGGTACGTGGATATTGTTTGAACCCAAGTGCATATCATCACTGATTTTCTTTAAAATTGAGGCATTCTTATGTTATTGGAATAACCCGACATATTTCATTAACTCCACATATACGAGGGTTTAACCATCACTTATAAGTATAGGTTAATGTAGAATAAGGGTTCCATGACTGATGTATCCATCTGCATTGACTTGTATATCAGGCTATTAAGTGGACAGTACTAAAACCCAGTCATAGTATGACCCAGGATAATTACCATAACAGCTTCAGCTCATTTTAGAGGTTATGGTGCTCTGAGTCTATGAGCACTGCTACCATTTTTCTGTCAAATGGTGCTCTCCTCGGCCCCCTGAATAATTGTAAATTATGTTAGCTTTAGTTTACATATAATCTGAATTTTAGGCAAATACTTTGCTTAACTTCATTTACTGAATTCCTATAGCAGCAAATATTTTCATTAGTAACAAGGAACCAATAGAAAAACAGGAAGGTCTATATATGGGCATTCATATTGAAACTCCTCCTCTTTCTTTTTGAGGAAAAAGAACGGACAGTTCCTTAACAGATAGAACTGGAAAACACCAGAACTAGAACTGAAACCAAAGGGCGTAAATCACTTCCATAGATAATTGCAGAGAATGAAGAGATTATACTGAAAAAGAAGAGAATCTGTAGGAAGCAATGAATAAGTGATTATATTGGATGAAAAAACTGTCAATGTAACCAACAACTCTGAATGGGAGTCTGAGACGAGTCATGAAATATACCATAATCATAACAAATAAATAACCATGGCACGCAAACAAACCAAACATGAGAACACCAACATAAATAGAGAACTACCTACCTCAACCTGAGGAAAGGGAAAGGGGAGTGAAAAAATATGTGCCTCCTGTTATTACTAAAATTACGATTATAGGAACACTAAAGCTAGCATAATCTACAATTTAACCACATGACAGGAGGTTTCATATTTTGTGAGAAGGATGGAAATAAAAGGTTCAAAAAGTGTCCTCTCATGACTCATCCACCGATCAAAGAATGCCAGGGAGGGATGCACCTGAGGAAAAAGCCGACAAAACTGCTGCCCTCCGAACAGATTGGGCCCCAAAGGAAGGATCCATGCCAACCAAAGCCAACAAATCCATAAAAGTCACCGAAACCAATGTCCAAATTTGGTTTCCGAATCCGGTTTGTAGGGTTTAACGTGTGACACAAGACGTAGGCCAGAACCTTTTAAACTGAGAAACAGTCTGCTGTGATAGTGAATTGGTAAAGACTGGTAAGCGTCCTTTAGATCCAGTCTTGTAGCCCAGTCACCTGGACAAAGAAAGTCCCTTGAAATGTTGATATACGACAAAAGCATTCAGTTGACAGAGGTTGATGACTGGCCTGAAATCCCCTATTTTCTTCTTCACCAAGAAGATATTGCTGAAGAAGCCACCAGTGACTGGTGCCCGTTGTATTGCTCCCTTGGTATATAGGCTTTTGATCTCCATGCAGCTTGTGAGGACATTAAAGAAGGACTTGTCTTCTGAAATAGTTGAAGCTTGCTCTTGTGGACACCTCTGGGAAGAAAATGTGATGGCCAGAAATGGCTTGTGGCATGGCCTCTCTGCCGACTTGCCCTCCCAAAAACACCTCTCAGTGGTGGTGATTTAAAAACTCTCCTTAACCAGGTTTGTGCCTTGTTTAGTGATGTAAATAGTGACTGACATGTTTATTTAGTGCCTTAATGAAGGGTCGCGGAATGCAAATTGGCTTGCAGGCCCAATTCCTTGCGTCTGTGCGCAGTAGTGCAGCCTTGCTTCCCTCAGAAGAGAGCAATGTTAGCATTACCCAGTAGACAAAAACATCTTATTGCTTATTCTCTGATTGTATGTGCATCAAGTGATAGTCCATGGAAAAGGCGTCATCCGCCAGTTTTAGAAGCTCCAAGTGTCTAGGAGCTTGTCTTGCACGAGTTTCAAACCTCTTTCCAAGCCCTTGTGAGGAACATTATTATGGTGATATCAAACTCTTTATCCGCCAGTGCTGTTCGTGGACATTGCTCCCTGAAGCGGTTCTTTACCTTCCTATCTAACGGCTTATGAAGCCAGAAGTGCATAAATTAAACAAAATGAGTTGGTGGTACCCATTCAGCTGAACATGGGTGTCTCATTTTTCTTAGGTCAAATAGCGTATTTCCAAGTGTATCCACAAAAACACCCTCTTCTCTTGGTGGAGGTATGGGAGGAATCTTTAGCCTCTGAATGGGGCTCTCCCATGAACTATTCCTTAATGATCTTAAAGAAGTGGTTCTGGTGTCTATAGCCTGTCCCTGCAGGCTTTTCAGTGTTCAGAGAAAAGGTAGTGTTTACATTGGTGCCTACTAACACCTCTAGTGGCATTCACTCATATGGCCACTAGAGGTGCTTCATAGCTCAGTGCTACACAGTATGTGGCACTGGCAGTCAATGTGAGATGCTGAACGTTCCCCATAGAGATGCATTGCTTCAATGCATCTCTACAAGGAGATGCTGGTCGGCGCAGTGCTGTGTTTTGCCGCACATGCACAATAGCCTTCCAATTATTTCCTATAAGAAAGCATTGGATTGGCTGAGATCATCAAGATTGATGTGGAGTTTCCATATGCATGCCTATATATATAGAGCTTCCTATTTTTCTATTGGTTCCTTGTTTCTAAGTTAAATGTTTGCTGCTATAGGTGTTCGGTAAAGGAAATTAAACAAAATATGAAGCCTCCTGTCAATACAATTCAATTCCACATTATCCTTCTAAAGCCATCCCTTTGTAGAGCAGTGAACACTGGACTGACCAAAACTGAACCTATCAGTTCCATCCAAGGTTGGACTTATAATGCAGACGTGAATCATAAGCATTCTTCAAGGGTTGGGGTTATGGGTGATTGGAAGAGCATATTGTTTGCCTGCTCCAAAACATTTTGAACAAAAATAGGGAGATGGCATCTAGAGACGCATAGCATGAAGACCATGAAGACTACAATGTACAATAATTGGGCAAAGGGCCACTCCAGTTCATTCCATTGCCAAAACCTTGTCCTAATACATACCAGAGATACAGAATTAGCTTATGTCCTGTACTGTAATTACTGCACATATAAGCACATTGAGCATTGTAAAAATAACTTTGATTAGCAAACTGGGAAGGAATGTGAGATTTTCTTTGGTTCCCACACAGATGCGTGTATGGTGCACATTTTAACCCATGTTATAGGAAGTTAGCAGCTCAGTGCTTCCAATTTCTGTTTCTCCTTTAGGAATTTAGAACACTGAAAAAAGTATTATGTTTTAACTTCAGACATTCAGTTTTATATATTATTTATATAATTCTTATTATTAGTCACTTAGTCTAGTTTTTATTTAACTCTTTGCTAATTGTATGACTAGAAGAAATTATAGGAGAATTTGGCTATAAATTGTTAAAACTCTTTATGTGTCAGGGTAAGGCAAAAAGCATTTTGGGAAATAATAAAACATTTGTCAACCACCAAACTGGCTAAGAGCTTGACCAATGTTTAATTAACATTAATGCTGTGTCACTAGCTGGAGAACAAAGGGGGTGCAGGAAATCCCACCTCTGTTTTATCCGTTCTTACGTATAAAGAGATAAATTGGGGAAAAGCCTCGTAGCCACTCAGGACCCAAACACTCTAGGTTTAATGCAGTTTCTGATTCTTTCTTTCTTTCTGTGAAACTGCTTGTGTTCAGTAAAACAACCAGAGGAAAATTGGCTGTCGGTGATGTGGTAGAATGAATACACTCTGCACTCTGTTAGTGGTGAAATGTATTCATCACCGCCACAACAGGTGTTTTGACACTGGCGTTACAAAGACACTAGCAGTGCCGAAACATTGTCTGGTCCACCTGTTGTGGTTTGGAAGAATACATTTCACCACTGGCAAGCTGAGTGCACTGTATATGATTTCTCTTACATTTAATAAGTGTTGAGGGCTGGAGCCCTAACTACAGCACCGCAAAATAGTGAGTGCCTTTCCACAAATCATGTTTCTACCTGTAAGTGATGACAATTCTACAAGTCAGTCCTTAAATACTACCAGCCTAGGATTGTTTGTATTCTATAGAGAAATTGAATTACCTCCCCATGGTATCCAATGGGTAGATTTGTAAAACATGGAGCATTGGTGTCCTTCAAGGCCATTTGCAAACCATCATTCTATTACACAACTGGAGTTCTAGCAAAGTCTAAAGACTATGTATCTAGGTCTCATCCAAAAATATGTTTATCAAAGAAAAGGTACCTGGTAGAGAACAAATGCATTGTGTTATTTATGTATCTTGTGATCTCATTCACACATGTTTTGTCTTATATTTGTAAGCCAAGAGACTCTTCAAAAATTGATCCATAGAGGGTTTTTGTTCTATTGACCAAAGAGTTCTTAATAAGTAATGGGTCCAGACAGTTTATGTTCAGGTATTATTTTCCTTCGATCCCATTTCTCCCTAAAATAGTGATGGCGAACTTTTGTCATACCAGTTGTTATGGACTACTGCTCTTATAAATCTCAGCTAGCCATCTAGCTCCAAACAGCTGGCGTGCCAAAGGTTAGCCATACCTGCATATCTGGAGCAACAACGCACATGTATGGAAAACCGAATACACGTTGGGACCTATATACAAAAAGGAATTATACCCCTGGCTGTTATAGCGGAACTCAATTAAGTTCTAATTCTAGATTCTAAATATAGGTATAGTTGAGATTTTGCCCGTATATATCTGTATATATAAATACACCAGTATTGATTAGATTAGATGTATAGATTGTATTGTTGATATGAACTATTTTTACAAAATCGTAGATTTGTTATTAATTTGCAGCTGTACAATGTTCGGTAGTTTTTCTTTCTCTTCCTGAAAATCATTTAGTAATTCTGCTGCCGAAAATCAAATCATCACAATCTGTGCATTTTAGTAAATAAGTCCCATTGTCTATAGTGTTTTCCTTGCTCCACAGTTTGTTTTTTTCTTATTTTGCTAACTGACTACCATCAGCACTGTTATGATGTAGTATGGGTCCGTTAACCTGCAGTCGATGCTCTTATCCCAGGAACTGCTGGCATGCACTCATTTGGTTTGTACAGCAAATCAGAGATCATTAAGCCCTTTGCCTGTGCATGAAATGCATGGTCAGATTTTCTCAGCAAAATTTTACTAAGTTTTTCACTTGGCTTTATTGCTGCTTACAAGGGGATCAAGGTAATTTTAAATATTGTTGCAAGTGTTGTTACATAGATCTGTGACATCATCAATCACATATTAAATGCTCTTTTTTAGCTTGACGTTTACAATAGCTGTACACTGATTAATTATGATGAGTTTTGCTATGAATACTGGGGATAGCTGTAACTGGTGACTGGGGCTCCCTCTAAGCACTGTTTATTGAGCATCCTGGCACTGTGACCGTTATGAAAGGGATCAGTTGTTTTAAAGGGAACAAACAATCTCTGCAAACTGAAGGCCTGTTCTAAAAAGGGTATTTAGAGGGAGCCAGGAACACCAGAAAATGCTGATATATATGGACCTCTCTAATGTGCCCTTACCTTACCCAGCTTTTTGTTACCATACCCATTTGGAGGAAACCATTCCTATATTCCTCTCTAAACCAAACACCCCTCCACTGAAACCTTTCTAAGTTCTACTTACCTTTCCACTGTAGTATATATTATATTAGTCACCCCATGAAAAGAGATGCGAATCTGGGGGTAAATAAACCAGAATATCCACAGTTATGGCAAAGGTTTTCTAAGAAACTAGATTTGCAGCCAAATATGTATTAAGAAGATAGCTTGACGTAAAACTAAAATATTTTTGAATACTGAACTAGAGGATTTTTTGGCATACCATCCTGTGTGTTCTGTGAAAGGTTTATGGTTGGTTTCATGTATGTTATTTGCTAAGAGCATTTAGGATGAGATAATACATTTCTCTAAATATCTTATTCATTGGAAGAATATTACATTAGTAACAGGAAGAATATTCTTTCAAAGTAGTGAGAAATGTTTTATTTATTTGGAATAGATAGAAAATGTTCCAAAAATCACCAGCAATAATTTGTAAATGGGGTAATATTGTACATTTATATTATACAGGGTGAGTCAAATCTAAATAAAACTTATATAAACCTGTAAGATGCCTATTGTTAGATTTAAAGGATCACTATAGTGTCAGGAAAACAAACTCGTTTTCCTGACACTATACAACCCTTAGGTCCCCCCCCCACCACCCTCAGGGCCCCCCTCCCTTGGCCCTTCAGTTACTTACCTTAATCCAGCACCGGGCTCCCTGGGCACTGGTGACCTGTCCTCCCGCTCCGACATCGGCTCGCGAGTGGAGCGGAATGCGAATGCGCGGAAAGAGCCGCATGCTCATTCAAACAGTCCATAGGAAAGCATTTCTTAATGCTTTCCTATGGACGTTCTGCACGCTGAATGGGATTTTCGCATCCAGTGTTGCAGGAGCGCCTCTAGCGGCTATCAGGAAGACAGCCACTAGAGGCTGGCTTAACCCTGCAATGTAAACGTAGCAGTTTTTCTGAAACTGCTATGTTTACATCTGAAGGGTTAAAACCTGGGTGACCTGGCACCCAGACCACTTCATTGAACTGGAGTGATCTGGGTGACTATAGTATCCCTTTAATTTTATCAAGATTTAATAGACGAACAGATGTACCTAAATTATATGTTAGCTTCCCTCTCCTCCAGGCAAGCAGACCCAGTGTGTAGTTTTCAATTCATTTGATAGATTATTTCATTTGATTCTTTTGGTGAAATATGGTTTTACGTACACAGCAGTTGACCATGTTACTGTTGAAGCAATAAACTGAGGCTGTATTGGTGATAACAAAGTACTCCTTTGCAGAACTAATTAGAATAAGATAATAGATTTTCTACTCCCGCAGATATACGCAAAGTCTATGAAAACAGGTCTTAAAATGCTCCGTGTTTTAACAAAATATTTCAGGACTAGTCTACAATATCAATCATCTGTCTGTTTATCTATGTCTACCTACTTATCTCTCTACCTATCTATGTCTTTCTTTTTATCTACGCCTCCCCATCTTTCTGTGTCTATCTCTGAATAATAAATAGTTCATAATTCACAAAAACAGCTGTATCCCAATATTGCATATATCCTTAAGGTTTTGAATAAATCTTTATTTACCCCTTTAGGCCGTCGGTTAGCAGAGCTGCTCCTCAACCGGAAAAGCTGCAGAAAAATAACATCACAAAGAAGAAGAAAGTGGTTGAGGTGAGTGACTCTTCTTTGGACAACATCTTACACAGTTAAACAATTTGCCTTAGTTTGGGGGACAGTCCATTCAAAGGCATTTGTGAAACTTACATTTAAAATAGATCTGCATTTCAACACAAATCATTTTTTTTATTAAAGATTTTACTTTTGTATTAATAAAAGTTATGTTGTAATTATCTTTTTGTTAACTCATTTTCCAATACTCAGAAAACACTTGGACCAGTGCAGTGGAATTATCTATAGGGTTACTATTCTGTGATCTCGGCAGTTTTGCTCCTGTTCTACACATGATGATCAGACCTGTCCCCATTCTCTTGCAGGACCTCTCATTGGACCATGTGTTTGGGTACCGAGGATTTGATTGCCGTGACAACCTACATTACCTAAACGATGGAACTGATGTTGTTTTTCACACGGCTGCTGCGGGCATTGTTCAAAACCTTTCTACAGGTACTTTTTTGCAAGTATTCCTTCCTAGTTGTAAGATGATAAATCAGCTTTATTCTGAGAGTACCTTTGTACACCAAATGGTAATTAATTGAAATCCAAATTGCAAAATCTAGACTGTCCTGATTTAAAAAAAAAAATTTCCAACTTTGCAATTTTAGCTTACATTTTGCAATTTAGTTTTTAATTCACCACAATTCTGTGTTAGCTGAAAACCCCCAGTGTCAGTCAATTAACATATTACCAAATCAGTTTGTTTGTAGTATTATATAAATCCTAATTTATAAGGCTTCTTATTCTAAGTCCTTTTACGATTTCCATGCATTGTGCATGTTGGTTGCTCTATAAATTCTACAGTGTCACAAATATCAGTCGGTATTTATGTTTATTAATGTCCATACTTTATATTTGCTGGTTGGTTTGTCGTGATGGTGTATAGATTATGTATATTTACCTACATCCATTACACATAATTCATGGAGATTTTTGTGCTCTATTTAGGAAGTCAGAGTTTCTATTTGGAGCACACGGATGACATCCTTTGCCTGACTGTGAATCAGCATCCAAAGTATAAGAATGTTGTTGCAACTGGGCAAATTGGTAAGATAATCTGAATATCGTACAATGCACATAGCGCTCGCTGAGTAAGGTTTCTCATTGAGTGCTTCTACAGTCACTTTCAGTGCTATCTGATTTACACATGTAAAGCAGGGACTATCTACATGCACAGCACAGTAAGCCTACAAGACACATCTCATATGACAGACTGTTTGGATTTTAGTTTTTTGGTCGATTCCATTCAGTGTTATTGATTAACTGTTACAGGTGTTTTTGGGTTCATTTTTTTACCGTCAGATTTTTCTCTTAAGTATCTGTTCGCTTACAGTGAATTTTCATTAAATTCTGTCTGTCTCTGATTTTTTTTTCAGATAAAGTAAATAAAAAATCTTTATAATATTTATATAGTGCCAACAAAAAGAATAACTCGTTATTTTAGATTACTCCTACATTTACACAATTACTTTGAAATTTATAGATAAATATTTATAAAAATATAGAAAAATTGGCAATTTCTTCCAGTTCGGGACTACATTAGAAATGTCCCTTTCAGGAGGAGCCTACCTGTTTAGAATGACCTTCTGTGGATTACAATTAGAATGGCCCACCTGGAATTACATTTTAAATGAGCCACCCATGATTACATTTAGAATGATCTTCCTGGGATTACATTTAGAATGAACCATGTGAGATTACGTTTAGAATGACCCACCTGGGGCTACATTTAGAATGAATCCATCTGGGATTGCTTTCATAATGATCCACCTGGGTTTTCATTTAGAATGAACGACCTGGGATTACATTTAGAATGAACCATCTAGGATTACATTTAGAATGATCTTCCTGGGATTACATTTAGAATGAACCATCTGAGATTACGTTTAGAATGACCCACCTGGGGCTACATTAAGAATGAACCATCTGGGATTGCTTTCATAATGATCCACCTGGGTTTCCATTTAGAATGAATGACCTGGGATTACGTTTAGAATGAGCCACCTGGGATTATGTTTAGAATGACCCACCGGGGATTACGTTTAGAGTGACCCACCTGGGGCTACATTTAGAATGAACCATCTGGGATTGGGTTAGGTATATCTCATTTAGAATTACGTTGGGACTGCACATTATTACAAAGCTCCATACATATTCCTATTGTTTAAAACCTAGCTGGTTTTGACATAAAACATAACATTTCAAGAAATATATAAAACACATTGGGCTTAATGTTGCAGCAAAATGAATGGTCACAACTTATCTGTACTTTTTTCTTACCGATTACTTTAAGGAAGTGAGCGTAATTGTGTATTATATTATTATTCTATTTATAAAGAGCAAATATATTTCCGACAGACAGTTCGCACACTGCTGTGGGATATATTTATTAGTTATATTTTCTTTATGTAGAGTACCAGCGTTTTCTGCAGAGATGTTACCAGGGTGCCCATTAAATATGTACATTGATCCAGGGGTGTCTGAATGGTCGATCCAAAGATCTTTACCACTGCAACTTCTGTTCTAAAAGCTGGCAAAGCATCATGGGAGTTGTACATTCAACAACATCTGCAGCTCTACATTTGGGCACCCCTGCATACAGTTAATGCAAAAGGAATCTGTGACTTTTCTTAAAAGGGATTTAAGTCTGGTATGATGTAGGAATCGTAGATTAAGATGGAATTCCAATACTTAATGTTTGGAACAGAAAGGAAAGAGATAAGCAGGTCTTTACCGCAGGGTAACGGTGAAATCAGATTGGATAAAGGGCTGTAGCCAGGAATGAGAGGATTTAACGGTTGATGAGGAGAGCTGTATATCGAACGAGGAAGGAAGGGGCCAGGAGCACATTTTTGCTGATGAGGTTCCAAGTGTAGCGAGTGCATTGTTATCATCGTAAGTATGGTGGGGTATTAGCATGAAAGTGGCCATGGAGGCTATAGAAACATCAGTGTAGGCACCTGCAGAGGGGACGGAAGCTGGATGTTTATGGGTTGAGATGGATGAGACTGGGAGACACAGAATGGATAATGCATGTAGGAACAGTGATTATGGAGGAACTGCTGTAATCAATGCAGGTTATCAGTGAGTGAATTGGTGTTTAGACTAAGCCAAGATTTAGTGAGTGATTTATTGTTTGGATGGGGTAAAGGGGGGGACAGAATCTAATGTAATCCATAGACAATGATTTCAGGGTCTGGGAATAAATGTGAAGCTGCTAACAGTGATATAAACAGCGGCTGTCAGAAAGGAAGCAAAGCACCGTCCTGTGGACTGGTGATACAAGTTACTGTACAGGTTAAAGGTTAAGACAGGATTGTACTATTAATATGGTGATACATCCTGAAATATTCTATATGCCTAGAAATTACAGGTAGATAGCACAGGCACTGACTGTATGTCAGGACGGGATCCAGTTAAGAAGACTATATCATTGGGTGATGGCTAACCTTGGCATCCCAGTTGTTTGTGAACTACTTATCCCATGATGCTTTGCCAGCCTACAAACTGCCAAGGTGAGCTATCACTGCATGAAAGTATTGATTAGCTAGCTATCCCTGTAAGCAAATTGTGCTAGGCATGGTACAGACATGGTGGCACTCAAACTGTAAACGTGCACACTCAATAAATACTGAGAAACGATTATTACGTGGGGTTTAAAGGATCATTAATCAGTATAAATAGTTGAAGTTCCCTTGCTTTTTTGTAATTTTACTAGTGAGCCATCATCACTTTCTCTATTGGCAGCTTTATTAAGCCCTGTGTCATTATATACTAATCAGCAGCTTTTCTTTTCTTTTATTTTTTCTAATCATGTCCATACTTTTTATTTGTGTGCTTGGCCTCAGCATTAGAATTATTACTTATTTTAGTTGTTGTTTTGCCCTGATACTTCCTCATTTGCCATTGCTCTCACACTGCAGGGGAAGTTGCAGAGTACTCAGGTAAGACTCACTCCGAACCTCCATCTGTGTCACTAAAGGTCTCATCCAGTCCACCCGTCACTGAGTGCAGATACCCGTCAGCCATGTCCCTGTCTGCATCCATACCCCATGTTTAATACATCACCTAGACGTAGCACCATAGCCTACGGTATATCCATCTACAAGCTTCTAGTTCAGCTCTCCGTATTAAAATGTCAACATGTATTTATTAGTATGTATTGTGTTTTATCAAGAATGTGTTATGTGTCGCTGTTTGCGTAGTCACACACACGGATTGCTTTGTTTCTCTTCTTAATTATGTTTGTGCGGTTTGTTCTATTTAGGGGCCACACCTTCCATTCACATATGGGACGCCATGAGTAAACAGACCCTGTCTATTCTGAGATGCTTCCACGCCAAAGGGATCGGTTACGTTAATTTTAGCGCCACTGGGAAACTTCTCTTATCGGTTGGAGTTGATCCAGAACACACTATAACAGTGTGGAGGTGGCAGGAAGGTAATTAATAACTAAGAAATTGTAAAGAATAATAAAATAAATATGAGAATGAATTGAAAGTATTAGATCTGCAAAGGAGGATGTTTAAAAGGGAAAATAAGGAAATAAAAATATGATTTAAAATGAAAGGAACTGAAAATACTGAAACATAAATGTATCAGGGTGATTCATCTGTTTGGAATTGAAAGAGAATTTAACGTTTTAGGATAAGGTAGATGAAGAGCAAACATTGTCCAAGTGAGCTTCGTTTTCTTTTCTGCTATTTTGATCTCAAACTTGAATTCGCTTTGAATTTCACACAATTCTCACTTAAAAAATGAGCGCTAATCTGCAATACGATTGAAGAAGGTGTCCGTACCTGAGTCCCCGTTGGGCTCAAATGCTCCCTAGTGGTCCAGTGATGCGCTTCCAGCTTCTGTAGAGGCTGGGGCAGTCGCCTTTGATTGGCTGAGAACATGACTGACATTTGTGCAAAAATAGTTGGCTTAATGACAGTTCAGTGTCGCTGCTTGAGGTGAAGTTACCCCTCCGGCAGTTAAGGTGTTAATCTCGGTGTTTGCTGCGTTTCAAAATGAAAAGCTGAACATACAGATTCCAGGAACCATGACCACTTCAAATCACAGAAGTGATCGTAGTGCTTGGAGTAACCCTTTTAAGAGTACAAAGGTTCTGTCTTTAACAAGCGCGGCTGAATGGTTAAAAAAAAGACTAGCAAAACTTTTTTAACATTTCCTTCCTTTAATTGAAGCAAAGATTGAAAATAAAATGCTCTTAGTTTGGAATATAAAAGCATGTATATTTTAAACTGCGTGTCATTTGAATGAGTGCTTGACAGCCTTCATACTCCAATATCAATTATGGCGAGAACTTATAGAACATAATGTAGTTACCATATAATGCGCTTTAAGGTACTGAAAAGGGAACATGCTACCATAATGCTCAGTGTGCCTGGTGTCAGTATTCTGCAAACACACAGCACTAACAGATACTTGGACCCGCGCCAATATAGAACAGGTCCAGGATTTAATAATTAAATCAGATTTAGCCTCCTGTAATATTGCTGATTTCCTTTACATTTCTCATAACAGGTGCCAAGCTTGCCAGTAAAGGAGGCCACGTGGAGAGGATATTCGTGGCAGAGTTCCGTCCAGATTCAGACACGCAGTTTGTATCTGTAGGAGTTAAGCACATCAAGTTCTGGACAGTAGCCGGGAGCGCCTTACTTTATAAAAAGGGAATTGTTGGATCTGTGGACAATGCCAAAATGCAAACCATGCTTTCTATTGCCTTTGGTGCTGTAAGTGCTGCAGATACCCCTACATAACATCTTATGATGCGTAGCCAGTCTCTGCCAAATTAACCATCTCATGAAGGTTACATCAGTCCTGGCGATTACGCTCGAAAAAGTCACATTGTTACATTTGTTGTAAGACAAAATTGTGACAAAACTCTCACCTAATTTAAGTAAATTCTCTATATTGCGGTACAACATCCACATATAAAAGTATATTTTAAAAAGGGAAGTTATGTTAATTTGCACAACATTCTGGGATTTTTGTCACAGCACAGTATTTCTATGTGTGTACACGAGACTTAAAAAAAATAAAAAGCTAAAGTATTCTGTAACTATAACTCTGTTACATAGTTTGTAGAAAATATAGATATAAAATAATGGAAGTATATGCAGGTAAATAAATGTGAGACAATCCTTGCTCTGGGATTGGGTACACTTTTTTTCATCCCATAATATGTATATATATATATTTACTAATTGCAGAATAGCCTCACTTTCACCGGTGCCATAAACGGGGACGTATATGTCTGGAAAGAGCACTTTCTAATCCGACTGGTGGCAAAAGCTCACACAGGCCCTGTGTTTACCATGTACACAACTCTTCGCGATGGTCTCATCGTAACTGGAGGGAAAGAGAGACCGTAAGGAAACATCACTTACTATTCTTTTATTGTAAATTCTACTGTTGCAGTGTTAGTTATATGGTTCTTACCTTAAATGTTTAAATAAAAAATTTTTTTTTTCTTTAAAATCATTTATGCTGCCTCAGGGCTATTACTCAAAGTACGAGCTTATCTACTACATAGACACAAATTGTTCTCAATGCTCTGCCGATTTCCTACAATCACTGTAAATAGAAATGGTTTCATGTAACCATTTATAAGGATGAAACCTTCTGCATCCTTGATCAGATGTAGAGAGAACGGTTTATAAGTATGTTGATCTCATATCACACGCAGGTCGATTCCTATATGATGATTTTTATATTGCAGAACTAAAGAGGGTGGTGCAGTGAAATTATGGGACCAGGAGATGAAACGGTGCAGAGCATTTCAGCTTGAAACAGGCCAGACACTGGATTGTGTGCGCTCGGTCTGCAGGGGGAAGGTAAGCCTCAAGGGAGGGGATATACAAAAAAGGTTAGATAACAGGACAGTGTGCCAAATTCTAGAAGTTGAACAATCACGGTACAAACTGAATGGGTCAAGAGGGACACAGATATGGTTTCCAAGATTGTTCCTCATTGTGTCGAATTGTTCCCTGTTTTGGTGTATATATAAATATATATATAAACACATAAGGTTGTATTTATTTTTTATTATTTTTTTTATGTAATTATTTATTTTAATTGTGCATATGTGTTCAACAACAAATAACACAAAAGTATGAGAATGCACTCAGCTTCATTAAATGCATGTAGTAAAATGCTGAAATATTGTAATGATGGGATCATTACAACATCATCGGTGGCTCATTAGCAGCTGTTAAATATATAGAATATGAGATTGTAATTTTCTTAGATCTGCTGATTATTTTAAATAATGATTTATTCTTTAACAGGGCAAAGTTTTAGTGGGAACCAAAAATGGTGAAATTATTGAGGTGGGAGAAAAAAACGCTGCTTCTAATATCATTATGAATGGTCACTTAGAAGGTGAAATCTGGGGATTAGCAACTCATCCCTCCAAAGACATCTTCCTTACTGCAAGCAATGATGGGACAGCACGAATATGGGACCTCAATGATAAGGTGAATTTGACACATGGGACATGTATTATATTACGTGCCCTAATCTCAGGGCAGTGTCATGGTATACATGGCATGGTCTGCCTGAGATTTGTATGAAGTAAACGTAGCCTTCTCCTGTTAGTTAAATGTATGTCAGGGGAGAAACTGAGGATATAAAAGCAGGATAAATCTCTTACCCCAGTTGCTCTCCCCCCAAAAATGTTTTAATATAATATGTTTGATACTGTTCCACACAATAGGTTTAAATTGGTCTAGATGGAAATTCTTGTTCTTGTGTAGAGCACAGAGAGTTGTCATTAATGATACATTTTCAGGCTGGACAAAAGTGGTAAGTGGTGTCCCTCAGTTCTGTTTAGCATATTTACAAAATAAATATAAAAATAGTCCTTGAAAATCATGTTTCAGTATTTGCAGATGACTCAAAACTCTGTAAAGTTATACAATGTGAGCAGGAAATTGATTTGCTGCAGAGGGATTTAGATAGACTCGGGGACTGGAGACTCAAATGGCAGATGAAATGTAATGAAGAACAATGTAAAGTTCTGCACCTCTGGGTAAAGAATCTACAAGCAACTTGTACCCTAACTGGTAATGAATTAAGGATAATCACACACGAGTAGGATTTGGGAATTGTTATAGACAACAAATTAGGCAGCAATATGCAATGTCAATCTGCAGTGGCTAAGACCAGTAAGGTTTTGTCATGTATAAATAGGGGGCATTAATTAAGAATATAATTTAGCATCTTTATAAATCACTGGTAAGACCACACCTTATATATGAAATAAAAACAGGTGAGTAAGCGCTAAATAACACAAGTGGGCAGCAACCCTAAAAAAGGGAATCCCTCAAAAACCCTTTAGGATAAAACACAAAAAATACAGAAAAAGGGCTGCGCTTAAATAATAAATATGTAAAAGTCCAGATGAAATAAATAAATAAATAAATAAATAAAGCAGAAGAGGTCTTATCTTGCAATGTCCGTAGTGCTTAGTCAGAGGTAATACTCTTGCTTTCTGTCTTGCTTTCTGTCTTGCTTTCTGTCTTTCTTGTGGATCGTCTCTTATGTAAGATATAAAAACAAATACAAAACCACAATGGTGCAGTATATCTATATGAGTAAGGAATAAAATATAAAGGCTTGATTGCAAACTCACATATCCAAGAGCTAGAACCTGCTCTGGTATAGAAGGCGTACAGCGGTTTAGATCCCCGCTTATGGGATATAGGATGGTTATCCTCCACGTGTTTCCTCCTTCCGTGGTTTAAAAGATGCTCAAATAAAAAGAGACAGCCAATAGTGTTCTCTGCATAAAATTAAACTCCAATATAAAATAAAATAAAAAATGGATACTCACAAGACAGGAGCAGGTCAACTGCTCCTGGTATTTCGCACTGGTGGAATAATCCCCACCTAGGATTGCTTGGAGTCCAGCGAATAATGCCAGGTAATAATAATAATTTTATGTGTATTTAAAGATAAGTAGTACAATAAAAGATTATAAAATATACTTTAATTGTAACATTACACAATATAAAAATATATTTTATATTGTGTAATGTTACAATTAAAGTATATTTTATAATCTTTTATTGTACTACTTATCTTTAAATACACATAAGATTATAAAATATACTTTAATTGTAACATTACACAATATAAAAATATATTTTATATTGTGTAATGTTACAATTAAAGTATATTTTATAATCTTTTATTGTACTACTTATCTTTAAATACACATAAAATTATTATTATTACCTGGCATTATTCGCTGGACTCCAAGCAATCCTAGGTGGGGATTATTCCACCAGTGCGAAATACCAGGAGCAGTTGACATGCTCCTGTCTTGTGAGTATCCATTTTTTATTTTATTTTATATTGGAGTTTAATTTTACGCAGAGAACACTATTGGCTGTCTTTTTTATTTGAGCATCTTTTAAACCACGGAAGGAGGAAACACGTGGAGGATAACCATCCTATATCCCATAAGCGGGGATCTAAACTGCTGTACGCCTTCTATACCAGAGCAGGTCCTAGCTCTTGGATATGTGAGTTTGCAATCAAGCCTTTATATTTTATTCCTTACTCATATAGATATACTGCACCATTAAATATACTTTAATTGTAACATTACACAATATAAAAATATATTTTATATTGTGTAATGTTACAATTAAAGTATATTTTATAATCTTTTATTGTACTACTTATCTTTAAATACACATAAAATTATTATTATTACCTGGCATTATTCGCTGGACTCCAAGCAATCCTAGGTGGGGATTATTCCACCAGTGCGAAATACCAGGAGCAGTTGACCTGCTCCTGTCTTGTGAGTATCCATTTTTTATTTTATTTTATATTGGAGTTTAATTTTATGCAGAGAACACTATTGGCTGTCTCTTTTTATTTGAGCATCTTTTAAACCACGGAAGGAGGAAACACGTGGAGGATAACCATCCTATATCCCATAAGCGGGGATCTAAACCGCTGTACGCCTTCTATACCAGAGCAGGTTCTAGCTCTTGGATATGTGAGTTTGCAATCAAGCCTTTATATTTTATTCCTTACTCATATAGATATACTGCACCATTGTGGTTTTGTATTTGTTTTTATATCTTACATAAGAGACGATCCACAAGAAAGACAGAAAGCAAGACAGAAAGCAAGAGTATTACCTCTGACTAAGCACTACGGACATTGCAAGATAAGACCTCTTCTGCTTTATTTATTTATTTATTTATTTCATCTGGACTTTTACATATTTATTATTTAAGCGCAGCCCTTTTTCTGTATTTTTTGTGTTTCACACCTTATATATGCTGTGCAATTTTGGGCACCCTTTCTAAACAGGGATATTATGGCACTAGAAAAAGTTCAGAGGCGGACTACAAATTGTATTAAAGGAATGGAACATTTCAGTTATGAAGAAAGGTTAACAAATTTAAACCTCATTTAGTTTTAAAAAAAACAAAAAACGGCACCTCAGAGGGGATATGATAACATTATACTAATATATCCCGGGCCAATACAAACCATTGTCTGTAAATCTATTCACAAACAGGACTTTACATAGGACACAAGGTCACGTGTTTAGACTGGAAGAAAGGAGATTTAATCAAAGTCAAAAGAAAAGTTATTTTACAGTAAAAACAATAATGATGTGAAATTATCTGCCTGAATAAGTGGCCTTATCAGAGTCCCTACAGATGTTTAGACAGTAACTAGATGCATACTTACAAAAACATAATATTCAAGGATATTTTAAATTGTGGGGTAATAGCTTCTTGATCCAAGGATAAATCTGGCTGCCATTCTGGGGTCAAGAAGGAATTGTTTCCTAGTTTGTTGCAAAATTGGAAGCGCTTCAAACTGTTTTTTTGTTTTGTTTTTTTGCCTTCTTTTGGGTTTACAGCAAAAAACAGATGTGAGAAGGGCCCAACTTGATAGACACATGTCGATTTTCAGCCTACGTAACTATGTAACAATAATCTTATTCAAGTTTTGAAAGGAAAAATATATTTTTTTTAACTGAAATATATGTAAAAAATTTGAGAAACTCATCCCTACCTTTAGTATATGACAGGATCTGTATTTAGAAATGTTATTCTTGCCATTCTATTAAGTGTTATTTCGATTTGTTATACTCTGTAGAAGCTGCTGAACACAGTGAGTTTAGGCTTTGCTGCGTGCTGTGCATCGTACAGTTCCAACGGGGAGATGGTCACCATTGGAATGAGGAATGGAGAGTTTGTGATCCTACTTGTAAACTCTGTGAAAGTATGGGGCAAAAAGCGAGACCGCAAGGGAGCCATTCTGGACATCAGGTATTATATGACATTTCTTGTTTTATTTAGACTTTTTCCTCTTGATGCTTCAAATACAATTCTTTAGGCATTTTATATAAAAATTCCCAGTAACTATAATAAGGTGTTGGCATAGTAGCAGGCATAAATAAGCAATAATAAGGAGAAAACAGAATGATTCATGGATTAAATGAGATTAGAATGATTTATTTATATCATAGTGCTGTATAGTGTGACTACTCAATGACTGTAACGGACCCTTTTGCCCAAAAGAGGTTAAAAACCGTTTAGGCGATATTCCCCTTTTTCAGCTGCACCGACAGCTACTGCAAGCACCAATCTCCTGAACTGCAAACCCACAAATTCACCAACTCCCGAACTGCAACCAAGGGAATACTCTAAACTCCCGAACTGCATACCAAGGGAATACTCGAAACTCCCGAACTGGAGACACACGAATAGCTGCTAGCAGACGAACAGGAAAAGCCCCCAAGCGGCTTACACTCCTGGCAATCAGTCTCTAACAGCATGCAGTAAATCCTCCCCCAATAATGAGACCACACTTCACTTTGAGGGTTAAGCAGGAACTGATTTACTGGGGCTAACTGCCCGGCTTTTATGCAGGTCTCCCACCTGGTGGACACTCCCCTAGGGGACCAAATGGGAGACTGGGACACAAAGGGTAAAAGGACCAATCACAGACTTACACATTTCAACCATCCCACAATGCATCACAATCCCTCCTCTCTGCCCTGGAGATAATTGGGAAGTAATTCAGTTATCTCCAAAGACAGAGGCAAAACTCCATTAACCACATGGCAGAAAACAAACAGTAAAAGACATAAAATTACCTACAGTTACATTCAGTACATAAAACATATACGTTCTACATATCCCCAGATAGCTCAGGTCCGAGCGCACATTATTAAGCGAATGGCGCTCAGACCACACGAATACAGTTTAATCGCCATGGAGCCAAAGTCTTTACACAGTCAGTTTCATGCGAATGGGCTCCATGGGATTCCTATCTGGGGCACAACACACTCAAACAAAACTAACGCAAAACTGTGTCCAATTTCAGTTCCATGAATTAAGCGTCGAACACCTCTGTGCATTCGCATGTTTAAAATGGCCGCGATCTCGTGTTCGTGATATGAATGGCGGCCACCCAGCATTCATCAATTAAGCTGCGGTTAACCGCAGCTTCAGGGAGGTTAATTGCCGGCACACTCCAGCTCCCAGGTGGTCTATTCATTCGTGCGGTTGTTTGGTAGATTGAATCTACCGAACACCCGGCAGAAAAGCACGAATAAGTCTTTTCTGCAGGGAAAAAATATGTCTTTTAACATGGGGCCATAGTCCAAAGGCAGCAGGCGAGCAACCAGGCTTCTCCAGTGTATAGTGGCGAGGTTGGTTTCGCCACAATGACTTTTTGTGTATTCCTCATTGTATTAATGAATTTAATTGCATTTTATATCTTTAACTTGTATCTTGTTCCTAGTCAGAACATATATTCATATTTATATGTAAACACAAAAACACGTGGTCATTTGGACAAAGTTATATATAATGTGATCTGTTTCATTCCCCAGGATCAGTCCCGATAACAAATATTTGGCCGTTGGTTCTGCAGAAAATACTGTTGATTTTTATGATATTACACAAGGCCCGTCTTTAAACAGAATTGGCTACTGCAAAGACATCCCAAGCTTTGTCATACAAATGGATTTTTCTGCTGACAGCCAGTATATTCAGGTATATTTTAGATGTTTTGCATCATTTTTGTGTATAAATCATTTTACATAGCTTTCAATAGAATGATTTTATGTAATCATGTATGTTATGTTATCAAGGTGGCTTAGTCACTCACAATGTGTGGATGGCAAGCTAAGGCAGCTATAAGCAAGCCACCTCCCCCGTCCACCATCAAAGCAGGAATTTTTATCTCCCGTGTTATCCAACATAAGTATGTCTTGTGCAGTATACTCACACCTTCTGTGCAGCTGGAAAGGGCATTGTAGCCTTCCACTAAAGAGACAGACTACAACTCTGTGAGCCAGGCTATGTGCTATCTTATAGCAGGTTATATGGCTGTCATCAACTTACTGAGCAGTTCCACACATTTCTGATGTATATTTCATCTGTATAACTAACAGATATAACAGCATGTTTTAGAAAACGTGTGCCCGAGACAGAGCAGCCCTCAATTTTCCGAGAATGCCAAGCAAAATATGCAACTATACTGTCAGTATTTACATTTTCAAACATGCAAAATTCTACTGGCTCCTGTTTGACAAAACTACAAAAAAACTAACTTTCACTCAAGTAGAGGAAAACAATGGGGAAAAGAGAAATTCCATTAAATAAAACAAACTATATATCAGGATATACGCCCATATTCGCACAAATTGATCACAAATGAAATGACAAGTTACTAAATTATGCAACACATGGCTACTCAGCAATTACATTGGTAGAAAATGAATAATAACTGGTATGAAGAGGAAAAGCTCAGAGATAAGTTAATCAGTCCATAAATAATCCCCTGGGATCTCGTTACCAAACCACAATCTGCAGGAAGCTGCAAACTAATCCCTCAAAGCCAACCAAAACAGTAATGTTAAGAAAGAACCCTAACTCACTGACTGCAACACATGCACATCATCTAACATCATCATTGGTAAAACAGAATATGGGAAAAAATATATTAAACCAGGTATCGTTTATCCTATAATCTATAATTAGCTAATCAAAGTAAGGAAATTCATATAATCATCTGATATAATGTGATTGTGTATCAGATTATTTTAAATTCCAAGGCTTCTTTATGTGTCAACAACATGCATGTCCTGGGAACAGTGACATCTAATGGAGAATTTGCAACAATCCATGTCTTTTGTAGTCAATAGATAGCTAGCTGTAGGAGGGTTCCATGTTCTCAATGGACTTTAAATGGAATTCCATTTTAGACTTGGGCAGTGTTTGAGGAACACAAAATGATCACTAATAGCCGTAACATATGTCATAGCCTTGTCTTATTTGGGAGCTCTGAAATCCAGACTAGATTCCAAATTGATGGGTTTTTTTTCTTAATATTAATTCGGGAGCTAGTTTTCCATTTAGATACCATATATATTTTCCGTGGCTTATACAACCATTGTTTTTGGACCAGACATGTCGTTCAGTCTCATTGGCAGCCTATCTACTGTAACATTCATTAGTAAACCAAATTGAAATGAGTCTTCTGTGGTGACTCTTTGCCCAGCTTAATATGTGATCTATGCTCACAATGCTGCACAAAACATTGCTATAGACATATCTCAAATGTAATGTCTTCGGGAGTGGTCCAGTATCTATACTGTATTGCCTTATTAGGTAACATTATATGCAGATAAATAGTAAAAAAGTGATAATCACAAAAAAAAAAATGTTTTCATGATTTTCATTTCCAGGTAGCCACAGGTGCTTACAAGAAACAGGTACACGAGGTACCATCAGGGAAGCAGATAACAGATGGTTCACTAGTAGAAAGGATTACGTGGGCCTCGTGGACAAGGTAACCCAAACAATTCTATCGGAATTGGTCTGTTAGGTTAAAGAGTGTTTTTTAGGTGCATGATATTAAGACATTGTTACGTGCCATTCAATCGATTAAAGAATAGTGGGAACAGTAGTAAAAAGAAAGTTCTATTTTCCTGTACGGACATTAAACTTGTCAGCTGATTTTGCTGTTGGAGTGATCTTGTCTTTGTATACATTTTTACTGTGGTATTTCCTTGGAGTCATCTGATTGTGCTACTTTATTTTTGTCCTTTGAAGCCATATATACTAAAAAAATGTGTTTTCTCTGTATAATTACAACAAAATACCTAGATCAGTGGTGCCCTAAAGCTAGATCCCAAATGTTTTAGAGCTCCCATGCCTTTAGAATGCTTTAGAATGACAAAGCTGTAGTTTTAATAAATCTGGAATATACCTTTTGGGTACCATTGACCTAGATACATACAGAAACAAATATGTATCTTCTGCTACAGTTGTACTACATACACTAAAACGTAAATGAATGTAGTAAAATTAGCAATGGTTGAGATCGTTTTTTGTTTTTTGGAAACATAGTCCTAAAGTTGCGTATTACATTGCAATTTGCAAATATAACAACATTTCCAGTTAGCATATGGGGGAACTAGTCAATGATGTAAATCTTATCAACAGTTTTTTCATGTACCTGCTGCCAATTTGCAGGTTACCTTTGAATCGAGTTCTGTGGAAATCCTTCTCCAGAAAAAGACAAAAAGTGAAACCATAAAGGAGACTACTAAAAGGTAGATCCAGATGTTGTAGAACTACAACTCCCTTGATGCTTTGCATGCTTAGAATGCCTTTACAATGACAAAGCATCATGGAAGTTGTAGTTTTAAAATATCTGGGGATAAACCTTTTTATGCACCCTTGGTGTACATTATAATCAGTAGTGCCTGTGATAGGGAGCTCTGACTTATAAACATTTTGTGCCATTTATCTTTCCTATTTTGGCTCTGACAGTCTTTCTAGGAAATGTGTTAACTTTTTTTGGATGGTAAAACTCCATGAGTCGTGACATATGGGATAGTCCCCCCCAACTGGAGACGTTAGAAGCACCCATAATGCAGTGCTTCGGCATGCTCTTTCCTCTCTAGCCACTTCTGTAGAATACGCAGTTCTGTTTCTGTAATCCCTCTTGAGGTACACCTGGTCCCTCTGTTAAGCTCTGTTAAGCTCTATTTGATGTAGGGGCTGCTCAAAGAGTGCACAGAGTTTGCAGTGTTCTCTGCCAGTCAACATGCGGAGTCCACTGCTTTGCTAGTCATCTAGTGATGCCTCCTTGTGAAAATCCCTTAGATTGAGACTCCTTGTGGCCAGACAGGTTTGAGCTACAGACAGGGTATATACTCTTTGGTGACAGATTTTTTGGGAGTGTGCTCCACTGGCCACCTGCAAGTGCTGCACGTGTTTTATGTGTTATTGAGATCAAGCTATATGAACATGTGTAAAACCCAACTAAGGCCTCTAGCATCACGCTAACATTTGTAATCTTATCTGGCAGGATTGGTAGGGTGTATACCCCCAGTCTGCAATAGTGCACACTGCTTGATATGCGGTGAGAGTTAAAAATAATATTCATAACAACAACAGCTAAATCATAACAATAACCATAGAGTCATAATAAGACATTGAGTTAGATTGTTGGGAGCCTTTAACAATCGGCAGTGGAGTAGCAGGTGCAAGATTATCGGTCGTGTGTACCTTAACTGTCTAATCTCGAAGGTTGTATGCTATGCTAGGACTTTCGATAAGTGTTTTGGACTATTATCTCACAATTTTATATTTTATATAATTTTTATATTTTATACTCTATATATGGTTTATTATACATCTTAGGCGCACCCTTACCTTTTTTATTTGTCTATCCTTCTCAGAGGCCTGAGTGCGTGTGGTCACCGCCTGTATTTCCATCTAGAGCAAGTGCTGCCGTACTTTTGCAAACCATTGATTTGGCAGAGTGACCGGTTACAAACAACCGAGTTACATCACAAAGATTATTACTGAATAAGCACTTATTTTTCCTAAAATGTATATAATAATATAATGTATGTAATGTATACAGTATCAATACAACACAGTGAGCTGTGACATCGGCTACATTATTACTGGAAGGGTTTTTGTGACCATGTCATGTTGTATTTATTTTACATGATATACGTATGGTACAGTGAGTTGATACAATGACCTAGTTACATCATACACACTATTGCTGGATGAGCTTTCAATATATATTGTATGTGTTTAATGCAGCATTCTCGGAGACGAGGTCATTGGAATCTGGCCACGCAATGCAGAGAAAGCCGATGTTAACTGTGCCTGTGTGTCCCACACTGGGCTGAATATTGTCACCGGGGATGATTTTGGCCTAGTTAAACTCTTTGACTTCCCTTGCACTGAGAAGTTTGTAAGTGCTCAGTTATATCTGTGAATATTGTCTGCTTCTTATCTCTCTTGTACTACCCTTATTTCTTTACCTAATTCTGATCCAGTTCTGGAGTTAACTGTCAGTTCATAGGATTTTTTAATATTATGTTTACTTATCCATAAATGGAACAAATATGTATTTTTGAGGTGTGAAAAATAAAATTAAAATGTAGAACCATGTTAATGTAGTGGTTCTGGGGCAAATAGCTTGTCCCTACAGCCTCAGCAGTGTAAACACTGCCTTTTCTGAGAAGAGGCAATGTCTACACTGCTGCCTAAGGCCTACTCTAGTGGTTGTCACTCTAACAACTAGAGAGACTTATTAGGTTCAGTTCTTCAGTAGTGATGTCGCGAACCGTTCGTGAACTTGCCGCGAACAGTTCGTGGCGAACTCCGGTCAGCTGACACATCACTGCCAATCTCCGGCAGACCCTCACTCCCAGACCCTCCTACTTCCTGGACAGCATCTATGTTGAAGGCAGCTTCAACATGGATGCTGTCCAGGAGGTGGGAGGCTCTGGGAGGGAGGGTCTGCCGGAGATTGTCAGGGATGTGTCAGCTGACCGGAGTTCGCCACGAACCATTCGCGACATCACTATTCTTCAGTGATTGACGCTGAACTTTGTCCATCGAAATGCATTGCCTCAGTGTCTCTCTATGAGATGCCGCTGATTGGCCCATAGGCTAACCTCCCAAAGCTAGAGGGGAGCATTGAATGATCTCAGTGAGGGAGGCGAGGTGGCCATACAGAGCCCGACATGCTGGGGGAAATAAGGTAAGTTAGTCTCTTTTTTTTAATGCACACGGTGGGAAGCAATAATCTTAACTGTTACTTGGGCACAATAGTGTTAGGAATAAATGTATGCATTCTCAACACTACAGTGTTCATTAAACCTTTCATGTAAATATAAGGAAAAATAGAGCATCTCATGAAAAAGTGAATATAAGTTACACGTGATTTTAAAATGATTTAGTCTATGGAGTACATCCCATAAAAATGACAGTTTTGCTTTAACTACCTACAATCCTTTATAATTTGTGTTCACCTATCCAGTCCAGTTTCTTGCACTCCGTGCTTCACTTTCATTGTGAGTTTGCAGTTTCTACTTTTCCTAATTGGCTAGCAATATCAGTGTAGCTGCTTCTGAATAAGTATCTGTCTGTTAGTCACCCATCCCGTGATTTGCATGATTTGTACCAACATAAATCAGCAGAGTAATAAAATGTAGACGATGAGAATGTCTGCTAGCTGGGTGTTCCCATCATTAGATACTAGGGTGAGCAGAGAGAGGTTTGTGTGTTTAATAGGCACAGGATGAGGTCTTGTTTCCTGCCTGCTTTTTTGGGTAACTTCATAGTTCAGACTTACAATTTGTCAAGCCAACTGTTTGAAAGATGGATCCCGTGGTTTCCCCATGCATACTAACCTATCATATCCCCTTTCAAACAGGCCAAACACAAGCGCTACTTTGGTCATTCGGCACATGTGACCAATGTGCGGTTCTCACATGACGACAAGTATGTCATAAGCACCGGAGGAGATGACTGCAGGTAATATGGAGTAGCATTAAATACGAACAATCCACCACTCACCAGCACAGCAAAGTAGAAGATATACATTTCTGTAAATATTTCAATGTGCGTAGTCATCCCAACACACAGACTGCTTATTAAACAATAAACCTACAGATTTCCTGCACACTTAAATGCCAACAATTGAGGGAGTGAGGGAGATAAATTTAAGACATGCCTAGCACGGGTGTCCACTTTGTTAAAATATTTTTGTAGTCCTTGGCGCCAGTGTTACATTAAAACAGAGCTAACTGCTAGCTATAAATAGATGTTTTAGAAATGCAACTCTTGATCTAGTTTGTCTGTGGTCAGAATTAGCCAGAGCCCTGGGGATCTTCTGAGGGATGACGATAAAAAGGCTGAGAGCGTTTGTGATTTTAGAAGTGGCTCACTAACTCTCTTTCTAAGGTCAGAATCTATGCAAGGAATGTACATCCCAACACTTATGAATTAATAGCAAGTGAAATATTTATTTTTTGTTATTCTAAAATATACACGTACACAGAAGCAGTATTACATTTTTTTCATAGGCGCCCTCAGGATAATAAATAATTCCCCTTCTAATCGCTATGTTGTGGGTATCTGCTTAGTTTAATTCAGATAGACCTGTCTTTAAAAGGAGCCTCTCACTGAAACTGGCAGCTTTCACTGCTGTGAGGACCAGAGTCATGTTATCAGAGCAATAGGACCCTAGGCCAGGTTATCTGGAGTGATAGGATGGAGAACGCCATAGGAATTTCTAGTGCTTTCTCTCTCTTGTAGACTTGGAGTAGCATCTAAAACACATCCTATTGTCTAGCAGCCTTGTAGAGAAAGTGTCTAGTTCAGGTTTAGTCTTTAATCCTGTTCTCAGGACCTAGAATGTCATGTTCCCTGTTTAATCTAAATCAAAACACTCTTTGTAAAGACAGCGCCAGTTAACTGGTTACCATCATATATGTAGCATGTCTACAGAATCATTGGAGCTGGCTTCCCAAGTATCTTCCCCAACAAAGACCCATTTTAGGGTAGGCAGTCATCTTGAGATGAGCAGAACCACAAGACATACATATATAATTTTTCTCCCTTATGAAGGAATGCTCATTTTACACCATGAATTGTCATTTTGCTTTGTTTGTCTCTGCAGTGTCTTTGTGTGGAGATGTCTTTAAAAAAACAAAAAACACTGCTGGAACTGAAGATTCTCCAAACATGATGGATTCTCCTAGAACTTTTCAGATGTCTACAATTCTTTCTAACAGACTACGTAATTTATAGATGAGATAACCTAGCAAACTGCTGGTGAACACTTGGCACAGCAACTGTTGTGGACCATGTTTCCCACAATGCTCAATGTCGGTGCAAAATGTTAACCATCATTGGTCTAGCAGATACAAATTGATAATGTTCCACGTGAATCAGAAATATCTGACACTATGTCATCTCAGTTTCTAATGCCATTAATTATATCACGCATATCAGTTTGATCTTGTATAATGTCCCTTAAACTCACTTTAGCTACAGGAATCAGTAGAATATTGTCTTAGGTTTTCTACAGATACTTTCAAATCAAAATGATGTTTACATTATTACTGGTATATTATGTAGGGGCTTATTTTATCAATGGGGTTAATTAAAGAGAGTGCATCTTTAGCAATGATAACTGCACATTTTGTACAAACAAATCATGCTATTTTTGCATTTTATATTTTACATAAGCCATGTTTAACACCCTTCATTTGCTATTGTTTTTTTTTTTAATTCATTAAGTGCCTTGAAATATTTGTTGGGAGCAAGTTTCATGTCCCTCTGTGCATAGCTGGTGCTATAATAGAGCAGCTTTTCAGGAAGTGATTTTTGTTGTCACTCTTTGTCATTGACATTGCCGATACCCCATGTTATTTCATCATTCCCCTGGCCATAGCCTTAAAGCAAATGCATATAAGGCATTCCCTATAAGGGGTAAATACAGTGCAAAGTTCTAAAAGTGGAATATCTCGCCTGAAAAATGAGTTTCCAAAAAATATCAGATGTTCCAAACCAACCAATGTTGCCATACAGAAAAGAAATAAAAACGGTGGAAACCTCCAGATCTGACCAAGGAATGTTCCAAAAATGCACACGCTCAGGCGCTCTCTCGAAATATATTTAAATACACCATGTATAATTGCAACACACTACAGGAAATCGTGGGGCTCTAAAAATAAGAGAACACAAGGATTTAATTATTTATAATTGTACAAAGAATTAAACTGCAGGTTAAAGTAAATCTGGCAGATTCCAAAGTGCTCGTTACTAGCAAAATATTTCATGACCGGATTTCAGTGACCTTTGCTCCCCAATAACTAATTATGTCTCTGCGGTGTAAGGACTAATTTTCACTCATTAACTACTCGCAAATGTTATTCAGATATAAATCTCAATATGAAGACACTTTGTCCAGGTGTTTTTATATCTTAAATATTTACATAACTGCTCATTTAGATAATGTCTTCCACTCTATATGGAATAGTTCTGGAAAGGACTCACAATGTTGACCAGTGTTGACATAGATCTGAACTCAATAAATAGCACCATGTTATGACAAAGTTAGTTCTGGTGGTAGCCTTTCATAATGCTGTGAGTTAGCCTCTCGTGCCCCTTTAGTAGACTTTTCACCAGTTGAACGGCACTGGTATCTCCAAATACATAGTTTTTATATAGTTGTAAATTTGTCAACTGGTCTGTAAAGTATAAATCCCTAAATTATAGATTAGTTTATCTACATTTCTGGTCTAAAGCTATGGTGACGTATAAAGTCCACAATAATTTCTAGACATATAGCAGGTACGTCGTGCCTCGTCAAATTACAGATAGGAAACTGGAGGCTATATCAGTTTATCCAATGTGTACATTCTATTTGCTAAAACTGGATACATTAAAAATTAACAAGAGTGGAATCATTGATTCAGACCTGCAGCAGAAAATGCCATTTTATATTAAAAATATTCTATTTCCCAAGGATAGTTTACTTGTTTTTGTTTTATAGCTTTCTAACCAAATTCTATATCAGCAGTTTCCATCCCAGGCCTCGAGGCGCACGATCAGTTCAGAATTTAGGCATTGTTCTTGCAATGGGGGTACTGGGGAGTAGAATCATTACCTTCAGGCATATTGCTGTAAACACTTGTTTTTCAGAGAAAATGCAGTGTTTACATTACAGCCTAAGGATACTTCCACTGGCCACTCCTCAGATGGCGGCTAGAGGTGCTTCCTGGAGCAGCACTGCCATTCAGTGTCTCCACCCTCTGTATGCAGACACTGAACTTTCCTCAGAGAAGCATTGATTCAATGAATTTCTACGAGGAGATGCTGATTGGCCCTGTCTGTGTTTGACTTTTGCTGGCTCTGCCCCTGATCTGCCTCATTGACAGTCTCAGCCAATTCTACGGGGAAGCACTGTTATTGGCTCAGAACAACACTTCTGATGATTACAACCAGGCAGATCAGGGACAGAATAAATGTAAGATTTTACTATATTTAAGGGGGCAATGTATGCTAGTTTTTTAACACTCTAAGGTCAGGAATACATGTGTGTTCCTGACCCTATAGTATTCCTTTAAGGGCAGCGTAACCAAATTGAAAATATAATTTAAGGAATTTTTCCATTTTGGCTACTTTGACCTTAAATGTAAATTCTCACCTTCGTGAATAACCCTTTAACAAAAGCTTACACTGTTGTGCTTTGAGGACTGGTTTAGAAAACATTGTTCTAGACACTATACCTGCGGTTTGCTTACTAGTAATAATGCCATGTAAAATATTTCTTTATCAAGTAATCAAAACAAATATATTTTCTTAGAATTCTGTTTTAAAGTATCCTAATAATAAATAGCGTTAAATCATACATGAACTGTCCTGATACCAGTTTAATTTGTAGAGAATAAAGATACCCATCATTTAATCCTTACTGCAAATGTATATCAGATTAGCCATCAATCAGTAATATTCCTGATTATATGATAGTTTTGCCAAAAAATAACAAGTTGGTTATTCCATGATATTTCAATGTAACATGTGCAGTGGAATCACACATACTTCATATGAGATATATAGATATATATTCATTTTATAGTCAACAAATGCCTTACATTCATATAGAACTTTTTTTCATGTTTAACACCTTCAGTGCCAGTTGAGAATGCTGTTTTATTTGTACAGAAGGGGTTAATAGTATGTATTTGTATTGAACGTTTTAAGAATCACCTGTTTGCCTATGTTGTAATGTTAGCTACACTGATTGTATTTGTCCAGTAGTATACTGCAAGTATGAGAGAATAAAGAGCCCTCAATGTGATTGGTGATTTATCTAGAACTTTGGTTGAACGGTCATTTCGTAAGATGTTCTACATTGGAGGCAAATCGGAGATTCTCCCAGCTGTTGTAGAACTACAACTCCTCAGATGCTTTACTAACTTAAGTCAATACAACCCAGAGGTTGTAGTACTACAAGAGCTAATGGTCTATTTGTCAGCCTTGTTCTAATGAAATGATATCATCCTGTGGTTCTTCATTAAGAGGACGGAACCAATATGCTGCACACAGCACGTCCCTTTGCAGAACAGAAACCACTCATATTTGTACTATACTGTAAATGAAAATAATGTCCAATTTTTTTTATTCTGTGTGATTTAAAACTGGATTTTGTGATCAATAAATATTGTGTTTTACATGAGTTATTGTTTTGTTATTCCACCCATCACATACACCTGCTGCCAGTAGGCCGCACTGTAGGGAGCAGGAGATAAATAGGTTAAGTCATCCGTAGGGCAGTAAATTGCTGTATACACTACTTGCGTAGTATGCCTTCTGAAACTACTAAATACAGAGGGCAGAGACTAGGCTTCTACCTACAGTAAATTGGAGTGGGGGGATGGGGGACCAGACTACAAACTATGGGGCAGTAATGGGCTACTAGCTATTGGAGATGGATTCCCACAATTCCACAATGAGGGATACAAATTCACCACTTCATTAACGCAGACAGTGCCCACCATACACAAACATCTTGACCCACTACACACTTGTGCACCTTTACACTCATCAAACCTCCAGACATGTCCCTGCATTCACACACAGACTCCCGCCTCCCCACCCCCCCCCAAACACACGTCCCTACATTCAAACACATTGACCTGCTCCATATATATGAACCTGTATCCATACAAACTACATACAAATATGGCCCTACATTTACAAACATAAAACTAACAAAACAAATATGCCCCTGCATACACACAAATTGACGTTGTGTACATACCTGAATAAATACAAAAATAAAATAAAAATAAAAAAAACACTGTGCACACACATTTGAGATGGCTCATAACGTTTCACACCTGGCTGGCAACTCAATCCCTTCTAATCTGCACTCCACTATTCTGCTCTAGTTACCAATTTATTAACATAAAAATCTCTCCACCCACACACACACACTATAGATTTTTTCCAGGGCTGCTGTGTATTCCCAGTCTGGCCATGGCTGTCTCTGCCTGCCACAGAGGCAGAATCTCTTGGCTGTCACTTGACTGTTGAGTTAGAGGGAGGAGGAATGGAACTGGGTGACAGGGAGTGAGAGCTGTTGAATTCCAGGAGTTGTAGTCCCTGCTAGTGGCTCACTCACTTTACAGCTATTTCTTATACAAGTTACACTATTGTTTGTCCATTTACGTTTGTTTGAGATAATTGGCTGATATTTATGTGTAACTACACTCAAGGGTTAAAACTTTATCGCTAGTCACAAGGTTGGTGAATCCTTGTATGATCTACTGCTGCTTAACCATAGTAACAGTGAGCACTTAATCCTAGACTAGTTTTTATTTGCTCCATAAAGAAATAATGCACAAACAGTCAAATGTCAGTTTGAAATCCACTTGTAAAGAAAGCTAGTCTGATTGAGATAACAGTTGCAGCATTACCTCACAGGCAAACTCATACAGAAAGTAAATAAAAGGTTTTTATTTAAATTCTTCCCTTTTTTCTTGGTTTGTTTTCAGCTCCTAACTTTCCATGCTAGTTCATTTGAATAAAGCCACAGTCCGTTTTCTATCCACTCCCTATGGTCAGTTCTTCTCAAAAACAATTGATGCTGTATCCCATAGCATGGGCTGCATTCTAGGACATAGGAGAGAAAGATCTGAGCACACTATACAATACAGATGCCTGATGTTAGCCTGGCAACCAATTTCTGTACTTGGGCATAATAAGATATACTATATGAAGGCTCAAAATTCCACTTACCCGGTGTCGCTAGATTATTTGATCCAGCAAGCAAAGAAGAAATTCCATAAATTTAATAACGGTCTTTTCACTTACCAGCCCAATGAACAAAAGAACCATGTCCAACGAATTTCATTTTCCATGTTTTTACTCAATAAATGTGAATCAATCAATTAAGGTCTACAAGCTTTATTGAGTTTTGTTTTTTGAACATATCACAATGCATTCCAAAGACTTGCTCCAGCACATTTCTGCGGCTGTTAAAACACTTCACGTTCTTGCGACAAGTGACTTATTCCCACCAAACAGATTTACAGCACTTGGTACTGGGTTCACGGGAAAAGTTCCAGTGACTGTAAACGTTTGTACAAAACCAACTAGTGAGCAACAACGTGCAAGCTCCAAAGTTTACATACATATGTTAATTTAATTAATTTCCTTAATTAACAGACAATAGTGTTTCGAGAAATAGATTTCAGTTTACGAGTATGTGCTAGAAAGCTGGGCTGTTAGAATGTCATTTCTCTTTTACTAAAAAAAAAAAAAATCTTTTTGAAAGCAGTGTGGAGCGGTTTAAACGGCTATGCTCTCTGAAAACACTATAGATATTGGCAATTAATAAAACAATAAAATCACAATATAGCTATCATACCAAACAGAAGCAATGTCTTTCATGTTGCTTGCGGTATGATCTGGGCTTTATGTCCTCCGCCCATTCAGTGCAGGAGAAGCCAAAAGACATCATTACTTTGCACACATGGCCCAGTTCTACACTGAAAGGGTTCATATTGGAAGTTTGCAGCAATTTCCTACTTACTGATCATACACAGTGCAAAAAGGGGATTAACAATATGCCCATGAAAGCGCAGTAAGACTACTTCTGAAGCACAATATACAGCATGCTAAAAAAGAGGTTCTGTATTAAATGGTGCTTCACACAGGAGAAACAGAAAATAGTTTCAAATCCATACATAGCAGCTTACAATACTTAGAATGAAACACATGGCAGTAAAAACAGTTGTTCCTTCCTCAAACACTGCATTGCTAAAAATAAAAAGGAAAAAAAAAAAATTTAAAATAAAAAGATCTGTGAATTGCCCTGCAATGTCAAGGTTTGTCTTTCCCCTGACCCACCCCGTGTAATCCAAAAACACAGCGCTCAAATGCGAGGATCCGATTGGTATCTGCAGCAGATTTGTTTTGTGTTTTTTTTATTCTGTTTTGCGTTTCAGTCCAGGGACTTTTGCAAGGACCCTGTAAGAAAGAAGGAAAAAAGGTAAAGCACATTTAATGGAAAGAAATGTCACTTCATTTAAATGCACACAGGCCACATTTATATTTACAGAGCAAAGTACAAAACTAGCCCAGCCAGCAAAGACATTCTGTTTCTGCCGGAGAATGCTGGGATTGTGAATTCTACTTGGCTTAAATGAACATATTTTATTACATGTTTATATATTAATTACGGACATATTGCCTAGAGCGTCCCAGCTCTATCCCCCCAGATTGACAACAAACAGGGCCTCTTCCCTGTGCCCAGAGACCACACTGATAATGTGGAATTCTGCCCAACCCAAAGAGAGCACTGGGGCAGGTTAGCCAAGCACGTTCAGTAAAACAAGGACATTAATAATTCCATGTTATTAATGCAGCTGAGGAGGCGGTTGTGTTCAGGGGAAGTATCGGAACACCCCAGGTTAACTTAACACTAATGCTGGTTGTTGTAATTATGTTGATTCAACTGCCCTTTAAACTCTGTCAAGGTAAAAAAAAAAAAAAAAAATAGTTTAACACAATACTTACATATCTGAAATATTTTTAACATTCTTGTTAACGAGCGCTAGATAGTGATCAATTTGAGTCTGTAAATAGAGAAAAATGCAAATTGGCCAATTAATCCCAACATCAAGAGAAATCAAGAGGATATTTAAACTTTTTTAATTACACTTAAAGTAAGATTTCAAGACGTGTTTGCAGCCGGTCAGTTCCTGCCAAACGTTGACAATTTGTACACAGAATGCAAGGGATAAACTTTTGTATTGTTCTATAAGCAGCAGAGGGATCAGAAAAAAAAAAAAAAAAAGAACTCATCACTATATAATATATAGCCACTGGAATACAATGAAATGTTTATGATGCATGAAGTGTGAGTGTAAGTATCATTCTAGCAATCTGCATAACCTTTACACATTTAAGGACTTCTGGCCTAAATTCCATGAATTCTTGTCATGCCCACAATTTTGCATACATTTGAAAACAAATACTTTGGAGCATTCTGCAATTATCTCTGCCTCTGACGCACCGTCATCATTCTATATTTGCTACCCCATCCACAATGCCATTGCAGCAGAGAGCCCAATTCCTGTAAACTATGGGGGAAGGCATTCTCCTACTATTTTAATCACTATACGTGGCTTGTTGTAGTTGTCCATTTAAGTTTTGTGACAATGGTTTAACCACTGTGGAAACAACTGTGGACATTATGCACACACAAGCTGGTAAATTCAAACAACAAAAGTATTTGATAAAGTACATTTAACTTTACATAAAACTTTGTTCCCTAGTACGTGTATACATATGCTAGTTGGCAAACCAAAAACTTCAATACTCTGTTGTGTACACTAGTGAATTTGGCATGTGGTATATTGTCAAGCTGTAACACTTTATGGGAATAACTACTGTAAAAAGCTAAACACGCTTACCTGATGTCTTTCATAAATTACTGGAATACTGAACAAGGAAATCAGTGCTGAAGGAGAAGATGAGAGAAAGAGTGTTAGTCCTTAACATTTGGAAATGTCAATACATGGAAGGTATTTCTGACAGAACTGGACACCTATAACCCGCGTGCACCCCATGATATGTGAATTAAATGATCTCCAGATCATTATACCTTGGCAGGCCAATAAAACACGTGCAGACCATCTTAACAGCTGCATGTCTGAGCCCCAGACCAAACTGTCATTTAGATCCCTCATGGGTAGCACTGACTAAAGTTTCAACACAATGTGTAAAAGAAAAGCCTTTCAGCCAGATTGTAGGCTATTATACAAGAATATGCATCAGACCCCTCCTGCCACAGGTGTCTCACTGTAACCATGAAAGAACCTCTGAGAGCAGCTTTGCAGTTAGCCAAGATTACTGTAGATGTTACAATACTGGGGCACTTTGAAAACAGTGAAGAGTTTAAGACCTGTACAAAACAGTGGGTCTACCTGACCACAGCTCCAGGTTCATTGTTCTTTCTACATGAACAGTTCTAATTTGGTTATATTCTGTCTCCCCGCACCCTTGCAAAAAGCCTACAAACGCATTACAATCTTTAATTGGTGTAGTGTAGACCGTTTTCCATGTCACCGGGGCAGAGTACCAACACATGCACTCTTTTACTGGTCATTAAGCAGAACACATACAGATTGTAGAGAATGAATATAGAATGCGTTTATCTATAGAGCCAACCTGTCACTCACACTTTTTATAAAATAAAATCAATGCAAATTAGCTAGGTAATAAGGGCTGCATTGTCCAAGAGTTTTAGTTAACGATTATCTGCCTACTGTAGGGCTCAAACCAAACTGGCAAGTTGCAATGGAAACCAAGAAATTGAATTCCTCTACTTGGTGGAGACTTAATGAAACACTTTGTTCCATCCGAAGGCTGCCATATAAATTCTGTTTCTGTATTATGGGGAAGATTTCAAGTAATTATAGGAATGTTGAGGCTGCAGAGTAATGATCGTTCTGGACACTGGTGCCTCATCTGATTTCTACTTCCCCCATCTCGCCCTCTCCCCAGTCTGCTCAATGAATGTGTGTAGTTTGACTGGTCTAATAGACATTCTTGCCTAAAACATACCCTCAGGATCACGTTAAGAGTTTTTTTTTTTTTTTTTAAATCATCAAAAATGCCTGGCTCAAAATTTGAGCAAGATTTTAGGGAAATTTGCCCAGTCCTGGCCCACTGTGGCAATCTTGTACATCCTAACATCAAAATGAGCATTTCCTGATAAAATAAAAGTGAAGCCTTAAACTATATATAATATATATGAGAAATGCACCATGTGGTTGTGGGCAATCCTTTAGCCTATATACATGGCTATTCAAGAAAATGTAGATTGCCAGGAATTCACAGTAAACTTTTAGTCCACAATAACCAAATTGGGCAATTCTCCAAGTAAGCTAGGGTTTCAGTTTGGATATTTTGGCATGAAATTTAAATTCTTTTTAAATGCCCAACATGGACTCCTGCAATGGAAGGAGTGGCCCCACCACAAATAAGGAAGGCTCCAAGCCAGAAATCTAAACATGCAGGTGCACACCACTAGTTGTAGCTAGCTGTAGTGTGTGTGACCCACACAGTGTTGTGTGGGTCAGGTTAAAGTGTGGTACCCATGCATATAGGACTTTAAAGCTATGCCAACAGTTTACAAATGGGATATCTGGCCAATCAGCATAACTTACAGGAATACAATTAATGTGCTGTATAAAATTCAGTTACAAATATACTTACCCAAAATGAGTAAAGTCAGGCCATTGAACAAGGCACCGATATAGGTGAACACCCACATCAACACTGCAAACTGAACACAGGGAACAGGTTAGTTTCAGGATTACAATAGTTTAACATCGTAATTATTTCATTAAGCTTTCAGCTGCAACTAGGTATCAGACACAGGTACTGTTTAAACCATAACTATGTGTAGGGGTTATAGTGCCAGAAGTACATAGTCAAACCATTTAATAACTGGAAAATAATGAAAACTTTCCTAGGGTCTCCAGGGAACAGGGGGATGTTCAGCCAATAAGTTGTCTCCACACAGCAGGGCCTAGCTCAGTGGAGCTACACAAATCTCCTTGTAGGATGTTCAGGCTCCAGGGAAAGAGGAAACGGATGCCTGGCAAACCCCAGGTAAGTTGTCAAAAACAAATAAACATTCTGAAAGGGACACTATAGTAACCAGAACAGCTACATTAAGCTGTAGTTGTTCTGGTGTTTATACAAAAATTTCATGTAAGCACTGCCTTTTCAGTCAAACAACATTGTTTACATTACTGCATAGGAACACCTCCAGTGGCAGTCACTCAGAAGGCCACTAGAGGTGCCTCCTGGGGCAGTGCTGCATAATATGCAACACTGACGTTCAGCGTCTCCATGCTGAAGATGTTGAACTTCTCCCCATAGAGATGCACTGAGTCAATTCATTGCTATGAGGAGATGCGGATTGGCAAGCATTGTAATTTGCTGCACATACACATTAGCCTCAAAATACTTTCCTATAGGAAATTGGCTGAGATAGTCAGCTTTGATTTTCTAAGCAAAGGGCGGAGCCGCGAGCAACGCTGGTATAAAGGGGAGTTTTTCATTTTAAGGGGGCAAGGGGGCTAAAATGTGTTTCTAACACTATAGGATCAGGATTACACGTTTGCTTTCCTGACCCTATAGTGTTTTTTTAAACAGTATGACTACTTACTGTGGGAGGACGCCAAGGCACTTTTGGCACCATAACCACAGCAAGTGTGTCTGCTGTAAAGGAAGACTGTGAAGAGGTGTATTTCTATCTTTGGTGGGTTTCTTTTTATATTGGAGATTTTAGAAGAACAAAATAAAACAAAAATGCATAGTCCAAAGGCACACAATGGCTTCCTAATTTGCTCATGTCAGAAATTGTGTAAAGGCCTTTCATTCACAACAAACAGAAAAATATTGTAACATTTCAAGTTGTATGATTTAATTCGCTTGACAGCTTTCCTAATCACTTTCAGAAAATGACATTAGACTCTTCCAGTGTCTTCGGTGTCAAATGAACAGCTAGGAATAGGACCTGCAGTCTGGGACATGTAACATGAAGATCCATTAGTTTGTGAACGATCACAGAAAAAGCATTCATAGCACTGCAGTGCACTCTTGGCATTCTGAGGATTGTCTTCCCACCTACAATACAATGTCCATTTCACAGCAGACAGAGACCACGAGGGGTTAAAGTATGACCTACACTGCACTGTGACAGTTCCTGGTCTCTCCTCCCAGATCAGGGGAAAGGAATGTCTTACACAGCAGCCACCTGCCAGTAAACTGTCAGAAGCAAGACATCCACTGCGTTCTGCTGCCGTCACTGAACGGTCAGCTGGACGAATGACTTTGGTATACATTGATAGCCAAAGATCAAAGTCTGGCAGTCTTATGCAACCTACATATTTAGAGAACCTGGGAATATGAAATGTATAACTTATATGTGAGATAACACAATTTGAAGAGAGGAGAAGACGTATGAGATGTCTTTGTAAAGAGACAAGTTGTTAAAACATGTATGTTTCCTGAACACAACGGAAAAAAATTATCCAAGTGTTAAATCAGGAAAATGGTGCAAAGTACTATAAGTGGGGCAGTCACCATGGAAACTGGTGGGACCAGGAAGCACCATGGAAACTGGAGGGACCACCGTCAACTCCTCCCATTTTACAGCTTTGTATTATTTTTCAGAACATGAAATGGAGATAACCTCCCACCCCCAATGTCTGCATGTACACTTTTCAGCTGAAGTGACGAACTCTTAGTAAGATGCCTAAGCATGTCTAGTGTGAAAGAAAATGGTGTTAAACCTGAAAGCAGGACATTGCTGTTTGTAAAGTCAGAGCATTAATCAGGAACTTAATGTAAGTTATAAAAACTTAACTAGTGCAGCTATGAGGGAACCAGGGTTGCTTTGTTTTATAACTTACCTTCAGGGAATCAACCAGGTCTTCTACAAGGAAGAGGCGCCGAAGCTCCTTAATTGTGGAGTTAATGTGGTTCAAAGCAAAATCGCTGTACTTCTTAACTAGGTCTTCAGATACTGCAACATCACAATCCAAGCACGATCTAAGAGACAGAATAAACCAGGTTAAACACAAACTGCTGAGAAACATCAGAAAAATTAATAGTTTCTGGATTTATCTTTGCATTAGCAAATCTTCATCTAGCCCAGACCCCCACTCCCCACACTAGCAGAGCTGGACAAGTCTGAAAGTGTAGTTATGGGATCAGGTGCCTAGAATTTTACCTGCACATAATAAAGCAGTATGTTCCACATGGCGAGCAGAGGAGATCGAAACCTTCCCCCATTCACTAAGCACTGTACTCACCCTTGCTACCCCTCTAGTGGCACTCCATAGGAATAGCAGGTGTAACTCTGCATAGCTTTTCCGGCACAGACTGTACCGGCTCCCTTGCAGTGGTTGGAGATTCTGATCCTACCCAACAGTACTGTGAGAAAGCAGGTATGCTGGTCTAAGCACTGGGGTGATGCACACTGAAAGCACTACACAGCCACAACCTCCAGGTACCATTGGCTGGAAAATGTTAGCAGTGGTGAAAAGGCAAATGGTTTGAAACAAGGTCAAATGTGGTGAAAAGGTATAGCTAAGATGGGGAATAGGACTGTGTGACAGGTGTACAACATGGACGGATAAGGAATGGGAAAGGGATATGGCTTTGGTAGGTTTTTATAAACCTCAGAGCCATCATATGTGTAATGTAATACACTCTCCGCTCTGACTGTTTTGCGTTCTGAAGAAAAAATGTTTGGTTCCCAACGTTGTTCCAAGCTTTTAAGGAAATACCCAGGACGTACCTGAAAACGAGAGAAATCTCAACGTATCCTTCCTGGTAAAATAGTTTATTAAAAAAATAAAATGTGGCAAACCCTGTACTACAATGCCAGTTTATGCAACATCCTTTTCTTACTACGTAACTTGCTCAACAAAAAGATGTGAGAACTCCAGGCACAATCTTAACCAAGATCTGTGATATTAATGAAAAGCAGCATATTGTGTGTGCAAATGATACGGCAGATAAGTTTACTCTATCTATTCGGCACAACCAAAAGGTTTTAATGGCATCTCAGCAAATCTAGACACATAATGACACAGGTTAAATTTCACCATATGAAAACCCAGGCTGATGGCAGACTTCTAGAGTTCTAGCAACATAACCATGAAAACAAGCTCTAGTGGTGACCCTTTAAATTGTACTACAGTTTAAGAACACCCAGGTGCACGTTTTGAAGAAAACACCGGCAAACAAACAGTAAAGCACACCTGGTTAAGAACGAACATCTTACTATCTACATATTTAGGTCAGGCTGCCCATATACTATGCCAATCACAGACAAACTACTGGTTAGGAAACGTCAGTTATAATAGAAGAGATAAGTCTGTTACACAGGAGAGCTCCAGCAATGCAGAGGTCAACAGGCCACAATATATGCACCCTAATTTTATTATCAATGCTAAAGGCTTACTATAAACACTAGCGTGACCATTTGTGTAGATGATGTGTGAAGAAGACATTCAGCGAATTAAAAATGTAGATGAAGAAAAAGAAAAGATCATAAGATCCCAGGCTCAAACATGGGGAGTCAGACAAATTTAACACCAAACGTGGAAAATTTTAAGTAAAATATAAATTATATATAATAATACTTAAAACAACAAAGACAGCCTCCCAAGATCGTTACCCCAAAAGACGACCTTAACAATATATGGAGAAAACCAGAAAACAACTGTTCGGGATACGGCTGTATAAATCTACAAAGGGACATAAAATTAAATATAGTGTGATACAGTAACACAATTGTGTGCAAAAATGAGTACACTCACTAGATGGAGAAGAGTAAAAGCCTTTTAAAGGCTTTAGGTGTTTGGGGATCGAGAGTGTCTTGCCTTTCTGGCGAGGGGAAAATAGGATCCAGAGACTAGCCCAGAGGGAGACCTTCTGGATTCATAGACTTCACACCCTAAAGCCTAAAAGGTCTCAATAAAGACATTGATCTGGCTTGTTTTTTGGATCGATTTGATTTTTTTTCTTCCCTCTTTTTTTTATTTCATGTATTTATCATTTACTACTTGAAGAATCTCTGATGTTCATTAAATATAAACAGATCAGCAAAATCTGTAATTTTCTACATCTCTGAAATATAGGTATGTGTGCTTCTCCAAATTTTGGAGTTCTTTCTATTTAGGGACAATATATTTATATTCACGAAATTTCTTTGCATTAACTTTATCTTATGTAGTTTGTCATTTTAAATGACTGCTGTCACTTTAAGATTATCGAATGTTACCTTACTAGGAGACATTTAAAATGAAGTTTATTTATGATCATTGTTTCTCTTTATGTCAAACCCTGGTGTCTTATAAGTGAAAGGAACACTATAGTCCCCTAAATTACTTTAGCTAAATAAAGCAGTTTTAGTGTATAGATCATTCCCCTGCAATTTCACTGCTCAATTCACTGTCATTTAGGAGTTAAATCACTTTGTTTCTGTTTATGCAGCCCTAGCCACACCTCCCCTGGCTATGATTGACAGAGCCTGCATGATGTAATTTACCTTAAATAATTGTATCTCAATCTCTAAATTGAACTTTAATCACATACAGAAGGCTCTTGCAGGGTCTAGCAAGCTATTAACATACCAGGGAATAAGAAAATCTTAATTAAACAGAACTTGCAATAAAGAAAGCCTAAATAGGGCTCTCTTTACAGGAAGTGTTTATGGAAGGCTGTGCAAGTTACATGCAGGGAGGTGTGACTAGGGTTCATAAACAAAGGGATCTAACTCCTAAATGGCAGAGATTGAGCAGTGAGGCTAGAGGGGCATGTTCTATACACCAAAACTGCTTCATTAAGCTAAAGTTGTTCAGGTGACTATAGTGTCCCTTGAATGTTTGGGTTTCATGTTACTAACATGTATCTCCCCAGAAGAGCCCTGATCAGTTTTAATTTGTTGTCCACCCGGTTGCCTTGACTACCGGGGGGATGCGCTTTTGACACGCATCTTGGAACATGGAAGTAATTTGCTACAACACTTCCGGTTATGGGGTTCCGGTCACCTGAAAAAGCGCCAATTTCATCATAACACTGATCTGAGAACAGGGCGCATTATTGCACCAATGAAAAGAGAAGAGAATAACGCCCACTGGATCCACCAATGGACTTAGGGATTAGCCCTATTTAAAGGGACTTTGGGAGCGGGTTTTAATACGATAGGTTTGTTTTTTACATGGTTTTAATATTTGCAATCCCTGAGGAAGTTCGTCTAGAACGAAACGCGTGGGACCTTTTGCCGCTTCCTGTATCCTATGCTTAAAGGGTGACTGCTAACTTTTTTACTAAATAAATCCGTTGTTTTTTTTAACCCCTTACTTGTTGAAGTCCTGTGTTGGATCTACTGCTTGGAGGTGGAAAGAGGGATTCTCCGCCCCCCATAACTTCGGGGGAGGCACCCTAAGAGAAATTTTACTTGTCTCCATCTAGTGAGTGTACTCATTTTTGCACACAATTCTGTGTTACTGTATCACACTATATTTTATTTTATGTCCCTTTGTAGATTTATACAGTTATATCCCGAACAGTTGTTTTCTGGTTTTCTCAAACATGGGGAGTATTTACAAAACAATGAATCGTAGGGAATTAAAAACCAAACTGGATAATGTAGGCACAAAATGTGATTTGAACAAATTCTCCAACTAGACTATATTAACAGTGTGAGTCTCTGAAAATGTGCATTGGGGTTTTCAAGTCACTACATTAAAAAGGTACTTGGTTAAACCCTCTACTGGAGGGGAAGGGGCAATCTACACTTACAATTCATAACCAACTAGTGTACATACAGTAGTTAGATCAGTTACACACTATATGGCAGCTGTACATCACTACCATCATTTCTTAACCCATTATGCACATAAAGTCATTATGTACTAGGTATTTGGAATAACTAGTCAAGTCTCTTTGCTGCACAGGCAATCCAATTCTGATCTTATGTAGTTCTAGCAATGAGAAGCTTTCCAAAAATAGATGGTGCTCTGAAAAACGAGACCTCGGCAGGGGATTTACAGAGGCAACTGCCCAATTCCTGTGTCTGGAAAAAGCTAAACAACTACTGGAATAACTTAACAGTTGCACATTCTCTTTAAGACTCAAAATCAAACTTCAAGCACAATTGAAATTAGAAACCCGTTTTTCAGGAGATGCAGAAAATTAAAATAAATAAAAATGTAAATTGTGCTAGGCAACACACATTTGAATGATTTTAATTTGTGCAAAACATAGTTATAACAACCTTTTTGTTGTAGCATATAGACTTCAAACTAATAAGTCAGGATTCTGTAAATGAGCAGCAAACATTGAGCCTTATTTTCCAGGTGATACGTTATTGTAAGTACATTGGGGCAGGATACACCTAAACAAACGTACATTGGGGCAGGATACACCTAAACAAAAAACGTACATTGGGGCAGGATACACCTAAACAAACGTACATTGGGGCAGGATACACCTAAACAAAACGTACATTGGGGCAGGATACACCTAAACAAAACGTACATTGGGGCAGGATACACCTAAACAAAACGTACATTGGGGCAGGATACACCTAAACAAAACGTACATTGTGGCAGGATACACCTAAACAAAACGTACATTGGGGCAGGATACACCTAAGCAACTGGAATGCCTGGAAAAGCTGTCAGGATGGTGACAGCTATTCTAGTATAATACACTTTATGTAACTGGCAAAAGTGTAATAAAAACAAACATCTATGGGTCATCATGGTCTTCCCATTTTAATTTAACCCAGCACCAACCTTTCTGAGCTTCGAGTCTGTACATGCATGAATGCACACAACTGAAATATCTGATTTATTATCTAGTTAGAAAATAATCATACCCAGTCACACCACAGAACTGCTTTTATTGTTGGTGAACACAGGCTATGGGATCCAATCCAGTATCTGCAGTCTCAACATTTAAATCCAGTTTGTTAAACTCTGACCTGAGCTACAGAATCAGCAATACAAACAATGGACAGGACTCCCAGTGAAAGGGACAATCCCAGTAGGGGAGAGAAGAGAAAGAAAAAAAAAAAAAAAAGCGACACCTCTCTTACTCTAACTTTTCACAAGGTTACACAACACAGAAGCCAATTAGGGAATCCCTCTACATCATCCAAAATTGTAATTTAATATATTCCCATGAACCATCTGAAGTTCTTTTGTGGTTACGAGGTTACTGTAGTAACAGAGCCCAAATTCTGTAAGGGAACCAACTGGTTATTTTAGTTACAGAGAACCACAGAGGGGTCAAGTGGGTAAGGAATACCATGTCTGTGTAACCTTGAACACATAAGGGTGGCTTCTATTTAGCTGATGTGTGTGTCTATACTTGCACTGAGCGATGCAGAGAGACATTTAACCCTGTACTAGGTTTCAGTGTGCGATTTGAGACATTTTTATCTTTTAGGAGAGGACAAACATAGTACATCCCCCTTTAGCTGCTAATGTGTTAGACCAGAGGCAACCAACTTTACGAAGTATAGCTCACCTCCATGGGAATACTTAAAATCCTACTTTGATTAACTGCTAATTGTAGACACTACCCAGCAGGTTTAGGCCTCAAGGAACACATTTTACCCTTCCTAGTTTGGTAGATTATATCTGGAAATCTCCACCATCAGAACACTTCTACTGAATGCTGACAAGTGAAAACACACACTAGATTCAAACAATGGCGGATTCTAATTTTATGAAACAAACTTTAATACAATGAAGATAAAATAGTTTAATTGGTATTAAAACCTAGTAGATGTTATGTACAAGTCGGTGGCTTTTGCAAGAGATGCACAATAAAAAGTAGGCAATGTAATCACTGTGAGAATACAGAAAATTACCCACGTGTGTATGAACAAAAGTACTCACAGGAACATGCTCCAACACAAGTATACATCAAACATGTACATTTTTTTTGTTGGTACCATAACAACCTATGCTCGAATACCTCATATGTTGTTACACCTTGTCCCTCTGTCGATCCTTACACTGGCTTCCTGTATCCTATAGGTGCCAATTCAAAATACTAACCCTTACCTATAAAGCTCTAACCAACTCTAGCCCCTGTTACATTTCTTCACCGATTCATAGATATGCCCCTTCTCCGTCTCTCCGGGTGACCTCCTATCCGCTGGTCGCAACAATACTGCTAACTCGTGCTTGCAGGAGATTTCACAGGTGGCTCCCTTCCTTTGGAACAGCCTGCCTACCACCATCAGACTCTCCCCTAGACTTCCATTGTTTAGGTCCCTCAAAGCACATCTGTTCAGAAATGCTTATAGACTCCCAGAGTAACTTATCTTTACTTATCCATATCTGTCTCTTGCTCTCCTAAAGAGCCACACTCCACTCACCTCCAGCTCTGCTACTTTTCCACCTAGTTTGGTGGCTGTCACCTTGCTGCCCTGTTGTGTATTTGTACCCCACCTCCTCTAGACTGTAAGCTCATTTGAGCAGGGCCCTCATCTACCCATTGTTCCTGTGTCACTGAGTAAATGTCTCAGTTATAGTAAATGTCCCCCTTTCATAATGTTGTAAAGCTTGCGGAATTAGGTGGTGCTATATAAAGACCAATAATAATTTAAAATGAGGGAGGAAAAACTTGGAATTCCAATGACTCCCAGAGCATTTTGTATTTACACAGCAGTTGACGAAAAACCAAACAAGAATTTGTGAAATATACAAAATTGCCACAATAACGGATTTTCCTATGTTTTTAATACATCTGTGCCACTTTAGAACAAATATTTCCTTATCATTTTATAACTTTGCAATTGTTACAGAATAGCTTTCATTTAGAAGAATTAAAAAAAAAAAAAAAAAGTGTCAACCCTTAAAATAGATTAGTACGTAGTATTATTCTGTCTGTATTTAATAAACACGTACCGGAACGGGTGTCCTTCATCTGATTTCTGGATTGCTTGAAGCACGCCCTTGTATATTCTAAAACTGATGGTAACTGAAAGCAGGGCCAAGGCGATGTATGCAATCACACTGACAATGCTGAAAACGGTGAGAGAAAGGAGCAGGAACAGGCTGGCACCAAATACCGCTCCTGACTTCTTAATGTCCCGCCAGTAGAGAAGATCAACCACTAGCAAGTGAGAAAGAAATAAATACATTCAGTGCGAGCATAGTGTCACACATACATCCGTATGATTAGCAATTTATAGTCATGCGATGATTTAATAGGCCATAATGCACAACTGAGCTGTGGAAAGTAGTCGTTTTAAACACATTTCAACAGTTTTGACAAAAAAAAAGGAAAAATGCACCCCTCTTATTTCCAGTGTGCATAATCAAAGCTTTTGATGGAGCCCAACACATTATTCTACATATTTCTGATATTGTACACAATGTTTTGTTTAAAACAGATACTTCCAAAACATTCATAAGGGGACACTTAATGCCATAAGAATAACAAAATAAAAAAAAATAAAGGGGAGGCACCGTGTAAAGTCTCTGATGACTCCATTATCAAGGTATTGCTTCCATTTGCAGGAAATAAAGGTTGTAGTCATGGGACACATTTCAATAGGCTGAGAGGATTTGATGCCATGACAACAGGGGGGGAGCATCCGTTGTAGGCAAGACATTCTACAAATGAATGCATACGACATCTCTACAGCAAAACTTACACTTTTTAACATTCAGCATCATATAGTTGATTGTTACAACTTTTACTTGCCCAACTCGCTAAATTGCTTAGTCGAGGTTTGCTGAACTCTAATTTTAATTAAAAAACATGATAAAACAGTCACACATTAATAATGAGCCATGTATACCAGGTAATCCTCTAAATACGTTCCCGGCTGCCTTTCCTAAAGTATAAAAGCTTTACAAAGACAAGTTATACACTATATGGGTTTAATATCAGTTGTTCCCAGATAAACACACCACATCTGTCCTCTTGAACTGTAGTAGACTAGGAGTTCCAGGTAAAATCAAGCAATCCTTGTCCTTACCGTATTCAACCATGTATGGTATATATGTAACAAGATAAGTAAAGCCATAGAGCTGTTAACCACCTTGAATAAAACTAGTGTTATGCCAAGTTACCCGTGGTACGTTTAATTTGCTACTAAATATGGTTTAGTTCACACAGCGAGATAAACACTGCAAAGACTCATGCTACAATATCGCTCTGAGAGAATGCCAAACATGAACAAAATACCAAAAAGTATAAAGAGCAATATCTGGTGATCATCTGCAGTCAGAGAATAAGATTCCTTTACAGCAATACTTCAAGACAAGACTGGATAACGGTTTAAATCTACCTCCTCCTATGACAGTCTTGAATTTACAATTACTATAAAAACCAATAGAAGCTACATTGATGGACAGGTACTACTTTTCAATAGCATATCCCGGATAATGATACTCTCTCCTACTCCTATATGTAAACACCACACACACACACACACACGCTTTATTAGGATTAACAGTACAAAGGAAACAAACCACCCCAATTTTTTTTTCCAGACCCCTTACAATTTATAAAAGTACTATGGGTTTCTAGGGCTGCATTAACACAGGCTGTGCAGATAGAATGAATAGGACATGTATTCGATTACATGTATTTAATTTTAGGACGTGTGTGTTAAGACTGCATGTACAAAGTGTGTTCCAATTTATTTAGCCTGCCAAGAAGATTTTATTCGTCAAGGGAAGAGGGACACACTATAGGTAAAGAAATAATGACCCAACGGAGGTTATATTATTCACACATGCAAGTGTCACAAAATGATGTAATTATCTTGTTTTAATGGGCAAAGTTGCAGTGACAAGATCAAGAGGTTGACATGATCAGATAGATCCATAAAAGAGCCAGCTAATGAACATAATCCACTAACCACAACTTCTATTGACACTAAAATATAGTAAAATGTAAGTGTTGGGTGTACAGTACATTCAAAATGCATCTCAACTAGTTCCTCATACATATCACCTGATGGGAAAAAATAAATAGTCTTACTGAAGTCAAAGGAGAGAAGAAGAAAATAAAATACCAAAAAATAAATAAATAAAAAGAGAGGGGGGTGGGAGGGGGATAAGAAATGGCACACCTACTTTTAAAGGTTAAGTCAATTGTGAGCCTCAGACTAAGCCAATAATATAAAATTGTTTTATATAAAAATCTATTAGTGCTTGCTTTGCCAACTCCATAATATACAAACGACATGAAGGAGGTTAAGAGTCGGAGTTAGTAACACTATTTAAAGTATAATGCCAGTTTAGTTTCAATATGAAATAAACATATTCTAAGTAAACTGAATTGTGCAGCTATGCCCACAATAGCCATAATAAAATAGCCCATTGCATGCTGAGTGTACTGCTGATATAGATGGCTGTGACACAGCAAGAATGAATGAAGTCAGCAGATTTTGTTACAGGCCATGGGGTATTATCATATTATCGGATGGAATGTCCACCATTAAAGACAGGCAGGAGAAAGGATTCCATCTATCACTGCCCCGCGCCTCCTGCAAACTATGCACTCCTAATTCCTCTGGCATAATTATTTTAGAAACTTTACGTTCATCTCCATACACGGAAAAATAACTATATTGTTCAGAATGTGTGTAATTAATGGGACACTATAGGTACCCATACCACATCACCTCTGGGTGCACCGTTTTTGTCCCTCTAACCCTGCAGATATATACACGCTTCCTGCCGTTTCAAGGAGTTTAACATCCAGCGTCTTATAAATCCCCATAGGAAAGAATTGATTCGGTGTTTTCCAATGGGGAAGGCCTAATGCGTGAGACAGGAGATGGAGCCAGCACCGAATGACTTCAGAACTAGAATAAGGTTTTTTTTTTTACTTTTAACGGCTTTAGTGTTATAGGGTGATTTTCATTCACCACTTTTATTATATTTTATGCTTGCAATGAAAGTCAGAGCTGCGGATAATTTTTATTACGGACTCTTGATAAGAACACAGGTACAAGTTCGGCATAGCTTCACATAAGGAATTATGGAAAAAGTACAACAGGAAATTAAGGACATGAAGTGATGAGCTTGCAAACCAAAATCCAGCTGATGTGTGTGGGTGGGGTTCTGAGGGGGTGCATCTTAGACTGAGTGACAGCTAGCCTTTCACAGTTGGATGTGATTTCCTATACTGTATACAGGGTACAAAGACTGTCCATACCATACATTACAAGGGGTCTAGCTGAACATTACCAGTCAGCTTTACAGACAAGATTCGCCATTTGTAATCACTGACATAGATACAACAGTGGTCACAAAGTTATTTTAATTGGTCACATAAGGGAAGGGAAAAGAGCAAATAGTGCTACAGAAGTAACATTATATAATTTGATCCTAGTCTATTAAATCCATACCTCTCCTTTTCACTCTACTTGAACACAGTGATGGAATGTCCTGTTTAGAGTGGTAAGCGATGATGGGATTAAATAAACCAATTGCCATGCTATGTCTAGATTTTAAATATCCACATCATGAAAGCAGTTACTGAGCAGGAGACCGTATTATATAAAATTACAGTTTTCTATAGAGGGAGCTTTATTTAAGGTTTTAAATAGAACTTATTCACAAGAAAAAGCTTTAGTAATTAAGAATCCAAAATAAACCATGAAAATGACTTAAAAGTGTTAAAACCATTTTAAAAAATGTAGACCAATGCATTTGTAGTTATTTTTTTAGGTTGCAAGTGGCCATACCAAATCTACCAAGGGTGGAAGCCCATAAACGATCGGTTATGGTCCTAAACGACATATCCTATAGAACTTGATTAACACCCAGTAAACCAGCATGCTCCTTGTAAATAAAAGGCATTTCTCTCAGCAGGAACAAGGTGAGCTTCTTAGGCATTTAGATGAAAATGATAAACACAGCTACAGTCTTTCAGAAAAAGGCCATTAAAATCAGCTGTCTGGGCCAGCGGTTTCACACATGTCCCCCTCCCCCTACATCTTTCATTCATCCTGTTACATTGGTTACTCCATTGCTTCTCAAGCACATGGCTTAGAAGGCTGGATAATCAGCCATTGAGGGCAGGGAGGACTGCTGTTGATCTCCTTCCAGCTGTTCTAGAACTACAACTCCCGTGTTACTTTGCCAGCCTTGGTAAAGCTGGTATTTAGTCCTACAACAGCTGGAATGCCAAGTGTTCCTTATTCTTGGTTTAGAAGTAAAACAAACAAAAGAGGAGATAAAAGTACATAATAAATTGGAAGGTCACTGCAAATCGTGTTCAAAAACTGGAAAAAATATATATATATATTACACTGCCAATCTGCTTGCCAGTATACCACAGGTTTAAAAAGTTTGATAAAAGAAAATTCACATTTCTAATTTCAATTTCACATGAAACAAAACGGACTTTAAATCAAGAGGCTGCAGCTGCTGACATTTGGTAAGCAAGCACAGAGTGGCATCTGCTAGGGCTAAATATAGCAGCTGAAGCATCTTATGCCTTACATGTAAAGCTCTGCTAGTGGGAAACCGGCAGCTACTAAACCCTTTCCATCAAACCACGAATCACAAAAAAACTTAACAGAACTACACGCAACAATTTAAAAAAACAAACGGCTTAAATGGCTAAAATACTGCACATTTCAAAATGAGAGACACATTTCTAGATAGGAGCTTGCAAAGACAAATAACATAGAAACGTGTCTAGCCACCATTCCCAATGCAGAGAGACGCACAGATTAACACTGACCGGTTTTGGAATCCATCCTGAGCCTGCTTGCTTGCTCTCAGACCTTGCACAGCTGATAAAGTGGAGCTCTGTTCACTTCCTGCAGGAGCATGCAGGGGGTCAGAGCCAGACGTAATTGCCTGCTGGTGACTCAGCCATGCATTAGACACGCCTCTCCGCCCAGACTGACAGACTCAATGCCAGAGCTGGGGGAACAGCACAGCCATGTCACAATCAATCTTCAATTCCACATGAAAAAGCATCTGCCTGACTCAGACTTGCAATCCATTCACTCACCATGTAAATGGGATTCTACAGGAAACACTAGCCCAATCACTCCAGCATTTCTACAAGAAACCTTGCCTGTTTGTGCTGGGGTGTAGCTTATCAGAGAACAAGGGTTCTGCCAAGGCTACAATCATTTTTATCCAAGTTAAATGGTCACTATAGTCACCAGAACCACTACAGCTTATTGTAGTGGTTCTGGTGTTTATAGCCTGTAAATCAAGCATGTCAAACTCTTAGGCTAGCACGGGCCATATAAACAAGGTTTAAGTTTGTGTGACCGGCAAAAAAAAACAAAAAAACCCCTTACATTTTCATAGAAATGTAGGTTTGTTTTGAAAAGTTTGTTTTGAAAAGTACAGTATTAAAATAAATAAAAAATAAAAAAAACAGCATCCCCTTTTCTAAACCCCATTCCCCTCCCCCATGCTAAATCCCAGCCCTTGTTTTAAAAAAAAAAAAAAATTATACTAAATTAATATTAATAATAATAATAATAATAATAATAATAATAATAATAATAATAATAATCAAGAGGACTCCAAATCACATTGCCGCTGCCAGTATGCGACTCCGGAATCCAGCCTCAATGGCGCCATCCGCATCCTGTGCCAAACGGATCCTCCTGCTATTCCTTGAAAACCTGTGAACGTGGAGTACGTTGACGTCACGTCAGAATGTGACATGGCGTTGCGTGCCTCCGTGCACCTCCGGGTCCTCCACTGTCCAGCCGCGGCCATCGCAACACTGACAGACACACACTGACATTTTATTCATTGCTCCCTACCTTTGGGAGCTGGTGTGGGGCCTCTCCTTGATCTTTCGGGAGCGCAGTCTTCCAGCTCCCTTATTTGCGCAATTTAGTAATGCCGGAATGACGTCATATTCTGGCACCCGGCATCACTACAGAGGGCGCAGGAAGTCTGAGCTCCCTCGCAGCCACCAGGGACCTCTCCTTTCCAGCCAGGTAATTTTGGCAGAGTAGACAACTGCAATGTGGGAAAAGCAGGTGCCTACTCTGCTTTAGTAAGCATGGCAAACTCGCGGCACGCCATTGCACAAAAATATTCATTGTGGGTCGCATGCAGCCTACGAGTTTGACATGCTTGCTGTAAATGCTGCCTTTTCAGTGTTTATATTGATGCCTACAAGCACCTTTAGGTGCAGTCACTCAGTTGGCCACTAGAGCAGCTTTCTGGTCCAGTGCTGCACAGTGCGTTCAGCATCTCCACACTCTGCATTGATTCAATGTATCTCTTTGAGGAGATGCAGATTGGTGCAGCAAAGCGTTTTGCTGCTCTGACGGACCGCTGGCACTCCGACCGAGTACCCCCGCCAATCGATGCTCCTAGTGCTTGCCGAGGACTCCAAGCACTCCAACCAACACCATCCGCACAGCAGACCACACTTCCAGCAATGCAGCTGCGCCGTGGTCTCGCCGTCTCTCACCCACCTTGGATCCAAGGCCGGGATCCAGCTTCCAATGGGTGAACCTCTCCTAAATCCAGAGAGCAGGAACAAGCTCTTACAGGATCTTATACTCAGGGGAGTATTGTGATATAGCAATCCCCAAGAGTGTAGTTATCCCATCCCCCATGCATGAGCCAAGGCTTCAAGAAAGGGTCAAGTAGTTCTGTTTAATGCAAGCCAGCACTTACAATTTATACAAACATTTTAAACCCCCAACAGCCTCATTTACATACAATAGGTTACATAGATTACTATAGTACAAGGAAAGGTGGGGTCAGACAATAGCAAGGGCTGATGGTAGATTGAGGAGGGACAGAGCAGCTAGTTTAAACTGATCTCGCAGTGTCCCTGGGACAACACCCCTGTTGGGGAAACAATAGGACAGGAAAAAGGGGTAGGGGGAAGAGGCACAGATAAGCAATACATTCAACATACTCCTCCTCTGTGTCTGAGAGATAATCGATTATCTTCAGGTACAGAAAAAAAACAATTTACAAACACCCCAAAAGTACCCCCAAGATCCATGGAAACCCCACAAGAGTCACATCCTCTGATAGCCCTGATCTGAGTGATCAACATATCCAAAAAACACTCAGATCGGTACAGTGGTTTGTTTTTTCCCTGGCAAGCAGGCCTCTCCAAGTACAAGTGGCGATGTTAATTTTGCCACAGCTGCACATTGACACTAGCCTCGCAGTATTAGGGCACCCACATAGTAGATTCTAATAAAGTATAGAACTACAACTCACCTTGATGGCCTATATAATGGGTAATCTGGGTATCTACCTTTCAGGCGCTCCTGCACTAAGGAAAACTCAAGATGGGTAACTTTTAAAGAATAAGCACCATAACTACAGAACGCTGGAGCCCTCCTAGAGCAATTTTCCAAACCACTTCATAATGGTATTTTTATTAAATATAGACAAGTAAAAAAAAAAATTATTGCTTAACATCTAATATAGCACTATAAAGATTAGCTTTATTCAGATTTGAATGCAATACGGTTACTGGCCCACATACCTGCAATCATTGGGAAGTCAGAAATTGGAACAGGGGGTGACTGTGCTAGTAACAACCGCAGAACACTGTAAGTCAACCAAAAGGGTTCTATTTTAAAAAAAAATGTAAAGATGAGATGAAGTTGTCTGGGTGCCTATAGTGTCCCTTTAATGACAGGTGCACTGTAAATATTTTAATCAAAGAAGGGGAAAGAGTGTATACAAGGGCATATAGTAGGTCTGAAATGCAACAAAGATATTGTCCCCTGCCAAAGTATTGTAAATGGGCTGATTAGATAAGCAGTAATAGTTGAACATAATGCAGCAATCAGAGGACCTTTGTCTTGGGCCTTGGAGACTAGTGTTGAAATAAAGCCAAGAGCCTTTGTCTTGTTAATGTTAGATATTTTCTATGTGTAATTTAAACCAGTATTTCTTTTATATAATGCGTGGGTTTGTTTGTGTTTTTTTTAAAGGACTAATCCTACTAATCTAATAATAGAACACCTGCTGTAAATAAATGACTTTTAATCTGATAGGACATCTCTATAGTGTATAAAGATGACACACACATACCATCATCCACTCCAAGGGTCTTCTAGATTTTAAACAAAGGAGAGGGCCAATCAAGTAATGTCAGAGATAAAACATGGTGGGTGTAATATACCAAACTGTAAGTGGATGCTGCCTCTAGAAGAAGAAGAAGAAGAAGAAAAAAAAAAAAAGTCATCCCCAAATAGATCCTCCAGAAACAAACCCAGAACACCAGAGGGCGCCAGTCACCAAACAAATAGATCCTCCAGAAACATAACCATAACACCAGAGGGCGCCAGATGCCAAGCAATAAATAATGTAATCCATAGATACCAATTATTTCAAGTATCAATTGTCATATGTGAGAAAATCTTACATATAATGAGATCATGGCACAATACATTTTTTCCAAATATTTTTTCCAAATATAGAAACAGAAGAAAACCACTGTGCACTTTTGTCTTTAGATGCCAATTATTTATTTTGAATGCAACCATTTTGCATTTGTTAAAGTGTAAAACAAAAATGCTTTATGAACTGAAAGTTTTGACTGTAAGTGTGTGAGAGAAGATGTACTATTGTCTATTATAAAGGGTACACACGCTAATCCATACAGGATACGTCAAAGCAGGTACATAAGAAATACATGCAGATTGGTTAAAAAGAAGGATGGAGTGTGTGCACATTAATTCTTTCAGGGCTTTGTACAGCACTGTTCCAGTGCTGCAAACCTATGGCTCAGGGCTGGGTACATCACTGAAACCAATTGGTACTCCATCTAGAAATATGGGAGCTTGTAGGCTACAATCCTGACAAGAATAGAGATTGGAACAAGGACTACAGTGTACTTCAGACTGGGAGTGTGCCCTGATATTGTATCCCAAACACTAAAGCATACACATACTTACTTTATACCACTACCAATGAAAATAATGTATGTCGTTAACAGCTGTGTAACCTAGAAGGCACACAGATGTACCCATGTGCATATCACAGGTTTTTGTGCCATGCAGCCCAGACACACTCAGGAACACCAGTTATCAGATAAGGAGAAGCTTTGAGTTAACTAGTTTGTCAGTACATTAAAGGGACGCTAGTCACCACAACCACTACAGCTTAGTGGTTCTGGCATCTAAATCCTGTCCCCACAGCCTTAGCATTTTAGGAGAAAAGGCTGTGTTTTTATTGCTGATTAGTTACATCTCTAGTGGCAGTCACTCAGATGGCCACTCAGAGGTGCATGCTAGTTCATTCAGCACCTACCTTCAGTGTCTCCATGCGCTGTGTGGAGACGCTGTATTCTCCCTATAGAGGTATATTGATTCAATGCATCTCTGAGGAGATGCTGGTTGGCACAGCACAGCGTTTTGCTGCGCATGCTCAATAGCCTCCCATTGCTTTCCTATGTTAAATCATTGGATTCACTCCAGCACTATAGTGTCAGAAATACGTGTGATTAAAAGCTTAGCAAGTTGTTTGGATTTATAGAACATACCCCAGTAGTCTCACTGCTCAATTCTTTGCCATTTAGGAGTGAACTCACTTTTGTTTGTTTGTTTACAGCGCTAGCCATACCTCACTGGATATGACTGACACAACCTGCATGAAAAAGTGGTTTCATTTTCCATTACACATTACTTTGCTTTAGACTTTCTCCTGCTCTGTAAATTGAATTTTAATGACAACAAGGTGGCTCCCTGTAGGCTCTAGCAGGAGATACATTCTAGATTAAGCAGGCCATTCAATACAGAAAATATTTAGGCTGGGTCCCAGGAAGTGTTTTTTACTCCTAGAAGAATAACAGCAGTGAGACTGTAGGGGCATGATCAATAAACCAATAAACTAAAAAGTCATTTTGCTGCCTAGTGTCCTTTAATAAGACAATGCTATTGATGTTAATGCATTTACTGCAGATCCGCATGCATTAAACTCATAGCATATTAAGTAGTGCGAGATCTGAGCTTATCTCGTAGGCAATGCATATCAATGCTTTTTGGAAAGAGAATTGGTTTGGGGGAGAAATAGCTCAGTTGTCAGCTTTCTACTGTAAGACAGATAAACTAGTCCCCATTACCATATAATGTGCAGATTCTTAGGAGAGAGAAAAAAAAAAAAAATAAACACTGTAGGATGAAATGTACGGCTGTACTATAGGAGCTAAATATTTTAAATTAAAATAAATATATACACACACACATTATATATATATATATATATATATATATATATATATATATATATATATATATATATATATATATATATACACACACACACACACACACACACACACACACACACACACATATATACATACACACATATATACATACACACACACACACACATATACATACACACTTTTTTAAATATAGCAGAATGTGTGGGTACATTTGTTTAATATAAATTTAGATAAAGTATTAAGGGAGAGTATGTCAGCTTACTCTACAAGAATGGGAGGGGAGGGGAGACTTTACGGATACAGGACAATGCAGCAGCATTATATGATAAAGGAGATGAAGCCATCACATATTTTTTGATTTACGCTCTTAGATTTTCTCTTTACTTTAGTTTTATTTATTTTTTGATTATTCCTCAATTTTTTTTTCTATATATACACACCCTCTTAACCTTTATTTTGGTATTGTACTTCACTATTTAGAAGGAAGGGACTAGCAACTACAAATAAAGTTGATGGCTGGCTAGATTTTATGAGGGGTGCCCCCAAAGGCACAGTAGGCATTGCGTACAGCACTTCGCCTCTTTATAATATTCCCCCCTTATCTGTGTTTGCTGCAAAAGTTCAACTGATATAGATTTGAAATGTTTTTGTATCTATTTAATTTGAACCAAATGGATTACATTTTGATTTTGGCTGACAAACCTATCATTTTAGTAGCTTACTCTTATTCACAGGATACAATGTTATCAGATTGCTGGTAGCAAAGATGGGTTGTTACTAACCAGCTTTTGCACTATTTCTTTTCAATGTAAAAAAAAGAAAAAGAAAAAAAAACCCACAACAACAGACAGGTTATTTATTTGGTTCTAGTTAATTTACTCCTACCATTAGTTTATACTTATCGTGTTTATGATCCTTTTTTTTTGTCTCTTCATGTAGGAACTTTTATGTATATATATTTGTAGGTTTCACTTTTTTTATGCAATTAATAAAATGCTAAGTTTTAAAAATGGGTTACTCACGTCTATAAAAAGAGTTTTCACTTTTCCTTTTTTTTTTCCTCCAGTCTCCTGGTATTTGAAGGTACATTTGTTTAATTTTAAATAAAAACACACAGCACACCTAACCAACACATTGCATCTAACATTTGGAGAGGTTTGGCCCCTAAGATTGAGAGCAAAGCTTTTCTGAGGTCTGCGATTACTAGAATTAGGCTGGCCCATACACCAAGAAGATATTTATTCGACAGCAGTTACTCCAATGAAGAATTTGATTTAATCTGCATAAAGGATATAAATTAGATAGGCTGTTAAACATTAAACTGTAATAGAGTGCTGTAAAAATTATTAGAGATTAAAACTATGTTGCCACCTTAGGAACTCTGCCATGAAACTGAAGCTTTGGATATACACAATCCATCGCCAATATACATGTAACTGTGACGGAGAAGGCTGTACCTGGCACAGCCAAGAGTACAGCCTTCTCCGTCACAGTTACAAAGTGCAGCTCATAGAAATACAATGAGCCAATTGCTCTGCTACATTCGTAAAACAGCTTGCTCATATCCCAGTGCCTGCATCTTGCTACATAGCACATGGAAATGGGTGAAAGGGTTGTGTTTGTAATATACCATAACAGGCTCAAATAACCTTAACCCAGTACTGAAGCAGGACAAGGGAACATTCTGGAAATTATTGCAGGGAACCGTCTGCTTTCTGATTTCTTAAAAGTATCTTTCTATGTGAGGAGATCAGTTACAAAAGTAGTTGCCAACATGTTTAGAGTGTACCTAATCCCCTGGACCTCAGAATTACCATTTACCTCCTCAACGAAACTATATTGTGGGGGGGGGGTGTGGAGGCGGCACTAAGGCATACCCTCCCCATCAATGCCCCTAACTAAATGTGGGAATGGGGTTCTCATCTACAAAGTTACATAAACCTGGTAAAGTTAAACTGCACTGCTGAATCCACATTCTGAAAATAGGAATAAAAAATAAAACTCTTGTAACCATGAATATAACCTGGCACAATTCGAGAAATACAAATTTACACAGCCCGAGCCTCTGGTGCCTGAACAAATACCAGCCACTCACAGCCACAGACAGGGGGGAGGGAGAGGCAGGAGCTGGCCACCTCTTAAATTTTAAGGAACCCACAGAATATTCATGAAACATGAGCCACACAATCACCCCATCCTTAGCAAGCAACTGAAGGGAGTGTGGCAAGGGACAAAAAACAACCCCTGTTATTACAATATGCCCGTATCATGGAGTGGGTGGAGGCTGCTGACAAGAGTCCAATCAGGGTCATTAAAAGAGATCTAAAGGACTTTTGCAGAATTTGTGAAAACAAAATGGAGATATATTCCACTGGCTAATGCATGCTATTTGTTGCAGCTGCCCAGCTATGCTGAACTCAAAGTAAGCCAGCAGCATTGAGCTGCAGACATGATATAGATTGTAACCAGACTCTAATCACACTGCTATAGAGGAAAAACGATGGAGAATGAACAAACAGAAAATAAAAGATACTTTATCTAAAAGGAAAAAGCAAGCTGTGGTAAAATGAAGCAATGGAACGTGGAGATCTACCTTTCTGCTTCCAGTTGCCCAGCTGACATGCCATCTCCGATAGGTAATCAAAGCTTCCCGCTGGTTAAATAAGTTAGCTCTGTTGCATATCACCAGAGGATTAGAACTAATGTCGTGCTTCAACAAATGAACTATGAACAGGGCAGCAGACTGAACACCCTTTGCTCTACTGCCCAAGGGTCATCTGACTGTCTGATGGGTGTGAAGCCTGTGATGTAATCCAAGCTGTAACCAGGATACTAATACCCCAGGCACTAATTATTCGCTCAAATCTTCTTACTCTAAAGGCTCCAAGGATGTAGCAACCATTTATAGTGAGCTGTAATCTGTGCGTAAACAGAACAGAAATCTAGTGTTTGTTAGTAAGAATAGCTCGTTAAGATCTAGATTTACAGGGATGGTTTAGAGGTTTTCTTCCAATGTACCATAAGCCAGGTATCAATGGCATTCATGGCTGCATCACTAAACTCTTGGTATTCACAGACAGTGCATACATGGTTGTAAATAGTAAACACATTGTTACGGTTTGTCCCAGGTAGTGTAAAGAGCTCTACGTAAACCAGGAGGGGAGGCAGGACACTTGTTTTCCAATGCGGTTACTACTTTTGGCCAGCCAGACATTACTTTCTAAAATGCCTGTAACTACTGTTCGTGACTAGTGCAAGTTTATCGACTAAAATTTTTACAGGTGTGACAGGAAGTGACCAACTGGTGATACTCAAAGCCAGTTTCTAAGTAGAGCATAACCGCATCAATTATTCTATAGGGGAGCAGCTATCGGCTACTTTCCAACGCTGGTTCAAGTTCCACCTCCGCTCCTACCCCATCGGCGTCAGTTGGCAGGGGTGGGGCACCTAATGCGCAGCGATGGCCGCGCTCGCATTGGAACTTTACCCATAGGAAAGTATTGCATAGTTTGATTTAGTATAAGCATGGTTAAACAAGCTTCATTCAGGCTTTATATTTCTTTTTACCTTTTCATCTCATTTGTGAAATGTTATTTTACTTTTTATAAACAATTACAAATTTGTAACTATTATCTCTTTTTTTTTTTTTAAATCTCTTTTTACATAGCAGATAGCACCAAATTAGTAGGTCAATAAAAATAGCTGCAGGAGAGTGACTTTTCATGAAGTACGGACAGGACAAGTATTTGTATGTTGTATTTTGACAGGTTGGATCAGGGCTCAATTTCCACTAGCCATAAGCCTTTGGCAAGTGAAAATGTAACTGTGGAGAGTAGAACTTCAACCCTGTTGACTGACATGGACTCTCCAGGCTTGAATTGGCCAGTCATTTTTAGAGCCTCACCATGACATGACATTTTTAGCCTAGAGTTCCATCTATTTTAAGCACACAGCCGCTTTCGGCACTAGAATTACTGATAAAATGTAAACCAAGAACAAAACTAGATATGCCACAAAACATTGCTAGGTAGGGATTTGTACAACATTCTCAGTAATCTACCCAGAGAACAATGGAAGGACCAGTCTTGACTGGAGAACTCAATGCCGGAAGTGGGACTTGGTGATTTACAGCTACACACAACTACTATCAAAAGGAACACAAAAACACAAATACACCATTTCTTCTCCCCCCCCCCCCTCATATATTACATTTAATTTAAAATCCAAATAAAAACCACAAGAATTATGTAAAATATTCACACACAAAATTGCACCAATCTTCCAAATATCAGACCAAGTCATTTTTCAATTTAAAATGTTTTTTAAAACACTTAAATGTACAGTGCAAATATGGTCTGTAATGTACAAGCTCACAAATATTGTATTGAAAGGAGAGACTGAGATTTAAAAATCTGGCCTTATCTCAGATTGATAGATAAAATAAGTCCTTATCAAACGACCTTGTGGTTAACAGATTACCTGAGTATCTTTCAGCAGTAACCTTACTAGAGTAGGTTTATAGGTGAATGTATTAAGAGGGATTGACCATATACTTCAATAATGCAATCAGCAACTGACATTTGGAAATGGGTGCAGTTGTCAAATATATTCATTGTTATGTTTTGACAAAGTTCAGAGGTTGTTTTTTTTTTGTTTTTTTAATTAACAAAAAAGGGATTCATTTGCTAGCAAAACTCGTGTCATTCAGGACAGTTGTTGCAGAATGTTTATATTTATTGTAACAGGAAAAGTGTTCATATAACAATGAGCTATGATCTTCACAACTGGAAGACTTACACAACACCAGAGGTATTTGTCACTTACAGTTTGTGTGTTTAGGACAGGATAATTTCATGGCTGTTTTTATTACCCAAGGCTCACACTCACTGGTAGGGCAGAGCTTCCATAAACAAAAGAACTGACATCACAGTTCCACTACAACCATTATAACTTAAAGGGACACTATTGTCACCAGAACAACTACAGATTATTGCATTTGTTCTGGTGAGTAGAATCATTCACTTCAGGCTTTTTGCTGTAAACACTGTCTTTTCAGAGAAAATGCAATGTTTGCATTACAGCCTAATGATAACTTCACTGGCCACTTAGATGGCTGCTAGAGCTGCTTCCTATCTCAGTCTGGCCTAGTTTGAATCACAACATTCAGTATCTCCTCCCTCTGCATGCAGACACTGAACTTTCCTCATAGAGATTCATTGATTAAATCCATCTCTATGAGGAGATGATGATTGGCCAGGGCTGTGTTTGACTTGCTGGCTCTGCCTCCTTGACAGTCTCAGCCAAACCTATGGGGAAGCATTGGGATTGGCTCAGAACAACACTTCTGATGATATCAGCAAGTAGCTTGCTGTTCTGAGGCAGACAGAGACAAAACCAGTAGCTCTAGGCTTTAATACAAGTAAGATTTTACTATATTTAGGGAGGCAAGAGGGGGCAAAGGGTTTTAACACTATAGGGTAAGAAATATATGTTTGTATTCCTAACCCTATAGTGCTCCTTTAACATAGGGATTCTGTAGTCCGCACATCACAATCCAATTTACTACAAATGTAAACACTTCAAGGCTGCACTCCTGTACTTCACAGCCAAGATAACAGGAGGAGAGGTGGCTACATAGTCACCTTTATATTGCATAGACATAGGATCAATGTTAATTAAAAGTAAAAATAAAAGACAATGACTCGTTGAATATGTCCACCCTATGTATTTTTTTTATTTTATTTAAAGGAATTGTGTTAAAGGATCACTATAGGGTCAGGAGCACAAACATGTATTCCTGACCCTGTAGTGCTAAACCCACCATTTAGGTGGCTTGCCCCCCCTTAGCTCCCCTATAAAAGTTTAAAACTCACCTTATCTCCAGCGCCGCGCGGGTCTGCCGGCGCTGGCTCCACCCCCATTTGTGACAACATCAAAATGGCCGATTTTTTGCCAATCCAATGCTTTGCATTGGGAAAGCAATGGATTGGCTAATATCGGCACGGAGGCAGGGCCAAGTGCCGTTTTAGCCAATCAGAACCTCCTCATAGAGATGCATTGAACCAATGCATCTCTATGAGGGAAAACTCACCGTCTCCATGCAGAAATGGTGGAAGCCCCTCCAGTAGCCATCTAAGGAGTGGCCACTTGGAGGTGTCCCTAGGGGTAATGTAAAAACTGCCTTTTCTCTGAAAAGGCAGTGTTTACATGAAAATGCCTGAAGGGAGCAAATATACTCACCAGAACAACTACATTAAGCTGTGGTTCTAGTGACTATAGTGTCCCTTTAAGTATGTGAATTTCTTTTGGAAATAGCTTACATGATCTTTATTACTGTCTCCTGTGACCATACATACATTCTCACACATTATACAACGATCAACTGAAGGAACAGCTCTTGAACTAGCCAGGTAGTAATGGTGAAAGTATCAAGGAGGTTGAAGTGTGATGATGATGTTCTGCAAATATTGACCTGGGTGTGGGCCAGAAAGAGGAATGATCTTGATAATATAGGACTGTTTAAGAATTATATTAAAAAGGGCCAAGCTGGTATACATGGTCAAGCCTCCCCCCACACCCACCTTTCCGAATACAGGCTTAGAAGCCAATACCACTGTCAAACATTATGCATTTATATGCCCAAAAACATAACAAGTAGCCATTCTACTTTTAAGATACAAATATTAAATAGACCAATATACATACTTGAAAATAAGTATTTATGAAAATGAAACTCCAGTTAACACAGGAGTAGTAAGTCATTGATGATGATAAATCATCTTTCAGGGGGAAGGGAAACCGTACGTGTGTCCTATCCAATTTACTCTAACCATTATTGAAGCTTCTTCACAGACCATAACTTTAACACATGACAATTCTGAACTATACAGGGTTTTCAACACTAGGTGGCACTGTATCACTTCTCATCAGCAACACATAAGCAAGTGTCTAAGGGGGGGGATGACCACACCACAAACCAGATTTTTAAAGAGAAATTTAAATGTATCAAATATTACACTTGTTTTTAAAAATACAAATAAAATAGTGCACGTAAAGACATAGCTTTGAATAATATTGAAATTTCAAAATAGATAACATTCCATTGAAAAACCCCTGAATAACCTTACCATACTGTGATTTTAAAGAGTCTACACACACGTACAAACAAACATTCTTTAGAAAGGAGTGAAAGGGAGGAATAAATATCGCCTTAACACAGCTGCTATCTATTTACCCACACCCCAGTTTTGTGGGACTGTGCACAGGGTTCACCTGGGCAGGGACACACAGAGCAATCATGGAGGTGGGGAATTGAATAGCACTTTACACATTTTGCTTCCTCCTATCTATCCAAGATAAAGTGTCAGGCTTGCAGCTAATTGCAGTGAAAAACTATTTACAAGAACACAAGCATAGAGGACCCCCTATCACGCTAAACAATGCAAAAAGCATACATCATACTGCCCCATAAGACGATAAACGCTCAGAGGAGTGTTATCCAAATTAAAATGCATAGATTTATAAATAGAGGCTCATTTGAGGAAGGTTTTCCTCAACCCTTTAATTGTAAAGCATTGTGGAATATACTGACAAAAAAAAACATCATTATTTAAGATATATTAAAGAGGTACATGTTAGCTAGCCCCGTCGTCCTTTCCCATTTTATCCAACAGTAATCAGCACCATTCAAAGGATATCATTACAAGGACAGGATGGGGACAGGAAGTACACAAGAGATCAAAAGATGTAATGGTTATCACTAGAGCTTCTCAAAGAACATGATGTGATTTATTCAATTAGTACGTTTTAACAATCTAATGACCTTCTTAGTACACAATCTGCAAACACTAATCTTTACAAAAGTATAAAGCACGTTTACAGCTCCTTTAGCACCAGTCTCCTTGTAACAGATACGTTTAAAACCTGCTGATCATTTTAGTAACTTGAGTAAGGTTATATCTTTGAAGTAAAGTTGCTTAGCTTTGTTTATGAGCAAAACATATGGTGACCACCAATACCATACAATTCCTGGAAATCATGTTCTTGATCTTTAACCAGAGGAGTTACAAAGTTAAGAGGCTCTGCAATATGAAGTCACTTGCAATGTGGAAAAACCCCAAGCAGTTAGAGTGTTACTGTAAGCACACCAAGAACTATGCATTAAAATGTGTCTTTTTCCAGGATGGTATATAATTCCAAAGATGGAGGTGAGTGCTCTTAAAGGATCACTCTAGGCACCCAGACCACTTCAGATTAATGAAGTGGTCTGGGTGCCAGGTCCTTCTAGGGTTAACCCATTTTTTAATAAACATAGCAGTTTCAGAGAAACTGCTATGTTTATGAATGGGTTAAGCCTTCCCCCTAATCCTCTAGTGGCTGTCTCATTGACAGCCACTAGGCGCTATGCGTTTCCTTGCTACTCGTGATTTCACAGTGAGAAAGACGCCATTCATAGGAAAGCATTGTAAATGCTTTCCTATGTGACCGGCTGAATGCGCGCGCAGCTCTTGCCGCGCGTGCGCATTCAGCCGGCGGGGCGGAGAAGAGGAGGAGAGCTCTCCGCCCAGCGCTGGAAAAGGTAAGTTTTAACCCCTTTCCCCTTTCCAGAGCCGGGCGGGAGGGGGAGGACCCTGAGGGTGGGGGCACCCTCAGAGCACTATAGTGGTCCTTTAAGGTCCATGTAACTTGAACATGCACCACAAACATCCAAGAGGAAACCCCCTCTCCCGAAGAGCGAGCATGAACTGTGGACATATGCATGCACTTACCAACTGATGCTTGCAGCACCCAACTTTGTAAACAAAACTGCAAACCATAATCTTATAGCAACGTAGTAAGGCTGCCACTAGTTTAAAAAACAGTTCTACTAGCCTCACGTGATGAGATGAACTGCGACTGAAGGATCAACTAATTATCCCATAAACCATATTAAGTGCTCTGTAGTGGTTATGGTGCAAGGTGTGCCCTGGTCACCCCATTTTAAATAGTCAAACTGTTTTATAATAGTTTGACTACTTACCTTGGGTGCACCTGGTGCTGCCTACTGCCTCCACTACAGCTGACAGAGCCAGAAGCTCTGAGCTAAGCTTTGTGGTGCAGGTCTTTGCTTGTTTAATGAGAGCAACGAGTGGACACCCTCAGCCAATGAGCAAGCCCTGAACTTCATGCCTGAGGTTTTAAATTGCGACGGTGTTCAAAATGCGAATATTTGCTGAAGGATAAATTTAGTGAAGAACAGGGTGCCTATTTTGTAATTCGGTGCTATCTAAAGAAGCTAATACTGTGAGTGTGCAGGTATTTTATGTGAACAGCCACTCAACCAGTTTCCAGAAAGGTGCTTGGCATTCCTCACAGACACGGCATATAAGGCCTGAAACATACAAACTGGGATATCAGTTTTAACAGAAAATGGAAAAACCCCTTGGATCACCGGTCTCAGATATCTGACAGTTACTAGCTCAAGTGAAAAACAAAAAAGTTTGGTCTAATCTTTTTGGAACACCTATTGGATAGTAGCGTAAAATTATTTATATAAATATGCCAAACATGAATATAATTTAGTGGCAAATATTATGTTATTCATAAAATGATAACTACAGGGCAGAATTGTACATGTTCTAGCAAAATGTATAGATAGAGTATTGCACAGTCACCAAGCCATTTTAGAACAGCACAGTTTAACCTCCACCCTATCCCCAAATAGTTGTGTGTCGGATGCCGGACACTGCGCTATATAACTATAAAAGCAAACATATCACAATAGTGACAATTTTTTTTTTATTAAAGGGACACTATAAGCACCTAAACAACAAGCTTAATGAAGCAGTTTTGGTGTACAGATCATGCCCTTGTGGTCTCACAGCTCAATTTTCTGCTATCTAGGAGTTGTCACTGTTTATGCAACCCTGGCTTTACATAAATTATATATTTGATTAAATTCTCCTGCTTTATCAAGCCTCAGGTAATCACTGGGACTATTGGGGGAGAGAAAAAGATACTATACAAGGGCCAGGATCTGCTGCTGCGCACTTCCTGTGTGGCTTCTTGCTTCTCTCTCCTGTGGGCACAGTAACTCCACTCCCTGGTGCGATCAGCCAATAAGGGACGCTGAATAGAGAGGCCAACAGCTTGCCTCAATTCATGGGCAGCTGGCTCTGCTGCCTGAATTTCAACTAAATGGAAATTCCAGGACACTAGGCATGTGCAAAAACTGATGAAACAGGGCCGATTTCAAACTGGTCCCAATTTTTTACATACCTAGATGCGGATGCTCTCACATTCGCTTCTTCTAACAGCTATGGGGGGAGGAATGTGAAGAACTGAACCTATTACAGAACTGCAACTGATTTTTCCCCCACATTAAAACTGGTGGAGAGCATCGCCAAGTGTCCCTTTGGACAAGCCTTCACTGCTAGTCAGACCTTCCAGCATGGTGCCTACACTGTCTCACTGCCTACTTTACATTGCCTGTAACAGATCTACTATTTGAACAGAACAATAAGTGGTTTACTCCTAAGCGACAGAACGGAGATTGTAGGAGCATTATATATATATATATACACACACACTAAAATCACGCCTTCTTGTAATCTCCACAGAGGTCTATAAATAATATTTCTTGTGATCTTTGCACAATTTAGCACTGTACCCCCGATTCACTATTTACATGATGCTGAAAATACATTGTGACAAAAGAAATCTAGACTCCCATGTTCATGTTTCAGGTCTCTCTGGAAAAGGATCAATCGTCAACAACAAAAAGACAACTGTGATCCCTTGGGATACAAGCAAAAATAGAAAGCCAAATTCCTCTGCTAACAATTGGCATGACCTTTCTGTCCTGAACTGTATAACCAACAATCCAAATAAAAATTAAAAAAAAGACATACATACACTCAAGAATTAATGTTGCATTTAAAGGAAAATACTTTTATACAGAAGGTCTGAAATACCTGCGTATTTGGATAGATCTTTCACTAAAGATAACTAGTGAAACTACAACATGCAGTGTAAAAAGTAGCATTAAAAAAACATATTACCTGAATTCTTTAAAGCCGGTGTAAGCACAGGAGCAGGAATTGCTAAATCTTTGCTTTCCTGTTTCACTTTTGTGGAACTGACAGCAGGAGCATCTTCTTTTGGAGGAGGCGGCAGCTTAGTATCCTTAGCATTTGAGGAATCATCCCTGGTTGTGAGGTCTACAGCTTTAGCATATTCATTCAACTTGTCAGTATCCTGAAACTGCTTAGCTTTGACATGCATCGGATCCTGGTAAAGAGCAGAATACAGGTCTTCTTTCTTCCCAAAGCTGGGTACATTTATGGGCTCATCTGGCAGCTTAGCTTTCTGAACCATCTCAACATGCACATCATCAGAGGTTCGAATAGCATCTTCCATAAAGGATATTGGGGAGGACTTCTCAGAGTCTGCAGTCTCAATGATTGGTGAATATTTTGGACTAGGAGTCTTTCCTGACTGTATACCTACTGCAAATTCTTCCATCTGCAAAGGTTTATCTGGACTCTTGAAAACTTCTGTAACAGGACCCTTAGCAATAAAATCAGAGGGGTTCTGAGATGTGTTTGATTGTACTTGAAATGAATGCAAATAGGATTTATTTTGGGAAGACTCTTTAAACAGTAAATCACCTTTAAGTTCCTTTTCTGGAGAAATGCTTTGAGTCTTCACACTGGTAACAGAGTCACAAACTTTCCTTGAGACAACCTCAGGTTCCCAGTGCTTATAGGAAGGCTCACTGTGTTCAGATTCTGATGAACTATCATCGAAATGTTGACTAAACTGAGACTCAAACTCATCTTTCATAGCCTTTGAAAAATCTGGTGCCGATTCTGTTGGAATAGTTTCTTTTATTAGGTCACATGCTATGGATATGTAGGGTGCCTCCGGTTCTTGAGATGGGGACTCTTCCTTTACTTCAACACGTTTAGCTGCTTTGTCCTGGTCTTGAGTTCCAGATTTACTTACAGCTTCTTCATATGAAGGTGGTTTCTCAGACTGAAATTTTATCTTCTCCTCACTAACAGCAGGGGCACTGCTTACAGGTGAAACATCTGGATGAAAAACACTGGCTTCTAACCCAACAGAACTAGATGTTAATGGTGCTTCCATAACTATATCAGGCAAAACTGGTGAAGATACAGAATCTGTGCCTTCAAACAGTGCAGGTGTTTGAGATGTAGGAGTAACATTGTCAGATTTGGCAGCATTTTCTTTAACAGCTTTGGCAGCTGTTTGAACCAAATCCATTTTGGGTTCATATCCAAGTATGGGTATGCCAATATCATGAGTTTCACTTCCATATGCTTCTTGTACAATATCTGGAGTAAGGCCTTCTGACTTGGTGGGTACGTGGGAGAGATCACCTCCAATGACATCGTGAGTTGTAACATAATCATCTTGTCGGTCTACATGCTCAAAGAAAGGATTCAAGGATGTAAAGTTCAAGGCCGACTCCAGTGAAGTTGTCTTGGCTTCCACTTCTTCCATCTTCTTCTCATCGGTTTTGTTTCCTAAAACTTGACTTTCCACTGTAGTGGGATAAAGGCTCTTTTCTAAAGAAAACATTTCATACTCTGAAGACTCAGGACCTTCTGGCGTAATTGGTGAAATATCATCAGATAAGTCTATTTCATTATCTTCTTCATATTTTTGCTCTGGCCTTTTCACAGCTTCTATATTCAAACTGTAAATATCACTTTCAAATTTCTTAGTGCTGGCTTCATAACCACCCTCATACGATTTCACAAATGGTTTGAAATCTACATACTGTTCTTCAAGTGCTTCTTTGATCTCTGAAAATTCCTCATGAGGAGGTCCAACAGCTTTAAGCATTCCTGAAAACATCTCTTTAGCAGACTGTGCATATAACGGTGTGTGGTCTTCACTTACGGTCTCTTGCTGAGATGTAGGATGTTCAACTACATAACCTTTTTCTGAAAAGATCACATCTTCCTTTATTTGCCCTAAAGAGGAAGATCCCTTATGATAGGACACCTCTGAATAATCTGGCTCCACCTCATTGCCTAACTTTACACTGAAAGCCGTATCACCTACGGTCCGTGACACCCCGTGCAGATCACTAACAGGCTCTTGCAAAGCTTCTGGTGCAGTTAAATTAGCATGAAAAGCAACAGAGACTACTTGTTCTTTAGAGGAATCAGCAGACAGAGGAGATATAGAAGGAGGAGAAGAAGCAGACTCAAGCAGCACAGATGCAAGTTCCTCTTGGCCAGCCAACATAGTGCTATACGGCTGCTGCATGTCCAGTACTTTGTCTGTGACCACGAACAGAAAGGAAGGTAATCAGTAGCAGAAAGAGATAAGCATGTACATAACTGCGATACATAACACATGCAGCAAACAGCTTTTTTGATACATTAAAACCATTTCTTCATGGCGTGTATATATAT